AGATTTGCGTGGTTTTTTTTGAGTTGCAAATTCCACTTGAACATGACGCTGCTTTTTTCGAAGTTTCTCAAGAACCATTTGAGCCACAGAATTCGCTTTGGCATCGTTGAATAGAGAATTGAAAAGTCGATTCAGTCGTAACAACGTGAGTGGGGAAATTCGAGTAGTTTTGAACCAGAAAGGCAAATTTGAATATCAGACACTTAGGTGCAAGATTATGCCAAAATTCCATGTTTTCCGTCCCGTTTTTGATCATTTCTCGGAGGCAAAATGAGTTAGAACGCTCATTTGTACATCATTCTAGAGAGAAATAGCATTTTTCGATGATCCTTTAAATACGATTCTATTCAATTTTAGGACATTATTATCAGGAACCTTAATCATCCAATACAATGCGTTCATTCAAACTCAGTCAGACCGACTACTCAAAGTGGGCTGCATTTTTGGAAACCAAAGTAAAGTGCTGATTGGTACAGGAGTTACAATTACATCGTAAGTATAGCTATCAAGCACTGGAACAGTTTATAGTGGGAACATTTTAGGAATCTTCCCAACAAAGGAAGCACGCTTATAACGACGATATCGAATGAGACTGTGGCCCCTGTAGTGGAAATGAGAGTAGTGGATCTGAGGTCTCAAGATGAGACTACAGACACGCAAATCGGCCAAGAGCTGCAGCTGATAATTGAGCTGAAAGAAAAAACCAGTAAGGAACGATCCACTGATGATAACAGTCATTTAAAATTGATTTGTAGATACTTATGACTTGTGGGCAAGCCACTTAATCGCCATGACCGAGAAGGGCGAGGAATCGATTTTCCTGCTGGATGACCGCGGATGTCCCACAAACTTAAACATATTCCCTGCGTTGAGCAAAACTATTTCCAATGGAACAAGGCGGCTGATCGCTACGTTCCAGGCATTCAAATTCGCGTCTTCTCCAGTGGTTCGGTTTAGCGTTCTTATTCAATTTTGCTCCAACGAATGTTCCCCAGTAAGCTTTTTATATAAAATGAATAAATGCAAATCATAAAAAAGTTCATTCCCCAGATAAAATGTGACAACAACGGTGAGTCCTATGGCCGAAGGAAGCGAGAAGTCAGGACTCATTTAGTTGAGACAATAAACGGGAGTAAAATGATTCGCAGCTTCAATCAGTTGAAGAGGAGCTTTGAAGCCAACTCTTCAGTGATCAACCAAATGCCCTTGGAGTATGTTATGATAGTGAGGGATGCGAGTTTTCAACCGGATAGGCTCATAGTAGGAAACAATGATGGCAAAATCTTAGTGGCCGGATACAGTAAGTTTGAAAACATTAATCCAACCAAAATTTCCAATAAACCTTTTAGATTTTGTGACTGACGAAGTTTGCATGGACTATTCTCTAGTCATAGGACTGATTGTGACATGGGTTCTTGTTCAGCTCATATTTATTATCGCCTGTATCTGTTTGGTTCGACGCTATAAAAAGCATTACCAGGAAGAATTTAGCAGAGCTTCAATGGAAGATCTCAATAAAAATTTCGGGCTCGGATTCAGCAATTTGGAGAACCGAAGAGTGCGGTGGGCGGACAATGGCGACAATATAATGTAGACGACCAATTGTTAACATGCGACTAACATGTGGACGAATCCAAATATAAGAATTTATAAAGACTCTCACGCCCTGAATATGGAATATTTTGCAGCGAACTTTGCATTTAATTGTTTAGTGACTATATTTATTTAATATAATAGTTTTATATTCCAATGCGCTTTTAATTCATACCAGGTGTTAACTATTAAGTACAGTTTAAAATGCAACAAAAACTACATTTTTAAATTGCTGTTGATACCACTCAGCGACAAGCGGATTGGACGGGAAAAATAAGGTAAAAACTATTTTTAGTCAAAATGCTTTAATGCTCCCAAAACGGCAAACATTTTCCTCAATATCCCAGCTAAACAATTCTAATTTCCAACATTGAAAAGATTACATGCTGTATTATCTCACATCTGGAGACTGTGATTCAGAGACCCTTAAATCTTTTGCTAAGTCAAGTTGTTTTTGCAAATTATATAGATTTTCAGCTTTTCTTCTTTGTCTTCTTTCGATGTCATTTAGTACACCTTGATGAAGCTGATCCCTATAAGTTATAAACAAAATACAAAAATGAAAACTTAAATATCATTTAGAAAATGTTAAATCGTTTAATAAATTCGAACTTTTTTTAACATGGCAAATAATAGATTGAATTATATAAGCAACATTGATGTTTTGAACTCAAGCTCAAAAAAGGTACATTTAAGTACTGTTCTTTTATTGACTTTAAACGATTCGTTGTTGAGCGAGTCTGAAGAAACACAAAAGATGGAGATTAAGCGTATTTGTTGTCGAAAAACTGATATATTTTTCGCGTAGACTTTAAGAAAAAATGCGGAATTTTTAAGTTATAGTTAATATCCTTAGATTAGTTCAATTTTTGGCCTACGCCGATGATATAAGTTTGTGCACGCCCGAACTATTTTGCGCGCCGTCACTCGTCTCAGAAATGAATTTTGCTCCTTGATAAGGAAAACTCGGTAATTATTGTACGATAAATAGCAAGACGGAAAGCCGAATAACCAAATTATTACTATTCTTGGTTTCAACGGTTTCACGTCTTTGAAGAAGAAATGATTGGAATCCTTTGATAACAACTTTTCCATATTTTAATGTATAGATTCAGCTCGCGAAAGTTATCGACGTTATTTCTGGATACCCCGTTGAGTAGAATTATGATCTGGTTTTAAGCAAATAGGCCGGAACCTCCAACATCATATAAAGGGATGTGAATAGAACCACAGATCCTTAAAATAATTTGGAGAGAACACCAGATCCGGAGCAAACTGATAATGGCCAACATCAGACACGGCAGGCGAAGAACACGACGAGGGAAATACAGATATATTTCATACGGTTTGAAATAAGAGCCAGAAAACGATAAATACGCGATATAAAGAGTAACTTGCGATTTACTTTACCTATCTAGATACTGTTTATAATGTACATGTCCAATGATCCCCAATGCAAAAGCTGAAGCACCAAATAACGTAAGTTTCGATGCCAAAGACATGTTCACTTTTCTAATTCACTAATGCCGCTAAATAATGTGTTTAAAACTTTTTAAATACACATTCTTAGTTGCCAAACATTCCATAAGATTATTTTGATATGTTGAGGTTATGACACATAACGACGGGCACAGACTACATACTATTGACGGGAAATCAGAAGTAAAAAGAGATAGCCAGTATTGGAGGCATTCGCAAATAACTGAAATTTTTGTCTCAATTTCACTTGGAAAGTAATAGTTTAGTGTAATGAAGCTAATTGAATTAGGGTATTATTACAGCTTAATTAATTACTGTGTGCATAGGATACAATAAAAATAATTTCTATAGGTAAGTCTTAAAAGTGCCATGTAAATTATTGTACAATGGAAAGATTCAGTTTTCACTATAATGAAATGCTAAAATTATTAAATTGAAAGCAACCCAAAGAATAAATATTACAAATTATGTAGTTATTAATTAAGATTATTAATTAACGTATTATTCATAATAATATTGAGTAATTGACGCTATAAATTGCTACTAATAATCTTCCAAACGTGGACAGTTAAGCCCAAAGCACAAATTACTAATTAGTTCTGCATCCTAATTTTTAAAATTTATTTCAAATTTTTTTCTGATAATACCATTAATTGCGGCATTGCCAAACTGTACCAAAGAAGCGAAGTCAATCATTCCATAAAAGTAGAAAAAATGCGGTGACGTTTAGAAGACCTTGATTTCCTGACGTTTGTTTATTGGAGAATCCCAATTTAGCCGATGTAGAATTGTGTTTCCTTAACTTAATCCTGTTTTTCTTATACATTAGTTATTGGAAATTTGTGATTTAGTGTATCTAAGTGTTAAGTTAAGGATATGGTTAATTTACTTAAAAGCAAACGTCACATTTTTGCAGTATTATCGGTAAGTGGGTTCGGATTAGGATTTCCGCAAATTTGCCACGACAGAACGGTATTTTAATATGAAAAACTGTTCATTTATCTACCTCACATGATTTAAAACAAGCTATCAGTGCCGGCACACGTTTGGGTATTTTAGTAGCCTTATTTAAATACATTAGTATGTAACCTTACAACTGTTTAAATTTAGGTACTATGTATGTTCTACAATCCAACAGACAGTGGAGCTGTTGAATTAACCGAAGTTAACTTTGAGCAGATTATGTGTAAGTACCTACGATCTTTATAATAAATTTTAGATGAATGTCACAGTACCTGAAGCTGGCTGGTAAGTAAGTAAGCAAATCTCAAAACTACTCAGGTCCATTAAAGTTCTATATACTTTTGGTTTTAAGTCTTTAGCCAAGCTAAGTACTGCAATCTGATTAAAATGTATACTCACTTAACATACTGAACCGTACTCGAAACTTTCAAGTCATAATGTGTATGTGTGTGTTTGCGAGTCAACTCGAGATAATATATTTTTTGAGATATTTCAATCAGTAAAGCACATTATTTCACAAGCCAGCAAGGTTACTCTGCAGGGATCCTGCATCAATTTCCCCCGAAACTGAACCCGTTAGTGGCACTAAAGATCAAATCTTAAGGCTAAGAGTGGAACAAGCCTGATAATTTAGCACACCATCGTATTTTTGCGGACTGATTGACCGATATTTTGAATAAATTGTGACATACTATAAAAGCTCGTGTGTAAAAGACTACATAATCCAAAACACTTGTTTGGTTGGTTTCTACTTGGGCGCCGATCGTGGCTTTGATTCTCGACTTTTTCGCGCGCTCTGGAAATCTTTTTGTAACATGCACATGCCGTATGAAATTAAAAAACAAATCAATTCCAATTGATATACCGTCGGATCTTCGAAATTGTTTAATTTTTCATTTCCAGCTGGCCATGAGTTAGTCATGATTAACTTCTATGCCGATTGGTGCAGATTTAGTAATTTGTTGAGGCCAATTTACGATGATGCTGCCGATGCCATAGCCAAAGAATTTCCAGATGGAAAGGCAATTCTAGCCAAAGTAGACTGTGATCAGCAGCCCGCACTTCAGTCCAAGTATAAAATATATTTACTTGATTTATTTTCAACGTATTGTTTGTGAGAAGTTACAATAGTGCGCCTCTCTTTCCCGATAAGGTTTCAAATCACCAAATACCCCACATTAAAGTTAATGAGGAACGGGAAATTGATCAAGAAGGAATTCAGGGGCCATCGGTCGGTCGAAGCGTTCACGGAGTTTATCAAAAAGCAGCTAGAAGATCCTATCAAAGACTTCAAAAACGTATCAGATATACAGCTGACTGAACTGGATCAAACATCGGTTATTGGTAAGTACGCATTCCAGTTGTTCTACCTGCAGTTGCACGCATAGGGAGTTTTTGTATTTTTGGAAGGCATCAACCGAATACTAAAATTTATGAATAGAAAATAAATAAACATAAATACAAACAAATTCAACGTGCTAATTTAAGTAGTGCATGGTTTGACTAAATTATAAACACAACTATGGAGCAGAGAAAATTGTCTTTCTTGCGTTTTTCTTCTGGTTAAGTGTATTGTTCGATGGAAGCATAACGGTGCCTGAAAATTTACCATTAACCCGTAGTTTATGTAATCCGCCTTAAGGTGCACTTAGGCGTGAATGGTTCTATAAATTCTACAGGAAAATCTGTTATAATTTACGCTCTCTGATAAAAGCTTTATTGCGTTTATGCCCGGAGACTTTCCTAGAAAGATCAAATATGATCAAACCCGCTTTTTCTCAATTCTCCAACTGTTGCTAGAGTGGAGCGGGGCTAATTTGGTTTTTGTGGCAAAAGCGCCAAAGTTTTATAGTAACGCTTTATATTCGCGTACAGCTTGAGACTAAACCAAACAAATATATTGGGCTTTGGTCTGTAAATCTCTGCAAATCATGAGTTTCCTTTTAGGATACTTCGATAGTCGCGATCAGCCTGAATATCAAATATACCGACGAGTTGTTACAACTATGCAACAACACAAGTGCCAATTCTATGCAGGTTTTGGGGAATCCGCTCGAAATAACGAGACTGGAGAAACTCCAACCATTATTGCACGTTCTTACAACGACGGACAGGTTGTGGATGAACAGACTGTCAATAGGTCGAAACTATCCGACTTTGACCAGCTGTTTGGCTGGATGATTGTAGGGGTATTAAGTTATGTTGACTTAGTGCCAACACTGCCATGTGCAATTTTTCAGGCTTTGTGCTCCCGACTAATTCGTGAAATTACCTTCGAGAACGCCGAAGAATTGACAGAGGAAGGCCTGCCGTTCCTTATCCTATTTTACAAAGATGGCGATAGGGAGTCGATTAAAAAGTTTACTGATGTTATACAAAAGGAACTGACATCGGAACAGGGTTTGAGTTATAGAAATTAATGATAATATTTTATAAATCGAGACAATAATTATTTCAGAGAAAATCACCTTTTTAACAGCCGATGGCAATAAATTTGCCCACCCCCTTCATCACTTGGGTAAAGGCGAAGACGATTTACCCGTAATCGCAATCGATAGCTTCAAGCACATGTACCTCTTTCCTAAATTTGAAGATATCCAAATTGAAGGAAAACTCAAGTCTTTTATCATGGATCTCTACTCGGGTATGCATGTTGCTTATGCCGTTGATATGTCAAATTCTAGCCTGGTTTGTTCTTCAATATGCAGGTAAATTGCATAGAGAATTCCACTACGGTCCAGATAGCGACAAAGGAAAAGAAGAGCAACCCACTAAACCGCCGGAGAGTACATTTAAAAAATTAGCACCATCGAAAAATAGATACACTTTACTAAAGGATGAGCTGTAGTTCATTGTAAATTATTTCTAGATTTTAAATTGTTTGTGCCGTCTTTGAAACGTAAATTATTTTTGTTTACTGAATTTATTTTCGACATTTATTCCAACCCTCAAGCATAAAAAGTTTATTGACTTTTTAATTTTATGTTAGCTATTTCACAATTAAAGCTCAAAGAACTGTACAATTGAACCTAAGCATGCATCTATAGTTTTTTGCTTAAAGTATGTTTTTGCATATGCGACATATATTGAAATAAACTAATTTTCGAATTTCTACTGCTAAATTGTACATTCTATTTGGGATTTGGCCATTTCCAGCTATCATTGTAGTTTATAAGTAGAAATGTCTACTAGTGGTCGGTGGAAGAGTTTAATTTTCATTTGTAAATATTTATAATTTTCATTAATAAATTACATTTTTATTTGCCCCAAGGTGTTATAATTTGTTTTAGTCCTACTGTTCGGCTATTGCTCACTTCTATTAATCAATCTTTATCAAATTGATTGAGTCAATGCCCCTCGCTTTAAACGTATTTCGCACTTGCGCTGCCACGCCAATAAAAACCCCCCTTAGTGTATTTTTCCCGTTTACTCTGTTTGTTTAGGAATGGTCCATTTCGCCCTCAAGTGCCCGAAATCTGATGTAATAAAAGTCGCAAGGTAAACGTCTTGCGGCTGCGAAATCACCCTAATTCGATAATACTGCGGTAGGTAACCCTCCGGTAATCTGATCTCTTTGTTTGATTTGTAAGTTAACACTGATTCGCTCTGTTTACTTATCATTTACTTCGGTCCATCAGTAAGTTGTATATCTAAATTGAATCACCGCACGTAGAATTTTGATTCAATTGGAGAACAAGTGGCTGGAATGTGCACACTTAAATCATGTTTTTGCTATATTTTTAAGAAAAAAACTAGAAAGGTTGTATGATTATTGTTAACAGTTGGTGTTATCTTCAACTGAAACACCTTGATACACTAGACTGCAGTGAATCGGAATAAATTCATTTGGGATGCCGTTTTTTTTTTAATAAACTTCAGAATAAGTTTGTTTTTGCTGTGCTTTTTCTTATGGCGAGATCATTTTTAGAGGTGCACCAAACAAGTTACGACTAACTTTTTTCAGTTCGAATATTTTAACCGGTGGCCATTCCTTACGGCAGTGAATTTTTCAGTGGAAGACTGGCTTTGATGTTTTTCTCCGCCGGTTCGCGGTTTTTGGGGTCTCCTAAATTTTTTCTAAAATAATATCAAAATTTTCTTTTCTATCCCAAAAGTGTAGGCTGTCCAAAGTCCAATTTGACCATCACGAAAAGTACTAAACGCAAAAGTCGTTATTACAAACGAACTTTTCTAAGATTTTGTGCCCCAAAGCTTTATACCAAGTGCCGCTAGTGATTTTAAGTATGTTTCTTATTTGACGTCTTTATCAATAATTAAGGGCAAATTTGCTATCGACGCAGAATTGGGGACGTTTTTTTCCAAGTGTGCGTCTGTTAACTTCTTGCCAAGCAAAGTTTCAGTGGAATCATCGCTAAAACGTTGGCGATTTCTAGAAAATATTTTTTATCTCTTTCTGAATTTGGTGGTTTTAATAAAAATCGTTCTCTTTTTGCATGATTTGTCTCGTCCATTCACGTGCTGTTTTATTTTACACATGTCGATAAATATGCATGTTTGCAGACGCATTTGACTATGCCAAAAATTATTTTTTTAGTACTTTATTTAATTTATTTTCATGACACTGTGCTCACACAAGACAACACTCCAGTTTCAATAAGCGAATATAGCCTATGTAGGGTAAATTGGAAGCGCATTCGGAATACTCCACAGTCAATTTCTAATCTTATGGAAAATTGTGATGCTGAAGTCTACCCCAATGTAAGAATTTTTTATGCATACTTGCTTCACTACCAGTTAGTGTAGCGACGGCAGAAAGGTCCCTTTCCACACTTTCAAGGCTCAAATCTTCCTACACAAACTCCGCAAAATATGTGATAGAAAATCCGGAAAGCTGCACATTAGAGCAGAATAAAGGTTGCAAATAGAAATTTTATCCCTAGTTACCATTTGCTACTGCAAGTTGAATTGCCGTACGGATCCAGGTAGCTGAAAAGCTTATTAACCCGATTTTTGCTCAAAAAGTCAACGCCATTTAGAGGCTCAAATTTAGAAGAACAACAGCCTGAAATGCGCTGGATTGCCAAAAATCTGAGATATATCGGACGAATCCTAGCCGCTGAAGTTCCCTAGCATGAATCGTTGGGACAATATATATATATATATATATATAAATAATCTTTATTTCCTACAGAAAAAGGCTATCGATCCAATCGATCTTTCTGCCCTTGACGCAACGTAAAATTTGGCAAAAACGTGCCAATATCTAAATAAATAGTCAATATCCCTTGCAGCCTCTTAGGGCGCTATGCGCTAAACCATTACAAAGCAATAAACAAGTTACACCTACCTTTAGGCATTTTGATCTGGATTCTGCGCTATTTTAACATTTGAATACAGCAAAAAAATTGATTGTGTGTGATGATATATTGATTTTGAAAACTTTAAGGCGATTGAATTTGTAGTTTGATTTAAAAGCAAACTACTGCCGAAAACCTGAGTGATTAATGTTGAAAAGTGGAGTGAAAATAATTAAAATTTTGTACACTTGCTATCTCATGAGAAGCAAGGACCCTTTAATTTATGGTATAATTCATAGAAGCAAAAGTACCTAATTATCTAGTTTGCGCCCCTTGGATTTCGATAATAAAACTTACTTTCGATATAAATTCCCTACCTCTCTATCTACTAACTATAAGTCCTTCTACTAACACTTTCATAGTGGATTTTTCCAGAAAACTCTTTTTCAACCACTTCAAAGTTCGAAAGTTTACGATTTTCGTTTGCTTTGGTTGAGAGTGGTAGTAGAAGGCATTTCTGCCAAAAAACGCCACTAACTATTATTACCGTAACTCTTTATTGTCGAAATCCAGAACGGCCAAAATAGTTACCTTAGATGACAATATTAAGTGAATTTCACAACTTAAGGCTTAAGTTTAGATAGTAAGAGTCCACTTTAGAAAACCTTGGTTGGTCAATTTTTTAAAGTTGAGTGCAAATGATTTTAATTTGAAAAATCGAATTGAGAATTTAAGAAAAGTTAAATTTTGGGTGTAATTTAAAGAAGAAAACCCTGCAAATGACGCAAATTACCTGCCAAGGCAATAAAAAGTCTAGTTCACAACGGAAAGTTGATAGTTTTACATATGAAGAGTCTTCTGTGGAGATGACTGCTGACTCGTTAACGTATAATATCTAAGTTTAAATTATTTTTACAGAAAGAAAATTGGAAAAAATTCAAAACTCCATCCAAAATGCAGTCCCTCGACGCTCGTTGTTGAATAAATATGGCCTGTAGCAATTTGATAAAATACAAGTTAATAATATGAGATTAAACGCTCAAAGAATCTACATCTACATGGCAACCAGGGACAAAGTAATGCCACACTTACCGAAAGCTGCATCGTGCCACCTGGAAAGGAAGAAAAACATTCTTTAATATTACAGAAATTTAGTAACAAGTGTAATTGTTTGAACTGAACAAAGAAAGCAAAGAGAAAAAAACAATGCCAACTAACTTAGTTTAAGCTAAAGGATTTGTAGATTGGAATTCATTTTTACCGGCTGCAAGCTCGCGCCCCCACTCACCATTTTCGACCGATTAATCCTCAAGAAACCGACACCACATTTGAACACACTTCACTTAATCAAAGTAGACTTGAAGAAACAAAAAATATCTACTCCGAATTGAAAACTTTAATCTCAGTCAGTTAGCAGATAACGGCTAATCCAGCGCACTTGCCTTATTGGCACCATCCTGTATATTCCGTCTATGAACAAAGGACTGACAACGTATTTTGTTCACCACCCGAACCAAACTGTGATATTTAGTCACCTTTTACAAAAAAAAAACTCATACGATATTGAGACTTTCCGAAAACAGCGAAGAACAGCATTAACGTACGTGATGATATAAGTCTTTACTAATCGTCCCTTTGGATGAATCATTTGCAGTTCGATTTCCGTTTTTTTTTTATTGTTGACTGTTTTGTAAAAAGTGCCTGTTTGCAAGCAAATATTTTCAATTGCAAGTTTCTGATTCAAACTGGTTTGGATTGTCGCCGTGAACAAAACATGTTTTCCAGCCAAATATGAAACTCTCCAATCAGGGAGCGGAATAGACTCGTAAATTAAATACTCTCAGACTTTTGATTTTTATGAAACTTTTAACACATTTACTGCTCCGGCTGAATACAAAACTTGCTTTCCACACGAGCGAGCTCTTGATTTAGCATTATGCTCAATTTTTATCAAACTGAGTCAGAAAATCAATTTTTATAGAAGATGTGTCGCGCAAAAGTGATCTAAAGAGAAGATCCACATTATTGCCTTGATGCAGCCTGCATTTGTTAAATTCTAATTCATCTATTTCTAGATTTCGCGTTATTCACAAAGTTGTCTATTTCTATTTGCAAGTTTTATTTCTTTTGAGCCATTTTTATCTTCCGTATGCCGATTTGTATACATGTTTGCAACGCCAAATGCGCCTGGCGCTACTTAAAAAAGCGCGCAAATTTTGATCACATCCTTCATCAGTATCGGTACATTTATTTAGTCTTTCCATTGGAAAAAAATAGATCAGGAACTCAAAAGCATGTTTGGAAACACTGAAAATGCAGCCACAAGACTGATTAATTCTTAGTCGGCCATTTGAACATTTCATTTGGTTAATTGTGCAACAACCCAAACGACTTCATGGACAAATTGAAACACTAAATTGAAGTTAGAAGCAATCTTCTATCTATCTATGTAAAAAAACCGTTTTGGGAAGAAAGCAATTGGAACTCTAAAATATTTTAATATTAGGATACATAATCTTTGGTACAACTTCACTTACAGGTATGTGTAGATTATCTGGTCTGAAAAGCTCAGGGCCTATTATCTACTGGACTATACAAATTGTGTTTGCATTGATCGCAATCGCAAAATCCGGGCACGTAAACCGGATTTCGAATGACCGGCTTAGGAAACAATGGAAAAAATGGATAAAAACTGAAGACCTCGCTGGAAATCATTGGAACGGTTGCGGCATGCATTCCCATGTAGCTGGAAGGTTTTGTGGAAGCTTTCGAAGTGTTTGCCACCGGCTTAAAAGCCGATGCGGATTCTTCTTTGGTGCTGCTCGAATCCGATTCGTTGCCGCACAACGTCGATTTGTGCTTGTTCAGGTTGAAGTGTTCGATGGCTTTCAGTAGGTCGTGGTTGCACCTTTTCAAAACCAACTCCAACACAGCCCTCTTTTTATTCGGAAACAGTTTGCCCAGCATTTCTATTGAAGCTGGACTAACAGTGATATCGTCTTTGCTGATTTCTTGTGCGGACTTTTCCTGGGGCGGAGGCTCGTCTGCGGTCTCTGTCTCTGGAGAGGTCACTTGCATTCCATATATTCTACCAGGAGGCAAATAGTCGTAGGTCGTTCCACATTCAGCAGATGCTAGATGAAGAGCAATCGCATCCTCAGCAGCTTGTTGTCGTTTCAGCGCAACCTCAACAAAGAAGCGAAAGCTGGATTATTTTGTGTCAGATTTTCAGCAACGATTATCGGCTATTTATATTGGTGGATATGGGAGAAGGCAAAAATATGTCATCGTTGATGTAAAAGGGGTATCCGATTTATCAATGATTACTGATGTACCCTTGTTTGGTAACAGAAACTGTGCAAACTCTTCTAATGGAATATCGATCAGGCACTCGAAGATGCGGGGTATTATGTTGCGATGCTTTTTGATTTATTCATGAAGAGTTTGCTGTTTTTCTGCCTTTAAATCCCCTGTGAGTGAATGGTGGAAACACATTCAATTAATCAGCGGCCATAGAGGACAGAGAATTTGTAAAAATTTTTAAAGTAGAGTGACAGAATTTTCAATTACACTTCGAAAATATCTGCATGAGTTGTGAGAGTGTTTGGTTGAAGTAAACCAAATGTGTTCTTAAGCCGATCTCATTTTTGGCAAAACCTGATTATTTGCTAGTTTTCATGAGTTTTTATATTGAAGGAATCAACTTTTCTTTGTTTTCTGCAAGTAATGCCTGGTGTTTAATTATAAAAAGTTGGTGACTGTGTTGCAAATTGTAAAATCCATTATGGTTGGAAAAAAGTTATTTTGTTTGTTTTGTTTGTTATTATTTAAACGTGTACGAAGTATCGACGCTGGTGAAAAAAAAGCAAAAAAATGTATTTGGGAGAAACTAAAACCAAATAGAATTTTAAGCACTCTGCATTTCCAAAAGCGGACACTTTTGTGCTCAACTTACGAGTAACCCAATTTACGGGATAAACCATTAAGTTTTAAGCGCAGGAAACTGCAGCAGGATTTTTCCGCATCTTTCAGAGACCTGAATATAGAAATGTGTACAAAAATTTAAAAAAATACGTTTTCGCAATTTAGAAAATGCTTCGTAGAAACTTATTTATCGTAAATTTTATAAAAAAACAAAGATTGAACATAAAAACAGTTTCAACAGTTGATTGATTTTGCCAGGTCAGAATGGAGTAACTGAACTAAAGTTACTTTGTCTTTTAGATGGAAACTGAAGGATTTAACGAGTGTCCGAATAACATTTTTCAAATTTGTTAACAAAAGCTTCAGACAAAACTCAGCCTTGCTTTCCTTTAAAAAGATGCAAAGCATTGAGGTTGTGTTAATATTGCATTTTGCTGAACATCCAGCAAAAACAGCTTATTTCCTTATATTTGTGTTGGTGCCACAAGTTTTTCTTTTGTACAGTGGTTTTTGTAGTTTTACGGCCAAATTTACCCAGCAAATATTACACAGGAAGAAGAGCCAAAGTGGTTGTTTTTGAAAGAAAATGTGCAGAAAGCCTGTGTTTTAACTGTGATCATAATTGAACAACACACTTTCTCATTACATGTTGATTTATAAAATAATTAGATTGCAAGCAAGAAATGTTTATCTTGTTCATAATTTCGCTTTGATTTTGAGAAAAGGCCCATCAATGGTTAATTAACAATTAAAGTTAATAATTCGGTATTAAAAAGAGTTTAAAATGAAACTGGACACATTGTTTAATAGTGTTTCATCTGGTTAATCAATTATTCTAGTGCTAATTACCTGAGCAGCCATAATCCTTTGCCTCTCTTTGATTAATCCGCATTTAGCACAGTTGCAATTCTTGTAGATACACTGTTTCTTGTGGCCTCTAAGTGTCGATATCATTCCATGATTTCTACATCGGGCACATTTTGGTACTCTGGCCGATCTGTTGTTTGTTAGCATCCCAGTAGTACCTATCTGAAACAAAGATAATAAATTAACAAAATGGAAATGTTTGTTGCTGAGTGGAATTTATTTTAAAAAGTGTGCAACAAATGTTCTGGATCTTCCTCAAGCGCTTGATATTAATCAGTTTTCGCTCAGCTATGAGGCTCCAGAACGCATTATGTAGAATGGAAATACTAAAGAATAAAAGACACAGAGTTAACAGTTAAAACAAACGATTACGGTCGGAAAAATGATGAAATGATTTTCTTCAGGTTGAAATCTAGAAAAGAAAACAGAACATTTCCAAGCTAACTGTTCTAGTTAGGGACTTTTATTTGCTTGGAAATTCGTGTTTAGGGCGCTTCGCCAGATAAAAATTCTAAAAATTGTAAATTTCAAAATAAATAAATTTAGGAGAATATGAAATTAATGCAATGGCAAGCGGTTAAGAACTTTCAATCCATCAATTTGTGTAATTTATCAATATTTTTCTTTTCGGTTTTCTGATGTCTTAATTCTCGTTTTTTAAGTATTTTCAGTTTATTGTGCAAGACATAATTTATCTCTGCTTACAAATAAGTGATTTAAGGGAGAGATACAGGAACTTTAGGGACACAAGAATAAATCCAATGAAATAGAAAAAATGTCTTCTATTGCCCCAAAATAGAACAATTTAGTTAATTCATTAATTCAATAATTCATCTTCTGCTTATTTACTGGCCCTTTTAGTCAAATGTGAATTTTTGGTTTACTATAAATCTGCAGCAGATTTTCTTAGCTGAGTGTAAAGATATATTTATAACGACCGACTACCGCGCCGAAAATTACGGTATTTTGGTAACAGCAAACTTGCCTATATTTCAGCAAAACTCTCTTCTATGTGTAACGATGTATAAAACATCCACAACAGGAAAAATTTTGTTTTAAATTCACTCAACATTTTGAATATTTAGTCGACTTTGCCCCAAAATTTTCAGCTGAAAAATTCATACAAAAACACCGACTTGTTCAATATATTATTTTGAAGCCAAATATACTAAAACAATATAATATATGTAGATTTTAAATTTAGTATATTGAATTTAATGAAATCATTCAAAATAACTTGATCATATTTCAACAGTTACTTTATAATACAGTGCGGATAATTATTTATTTCGTAAACATAGATCTAAACCTACAAGTTTTGTATTTTCACTTCATCTGGCCTCTTTGGCTGAAACATTTAAATTTTAAAAATCTGATTTAGTTGCTTTAATTTAATTAATGTGCATCGAAATATTTTAACTCCCATCTAATACTTACTGATTAATAATCAAAATTAACAGCGGCCACCACGAACCAACCCAGAGCACTTTTTTCACACAAGAGCGCACTCAAAAATAACTTTACGTCCGGAAAACTGTATCACTAATCAACTGAAACAAAATCTCCTTAAAGAATACAAGAATAGAAAGATACTGAAAATGTTTTCAGCGATGACAGGATACAGCATCCCGATCTGTTCAGTGGCAGATCATCATCTCCCGGCCCTTCCCCAATTGTTCCCGAGCACCAATGGGAGCGCCAACTAAACGGGAACGTCCGCCTTTTTCCCCGATATTCTCCCGGAACAAACTCAAAATCTCACTCTCGTTAAAATGGCATCTGTAAATAACCTGCTTGGGCTTGAACTGAATTGAATCATGAACTAAAGCCGAAAGCATTGATTGAAGAAAATATTTATTGTTTTATTTCGAGACTAATTTGTTGTTACCTAAACGGTTATAATTTGCCTGTTTTCACCAGATTTATTTGTGGATGTTAATTTTTTGTTCGCAGTTTTAGATTGAATTCGATTGCTGTACGTTCAAATACTTTTTACGTGTTGAGACATTTTAGTAACTTTTTCATCTAAAAATAAGCGAAATTGATTTTCAGAAACATAAGAGTTTTTCCATTGAAGGGATTATATGATTTTTATTTCGCCGAAGGAAATAAGGGTTTTTACCAGCGAAAATACTTGAAGGAGAATGAAAGAAAAGTGAAAATTTTGAATTTATAACTTTTGCATTTGGGTTAGTCTTGCGATTACAGTTTCCAAATAAATTCACTCGCAAACATAAGGATTTTGTTACTGGAAACATTTGAAAATACGCCCATTTCGCAATTATGAAAACCATACTGACTGACTGCCTCTTCAAAAATAATTTATGCATCTTCCTGGTTACAGTAATTTCTATTAAAACATTTACAAAACAGTCTTTGCGACGAAAATTGCGATTTTAATAATTTAGCCGACTATTTTTTATTAGCGACGGACTTTCGCGGAAGTTTCAGTTTTTTTCAGTCATTAAATTTATTCATTCTGTTTTAGAAACTCTATACCGAATGTGGAAAACATCCTAAATGGATCAAAAATACAAGAATCGCCGAAAATGATGGTTTGAATTAGAAAATCGTAGAAAGTATAAGAGCAAAAATATGAATTAGCAACTGTTTGCTTTACTTAGGTTTTTAAGAGAAAGTTCACATATTTTTGAAACATTCGAAACCCGAAGTACTTAAAAATATTTTAAGCGTTTTTTTAGCGTCCACCAAGATTGTAAAAAATTAATGAATTATCACACGAACTGGAAGAAAATATGCTCTTGATGGAAGTGGAAAATTTTCTGTGTTTTTACTTTGCGAACAGTTAAGGGTTTGCGAATTTTTAAATATAAAATATTTAATATATCTGGAAAGTATCGTAAAAATAGTACATGCGGTGAAATTTACATAAAAGAAGTAACACATTGAATGAAAAGTACTACATTGACGTGGTGAAATGGTGAAATATTGAAGAAAATTTCTGAAAATTTAATGTCGCATGTTATGGAAAATTCCAAGTTATGGAAAATATATATTCTATCTGTAAAATAGGAAGTTTTTTGAATACGAAAGTTGGTACAAAACACAACAGTAAATAACTATCTTATGGAAGCTCTTCTGATGTTTTTCATTATGGTTTTCGACAAGTATAGTTAAGTTACTTTAAACCCCTTAAGCCAGTAAAGTCAGTTTTTTTTTGAAAAATTGGTAACAACGGTCGTAAACGTTTTTAAATAAAAAAAATATCTATAAAATAAAAACGTTCATGGCATCAGCAAAGATTTTTAAAGGCTTCAAAAGCTGAATCTTTTATATCGACTATCAAAAACAGCGAATGGAATAAAAATCATCTTCATTCGGGCTCCGTCGGATTAAAAATTTGCCTGCTAAATCCATTCTACTTTGCTAACAACGAAATTTAAAAATGCCTGGATGCATCTTTCTTTCCTGGATGCGAAAATTGTTTAATTTTAGCTTGACGGTAGAGTTCTCCTTCATGTTCATTCATCTCCTCTTCAGTGCAAAAATTGTAGTTTCTATAATTTGAATTTTGATTTTAATAATTATTTTAATGATTATCGCGTACTTTTCTCGCTTATTTTTGTGGGTTCCTACTTTTCAGACTCTTCACGTTCAATAAAGTAATACAGAAGATAATATCATTGTTATGAATGTGAATATAAGAAATCGTCGTCTACTAAAAATCAATTTTTTAATTTTTTATCCATATATTGAATATTGAAACGGATAGTCGTCAAGTAGCCAAATTTTCATTGTCCAGAAAATATCATGAACAAATAAACAAATCATCTGAAGAAAATTTTCAAAACATGGCAACATTTTTTGATGTATTAATAAGAGCATATTAGAGCTGAAGCAAAAGTCTTTAGATGGAAGCAGCTCAATTTGGGCTTCAACACTACAAAAACCAAAGGAAACGTATTTGTATTTCCTGTTCAGCCATCTTTGCGTAGGCATTTGAACATTTGCTAATTCCTTTGTTAAAACTACGAAAAAATGAAAAAATTGTCCATGGTTGGTTCAACAGAACAAACTTGATGCTCACGAAAAAAGCGAAACAAACTCTTTCCTAGTTAAGTAACAATTTTAAAGAGATTAACACAGCTTTTAGCGATTAAAATTTCAAAAATTGAGTCTCTTAGAAAAAAAACATTAAAAAATAAAAGGAAACCCCACCAGCTACCTATAGAGCGTGAAACTTGGGTGGTCTGGCAAAGACATGTGTTATGCAACAAGTTAATGGATTTATGTTTGTTTAAAGAAACTGACAGTAATACGTCACATATCGCTCACGATGCTTGTTTTCCAAAGGTGTAAATCCGCCCATCTAATTTGAAAACGATTTGATGCGTTTTCGTATTCCGCTCATTTGCTACTCAAACATTGTTACCGGCGATTTATTTATAAGTAGCGCAAACAACGTCGGCATTAAATGGATTTCGATTTTCAATTAACTCTGGATATTTCCAATTATTTATTTATGGTAAAACGTAACGTTCGCTTAAAAGTAACTAGATGGAAATAGATGTGAAAACAATGCATTTTTTTTGAGTAAAACCCTTCAAGAACCCCACTAATGCTCTTGCACCATGTCTGAGCTCATATACACCATTAGCGTGATAACTGCAGTTGTAAATATTTTGCAAATGTTTATTTGAACGCAGTTTCAACATAACAGCCTACATGTGCATTACAGTGTATATTTAGTACTAACTAATAAGACTAGGATGTGGAATCAAAAATACTCAAGCGGGCATTTGGCGTCAATTAAGTCTAAGCGGATTTTCAGCTTTTTATAAACCAATACAGCCTCAAGGTAAAGTAGTAAATCAGCTCCATGACTGATAAGGCGCTACATCCGAAGAACAGCCCCATCACTCCTCCGAAATAGACTGCAACCAAAAGATAGTTAAAGTGGAGCAATTTGTTTGCTAATTTACCCACCTAACAAGTCAGAAAATCGGAATATTATGTCGCGTTTGAATCGCATCTCCGGAAAATTCTTAATTCCATACTGGATGTTGGACTTTAAGAACCATTGACGAGAGTCCATTTCTTCCACTACATAGCTCACTTGTTCGCAGTTTGCCAGGCAGAAGCAGCTGGCGTTTATATGTTCCAGTGATATCAGTTGCTCTAGAGGAAGTAGGGCTTAAACACTAAAGATTCCGGAATATAAATGGAAATATTTCAAATTGAGTGTAACTCCTGTCTTCTCTAGACAGCTTTTATTGGTCTTCACATCTCGCTTCTATCGCTTAACAAATTATCAATTTCTTCCGTTGTAACGTTGTATGAAGAACGTGGTTAGAAAAAGGAACCTTTGGCTGAGTCAAAAACTTCATCCACTCACCTTTATATTGCGCCAAACACTTCAAGCCCTTCACATCGCATGTTCTTTCATGTGCTGCAACAGCAAATCATTTAAAATTTAAAAAAACATCGATTTTACCTTTAGAAGCAAACCTACGAAGTTTTCTGTAAAAATGCGGCACGCATCCACACAGATTTAGGGCCAGACGTATCCTGCACTCCATCCTGCAGATCAAGTACGAATAAACTGGAAAATGAGTCAAGTTACTTTCATGGTAAAAGCGGCATTTTCTCTGTCTGATTCGCAAGGTTTTCGTATCTTCGCTGCTGATTATGCTCAGAGCTGTGTAGTAGACCTGCAGTAAATGATCGTTGGGAACAACCAAGGGTCTTCTACGCACGTCTGGCACTTCAAAGGGGCCGTGAATGTACACCTGGAAATTTGCATGAAGGGTTCAACAGTTCTGGTGATTTGGCTGGGTGTTTTACATTGAAGCCCGTGGACACATTGGCGATATTTGCAGATACTTCACCATCAAGCGGATGGAGCTCAAAAGTACTGGATAGAGGCAGTATTGTCTGCTGATTGACGAGCCATGGCCTGGTATCGATAGTAATATTTCAGAAGAAAATAATAAAGACACATAAAAAACGATTGTTTGTAGGAGTTTTATTGCACTGTCAGCTTTGGTGGTTTGGAAAATATTAGTTGATTTTTGTAACAGTTGGCCACAGAAGAGTTTTAGAAAAAAAACTTTGGCAAGTTTTCAAGATAGGAGTTTCAAAAAAAGATGTCGGAAGTATAAAAATGTTGTTGAGCAGCATGCAAGCAATAAGTGAATGTTTTCTTGAGAGTTTTTGTATCACACATAAGAGTTAATATATTTATACTAGACTTTTGAAGAATCCGACAGCATTTTTCAATTGAGACCTTTTCTGGTTTTGAAGTTACGATATTTTCAATATGAGATTGCAACAATCGTTAGCTAAATTGTTTCTATGCCACATTGAAAGGCATTGAAAAAATTAGTGAGCGTTTGCCTTTGAGTGCATTTTTTACTAGAGTAGCTTTGAACAATTATTGTGAAATTGTGAATTTTTCAAATTGAGACTTATTTTAGTTGAGCAGTTAGGAGCTTTATCAACGGAAGAGATAGGGTCAAGTATATTGCTTCAATATCAGTTGGCATAATAAAAAAAAACGAATCTGTTCAATCAATAAAATGAAAAAATGTAAAATTCTGAACTTGGGTGAATTTATCATTTAATAAGTCAGTTAAAATATTGGCAAACTGCTAAAGAAATACAGTACTTTCTTTCGACCAAATGTAGAAGCATAGAAGAAATCAATCCATATATGGGTTTCAGTCATTTTTTTGGCAGAAAAGAAGTGAGCTGATGATTTCGTTATCAAATTGTTAATTTTTCAGATCAGTATTTTCCAAACGTTTGGCAGCGGGCAAGAGATCACTGAGTGGTTGCATGTGAACAAACTTCTATGTGAGTTAAAATTGAGGCTCTTTTTCAATTTCAAATTTTCAAGTTGGAAGTTGCAGTAGTTTGGAAGTTAGTAGGTGTTGAATAAGACGATGCATAAAGGAATTGCCTTTCAATTTAAAATTTGGGAAATTACAGAAATCAGTAGGTGCTGGGATTGCTCTATCTACAGTTGTCGGGACGTTTTCATGCACAGTTAGAGTAAATTTTCATTCGAAAGTTCAATTTCAAGTCAAGCTAGCTTGGAAGTTAAAAGTTTTTAGCCTTTTATATTCATATAGTTCGAAACTAGGAAATCGACTAAACTCACTCAGAGAGGTTTTGGCGTGCCTCCACGTTTAGGAATTTGAAAAGTTCAGGATGGTTTCAATAATTTTTTCTGAAGCCTTTTGCCTAAGTTTTAGAAATTTGCTTGAAAATTACCCATTCTTTATTTTTGATTTTTAAGGGAAATGTTGGAAAGGAAAAATAGTCAATCTTACATACATATCAAATGCGTATTTAAAAGCAAAAAAGTTTGAAAACAAATACATCTTTTCTTCTGACTGATATCAAAGAATCATTCGTTTTCCTACATTTTTTTTTAATGGATTATATAAAGAACGACGCAACTCTACAGTTTTTAAAGCTGTATAACTCAAGTCTGTTCCTTATCAATATTTCCGTGTTTCTCTGAAAAACTTACTGATACTTTAGAGAAAAATATACAGCCAATGGAGAATTAAAGCAGTAGCAAAGGCCCATTTCCGTGAAAGTCTGCGCTAGCCAGTCGTTGGTGTTCAAAACTTGTCCGGAAACGGTTATTGTTGGTGGAGTGTTATCATACAATTTCACAATCGTCGACAAATAGTTGCTGGGATCGATTTGATCATCTTCAAGGATGGAATGAAGAGTGCTTAGATTGGAGTAGAAAAGAGAAGTGAGAAACAGCTTCAGTTTGCTTGAATTAGCCGGCCTGACTGTATGTAATATCTCGTCTAGGGCTGTTTCGTTCATGTTATTTGATAGGCAGAAGGTGATGGCTGCAAAAGAAAAGTTTGCTCTATTTCAGCATTTTAGGCGATTTTTATTACCTGGGAGATACGTGGTCCATAAATACCGATCTCTATCCACGGATATGACAGTTGGGTTCGTGTAATATCGGTAGATAGTCATATAACTTAGAGAGAATGCATAATAAGCGCTTGCTATCAGCAAAAATGTCCATAAAGTCTTTTCCAAAATATGGGGAGTTTTTCCAATTTGGTACAACCCGTGAACATTGCTGCCAACCAGAAACTCGCGATAGTATTTAGTTGCAGGTTTTTTGCGATTGGGAACTATTCGTTGCTGTTCCATTTCTTCGACTTGATTCTACTACCAAGAATAAAAGGCCAGGATTTACCAGAAAAGATAATATATTTTTGTTATCTGCGATCTGCGCTTACGATGCATAAAGGAATGATAGTCATTAACGTGGAATGTGTTAAATATTTAATAACATTCACTGATACACGTTACATTGAATAGATAAGTTCGTTGCGTTTTTCCTACATAATAATATGCGCTTTTAATATTTAAGGCCACCTAAAATAAGTAATGTTTAATAAGCTGAGACCTTGATGCCAAAACAACACTAGCAGCTTAGGAAAACTTGGAGGTTTCGATGCTATTTAATCCTTCCATCCTCAGTCGTTGCAGGATGGGGCGATATACGTCCGAAGCGACGGGCAGGATGCATCCTCTGGTCAGAATTTCACCTGTAACCACTTTTTTAAAATCTAGTTCTAGACGGTTCTGGTAAGTTTACCATTTAAGATCAGTTTCGTTGCAATAGCTGTCGTATATCCCACAGTTTTCGTCATAGCTGAGTATCCATTTACTTCTCCATACACCACAAAATTCACTCCCCTTTTTTCCTTGCGATTGCCCGGCCAACTGATGCCGATATCCTGTCTGAGGATTACTAAGTCTCTGTTGTTTGGCTGAAAAGAGGTCTCAAACGCCAGCTTCCTCGATAAGTAGTGGGTGATGGTATTCAAAGGCGATACCCATTTGTCAACTATTTCATCGTCCAACAGCCCCAGATCTTCCAAAACTTCCACAGCATAGCCGCCTCCAAATTGGTTTGACATTTTCATTTTCAAGCTGTCTAAGAAAGTGTTGGAGTATACCATGCCCAGAAGAATGCAAACGAGCCGCCTCCATGTAATATCTGGACTGGTAAATTTAAGAGCCGGGTGCTCAGCTGCGTCCAAAAATCCTGAAGTCAACCAAACACTGATTGGAAACGTTGCGGTGTCTAAACTGAAACGCTTCTTCTACCAATGAACTGAAGAATTCGGACGCATTGAGAGAAGCCCTTGTATCGAATGGTGCCTCTCAAGACAGTGTCTGCGCCCTCAATTCCATAGGCCTTGGAGTAACTGGTGCTATCGCGATTAGGAAAACCTTCCAAGTTAAATCCAGGGAGAAAATCCAAGGTTTCAGTTGCTAGCATCAGATCGCCGCCTGCCAGTATTTCCACAATTTCACCATTTTTGATGTACCTGAAAAACATATGCTGCATCCTGCAAACTTCGACTTGCATTCACATCTCACTTGGCGGGAGCAAGACTGTTTAAAAGATCATCTCGTGGTGACGAAGTAAACTTGTAACTCAAGGGATTGTAGCTGAACTCTGGAGCAGACAAACCTCCACAAAAGGACACAAATGAGGTGATTTTCCCTCCTGACTGTTGAACCCTTTCAATGCACTCCAGAGCTAAAAGATGGTCAATTCCCGGGTCGAGTCCTACTTCATGGATGATTGTCACGTCTGCTTCCACAGCCATGGCATGCATATTTTTAACCTCAATATCCGGGATAGGATTGATTTTGATTATGCGATTCTTTTAACTTACCTCCGGGCTTAGGTAGCTGGCTGATACCATATGCGTTTTTTGGGCAATGCACACTTTGGCTATTTGAGGATGCAGGTTAGGTGGCAAAAGGGAAACGACAATGTCTGCATTTTTTACCAGTTCCTCTAAAGTGCTATGTTTCTTGGAATCTTCAACATCCAAAACGGTGATATCCACTCCAGCGTAGCAGTAAAAGTGGAACAGGTTACTTCCCAAACCCTTCAGTTTAGATGCAATTTTTATCGCAATAGCAGGGTCTCGATGCAGATATTTTATTAAAGGATATGCCACTCGTCCAACTCCCAACATCAACACGTTCTTCATCATTTCACTGTGGCACTTCTTCAATCTTTTACGATCCATATTGCAGAAGTCGGAAATTTTAGGCGCTTTGTTGGCGTCTTGATATTACTCTGGGTAAACAACTATTGTTGAAAACAATTAAAGTACTGATAATTTTTATAACGAATATTCCCACCTGATGCAGCTTGATAAGATATGGTTTAATCTTTAATTCAATAGATTGCGCTTGTCAAGGTTAAGTGCATCATTAAGATTCATTCAGGATGCAGGTCGAGAAAGCAAAGGCTAGGAAGAGAAACTGGAAGGATCATAAAACACTCTTAATCAATTATTTTTTCTTTGTTTTTCATTTGATGTCATTGATAAAATATATATTCGCAAAAGTGATTATTTATCAAGCATGAACATTGATAAAAAAAAATAGAGCTTTCTCAAAGTGTTCCCGAGTTTTCACCCTTGAGATTAAAAAAACTTGGAGGTTTCGGTGGCAGTTAAACCCTCCACCCTCAGTCGCTGCAGCATTGTGCGACATACTTCCGAAGCAAATGGCAGGATGCAGCCCCTGGTCTGAATTTCACCTAAAACAAATTCCTTTAACTGCAGTTTCCTAACATTTTTTGCCTTATAAACCATCTAAAATCATCTTCGTTGCAATTGCCGTTGGATACCCGACAGTTTTGGCCATAGCTGAGTGCCCATTAATGTCTCCATACACCACAAAGTTCACGCCTTTCATTTCCTTCCGGTTGTCCGGCCAATTGATGCCAATGTCGTGCCTGAGAATAACCAAATCTCTTTCGTTTTTTTCTGCGAAAGAAATTTTCAAACAGAATTTAATAAAATAACAAGGTCAAGACCATCCCACACAATGTGTCTCACCCAAAGCCAATTTCAAGGATAAATAGTGAGTGATGGTATCCAAAGGTGAGCCACATTTAACAACATTTCTATCATCTAAAAGCCCCAGTTCCTCCAAGACATCCACCGCATAGTCGCTTCCAGTTCGCTCCGAAATCTTAGAGGTGAGATTGTCATAGAAAATGTTGGAGTCCTCCAGACCTAAAAGAGTGCAAACCAGCTGCCTCCATGTAATGTCTGGGCCTTGGGAGTGAAGTGAAGGATGCTGCGCTGGATCCAACAACCCTGAAATCAATCAACCCGGTCTATTAACTATCTGGTCTTAGCTGGAGGTGGATTACCAATAAACTGCAGAATACGAGCGGACTGGGAGAACCCATTGTACCTAATGGTCCCCCTGAGAATGGTGTTGGCGTCCTCTATTCCGTAGGCTTTGGCGTAAATGGTACTGTCCCGATTAGGGAAACCTTCCAAGTTAAACCCAGGTAGGAAATCTAGGGTTTTAGTGGCTCGCATTAGCTCTCCTCCTTCGCTGATTTCCACAATTTGACCTTTTCGCAGATATCTTTAACAAGTTTTGTTGAGGAAAAATCATCAGCTACAACTTTTAAAGGAGCAATTCTTACTTGGCGGACGCTAGAGTGTTGAGTAGAGCTCCGCGTGGTGACCAAGAAAATGTATACCTCAAGGGATTGTCGCTGAATTCTGGAGCAGGAAGCCCACCGCAGAACGACTCAAAGGACGTAATCCTCCCACCTAAATCTTGAGCTTCCTTAATGCATTCCAGAGCCAGAAGATGGTCGATTCCAGGATCGAGTCCCACTTCGCTGAGTATTGTTACTCCGGTGTTGAAAGCTTTCTGATGCAAATCCTTGATCTGCACTCAAATGAAGCTTTGGAAAACGCCCAAAATTTCTATTCTATATTCTTACTTCTTGGCTTAAATAGCTCGCTGTCACCATATGCGTTTTCTGAGCGATGCAGATCTTGGCAATTCGCGGATGTAGATGGGCGGGCAGAATTGAGACTACCACATCAGCTTTTTCAACCAACTGCTCCAAAGAAGACTCATTAGCATCAACAGCATTTAGATAAATACTTTCCACTCCTGGGTAAGTGTTGGCCAGGTTATCGCCTAAGTCTTTGTGATCGCTTGCCACTCTTATTCCAATGGTTTTATCTCGGTGCAAGTATTCGATTAAAGGAGATGCCACTCGGCCGGCTCCGAGCACTAAGACGTTCTTCTGCATCTGAGAATCTTCGGAGCTTTGCTTATGGCGACTGCCACTGAACCATTGAGAGTAAGAAAAATTAATTCCCAAGCATGCAAAAGTGGAGGAGTACTGTGAACTTACGCGTGTTGCTTCCTGAGCTCATGTATATATTCGTAGTTTGGTGTGAGTTTTCCGTTGCTAGCAATGATGGCCTACATTGAAATTCCTCTACTTACAGGTCTCAAAATAAAGTCAAGTAAAAATGTAAAGGACATGGACTTCTAATGCATTTTAGTTGTAAACCCACACCAAATACTCACCCCGTGAACAACAGGATTAAAAATGTGCTTCTCCAGCGGCTCCTGGGCATTAGACTGAATAATATCCTGCGTGAATGGAATCAGAAGGTCTCCAAAGAAATCTGTGCTTTCCCTAGGGATTTGAGTGGGCATGTTGTCGATACTGCACACCAGCACTCCAGGTCCACTAAAGCTGTTCGTATCTTTGTTCCTATCTGCATCGTAGAGGCAAAATGGGGTGTCTATGGTGGTGCATTCGTTCATGAACTCTATGGATCCGCCCGGATCTGCCGAAATGTCGCAAATTGCCAACATCCGATGGGGAAGTCCTGGGGCGCCTATAGAAGTGGGCAACCATGGAGTATGAGGGGGACGCAGCAAATGCTTTGCATCCGGGATTGTAAGGAGTTTAGGACTGTCCACAGCCCAGTAGATGCCGTTGATTATCACTGAAGCGTAGGAGGCGATTTTTTTGCTGAAAGTCGACACGTATCGTTCGGGGTGTTCTTCGTATTCGGTCCGATCGAAACCTGGAAGATTTTGTGTAGTAGAAGATCTGCAGACAGGAATATCTGTTGAGCGTAAGGGGAATGGTGGACAAGATTCAGGCGGCTTAGAGGCGTTTTTTGATTTTACAGGAATTAGCTAAATTGCAACTTTTTGGAGGCCATTTAACAATTGATTTTGTTCCAATAATATTATATAGGCATTGGAAAATTTGGTGTGGCTCGATGTTGTTTAAACCACAAGTTTCTCAAGTCAAATTCGTCCAAATGTGACCCTAAAAATATGTAAGCGTCAACAGATAGCGCTGACCATTCATAGAAACTTCTGAACATTCATCAGCTTCAGTTTCAAAAAAATATGTTCCAATAAACCATATCAAGCAGTAACCTTTTTCTGGATTCAATTTTAAACAAAGGTTTATGGATTTTAAGCTGTTTTAAAACAGAATATTTTGATTTGATGGTTCTTGAGTCAAAACAATTTTGTAAGGATGTAAATGGTGTAACTTTGCCGACTTAATCGACAAAATTGCATCTTGACCGACATTGGCTTTTACAGCCACAATATTTCCTGTACTTCTTGCAGCAGGAAGGAGGTCATATTGGTGATTTGGTATCGTTTAAACTTTAAACGCGCTCAAATTTATCAACGATTCTACGAATAGTAAGCACAGAAAGATAATAGTATTTATTTGAAAGCGAACCTTAAGCATGAATAAAAGAACAGTTATTTTGATGAAACTTGTGGATCATTTACCGAAGATACCGAAGACAAATGTTATCACACAACATTTCTACCGGTTTAAACGTGACCGCCAAGACAGTTTCAAAACATATCCCTCCTATTGAAAAACTTTATGAGTCTTGTTGCCCTCATCAATGATGAATGAATGAATGAATTACGAAGAGTTAACCATCCTAATCACAATTTGTAAATCCACTACCTAAGTTTCTAATCAACTTTTCATTGTGCGAACTTACCTCCTCCATCGGCGCGCTCTAGGTAATGCCTCCTTCTCACCTCACATCCATAGACCTTGTTAAGGCTTCCATGTTCAGCGACCTTTTGCAGCATCTCCGGAGAAACGTACTCATGAGGAAGTTCTTGGAATAGTTCTTGAGATCCTAACAAAAATATTATTGAATAGTAAGCTTAGTATATCCATTCGACGGGAGGTAATATAAATGCATCACTAGGGTGTGCTAGAAAGACATGAAAGTTTCCGGTTTAATTTTGATTCAAGAACTCATGGAGGTCGGTTTATTGGAAGTAATTGCTGTTCTGGCTCAATTTTCTCACAAAATTTGTTTATATTTTGAGCTTATTTACACAGACCAAATTTTAACAGGTATTTATTCAAAAACGCGCCTAGCTGAAGGGTGACTTTTGTATCAGTAAAGTAGTAGAAGTTTTGATTTTCAGTCAGCCTTTATCCAGATTGTTTAAATGAGGCATATAATTTTGTGGTTCTCTATGTGGCATTTATGGCCAAAGTGTGGCATTTATTTTCCCAAACACCAATAAAGCTGGAACTTTGTTTTTAGTCGTATTTTGTATGGCAAAGTGTATTCTATTTGAGAAAAAAATCGAATGAAATTTTGTGATTGTTAATGCTGGTTGAAGTTTAGCACTGATTTGTTCCGACACCAGTGAAACTCGATATCCATTTTGAGTGCATTTTCCAGCGCAAAGTTCACTCTACGGGTGGAAATAAAGCTTCGATTTTCTGTTTTTATATTTTGTTTTGGTTTAAGTTGCGTGTGGTTTTCGCGAATATTTAAGCAGATCATAGTTTAACATTTATTTTATCGGGAACTAGTAAAGAAAGAGATCAGTTTTGCTTCACATTTATAGGCGAGGTTTGTTCTATACGTTAAAAAGGTTTCGATTTTAACCACCTTGAGAAAATTTTTGATTTTTTTTTATATTTGAATTTAAATTTTATTTATGCAGGACTGGCTTTTGCGTGGACTTCTTTGTGCAAAGTGAATGAATATGTTTTGAATTGCATCTATGGAATATTCACAGTAGCTCTAGTTTAAATCCATTTTTTGAGGGTTTCAAACGTACATTTTATGAACATCTGTGGTAGAAAGGGCCGTTTTAAGAGCAATTTCTAGCAAAAAAATTAGTTAGCTACAGTTCAATTATTCATAATTGGGAAAGGCACTGTTTGGAAACTCAAATGTTATTTGTAAAAAAAAAGTGTCCTACTTTAAATGTAGTGTGAAAAATGGTTCTGAAATTTCGTTTTTGAACAAATTATAATAAATTAGTTCTTCATTGTAAATTAAGTTCACTTTTAAAAAAATCTGTAATGCCTTGAGAAGGCGGGAGAAAATCTGACTTTAAAAAACATAAATAGTGAGTGGAAATTACCCAAAAAAAATGTTTTGAAAAGATTATGATAATCTTTATGCTGTGCCGCAGGTATTGAGTAATTAAGTTAAGCGGACAATTAGCACTAGAACTTTTGGATGTTTTATTTCCCTTATCGTCCTTTCCCCCATTGATATAATTCACAATATTTGTTCAATTTATGCCAAAAACTCAAAGTCCCAAGCTGGTTTTTTGGCTTGCTGCTACTTACCAATCAATTCCACTATCATTTCTTTGAATTTAACAACATCGAAACCCGTTGCTTTTGCCTATTAAAAACGGTTTTGCTTACCTTCGTCTCACCGCCAATGAACCATGCAAATAATTAATGAAACTTTAATTTTGAAGTATCTGTTTTATAAGTAGTAGAAGTTTCGATTTTCAGTTAGTATCAGGCTAATTTCCAAATTATTTACATTTGCGCTAGAACTTTGTGAAACCCAGAGAACTTGGAACTTAGCTTTCGGGGGTATTTTGTGCTTTCGATGTAAGTTTGCACTAAAATGTTGTGATTGTGTATGCAGGCTTAAATTTGGCATTGATTTTTTCCGACGCCAGTAAAGCTCGGTATCCATTTTTGAGGGCATTTGCCAGCGCAAAGTTCGTTCTATAGGTGGAAATAAAGTTTCGATTTTCTATTTATATATTTTGTTTTTAGGAAAGACTTTTTCAAAGTTGCGTGTGGTTTTCGCGGATATTTAAGCACATCATAGTTTAACATTTATTTCCTCAAAAAACTGGTTAATTGAGGAATTTCTATAAGTTTTTGGAATTTTTTCAAAATGTGCTTGTATTTTGAGCTTATTTATGCAGGCCGGAGTTTAACAGCTATTTATTCAGAAACCCGTATACCTAGAGGGTTAGTTTATATGGACTTTGTTGACCCTAGTTGGCTTTATGAGTAGTAGAAGCTATTTTTCAGATTATTTAAATGTACGATAGAATTTTGTGGTTGTCTATGCATTTGAAATTTATTTGCTAAGAAGCCAATAAAGTTGGATAATTGCTTTCGGGTGTATTTTGAAGGGCAAAGTTGATTCTATTTGAGATAAAAATTCATTTTTTGTCACCATCAAGCCATTTTAAAAACTTCTTCAAAGTTGCATTTGGTTTTCGCGGATATTTAAGCCGCTTGACATTTAATTCCCCGAGAACTGGTAAAGTGAAAGAATCCGTTTTGCTTCAGGTTGATACGGCGAAGTTTATTCTATGAGTTGGAAGAATTGATCAGCTAGTGACTGACTATGAACAAAATTAATGATTTAAGGATCAACAAAAGCAGCTGAAGAAATGTTGTTGTTGCACACTAAGCAATATTTGCTTTAATTTACCTTGCGACACATTGCCAGATCCGGTAAAAACGAACGTCAAGGGACCCACCGATTTGGGCATGAGCCCCAAAGCGATTTCATATCCAGCATCCCGAACCGCCTGTCTGGCCATGCTGGTGTTCCTGTAATTGTGAGCAGGACCAATATGCATGAAAGGAGTGTGGTGTCCCAACGCCAATAGCCGCAGTCCCAAGCCGTGAAGAATATTCACTATTCCTGCTATGCCTGCCATTTTTCCAAACGCCACCACTCGCTGTCCTGAAGATGAAAATTGTCTCTAAATCCATTGGGCAGTGAACAGCAAAAGCTAATAAAACACCTTTCTCATCCATGAGCTTCTCATAGTCAATCAACCTGATTCTCTTTTCCAAAATAGCATCCAGCAAGGCCATGTTGGATTCCTGCGCTTTTATAGTATGCGAAAACAAACAGTAAGTCTTCTCCGGGATGAGTTGTTCGATTGGAACTTGCTTCACGCCAAATATAACGCTGGCTTCAGAAATATCCTCCTGAACAACAGCGCCTGCATTCAGATAGTTCTGCATCGGGTAGGATCGACGATTGGAGGGCTGCACTATCACTTTGATGCCATTTTTCACCAGTTTTCTTACATGGCTGGGCGAAAAAGAGGCTCGCCTTTCCCATACGCTCTGATCTTCTCTTCGAATGGCTATGATCTTTTTTGAGGCCTGCAATTGTCAGTTAATTTCATGAAAATAAGTATTAAAAAAATGGAGGTTTTTTTACGATTAGTTACTTTTAAGGTGCATCATTGTTAATTACTGTTTTCAAAAATTGCTACCTTTGATAAAACGAGCTAAAGTTTCAGGTTTTGGAATATAATTATGCGCGCTTCATTTCAAACAGTCGAACAAGCTTCAATAGATGGTCGAATAATCTGCCGGTATTATTGAAACTTAAACAGTTTGAGTCAATTTAAAGGTCTGGCCTATTAAAGGAAGGCTGTCGATTAAAAATGCGATTTTACGATGAAAATTTGTATAAACATGTGTTCAAAATCTCTTCGTTTTTTAGGTACAGTTAAGTGGCAAAGTTAACAAGTTTTCTAAATATTTCACGCAAATTTTAAGATACTGTATGTATAAGTCAAATAGTAAAATAATGTAACAGACTGATGTTGTTTGAGACCTTTTTATTTTAATATTCGATTTTCTAGAAACCGTTAAAGTCTGCTACTGCAAACTGACTCGCCCTGTATAGTGATGCAAATACGAATTCTATTGATTTAATACTTGAATTGTTACAATTGCATTGTCATTTATCAGTCGTGTATTCATGTGTGAATAAAAGCTTAAGTGAACCGGAGGTTTATTATTAAGCCATATCTGCTGAATGGAATTTCTTAGAAAAGTTGTCCAAATTCAAATATGTAAAACGTTCGTTTTGTTTTGTTTAAAAAGGTTATTGGCGATTAATTTCGGCAAAACTTCCTAATATCTGTTCAAGCTCTATCAGCATTTTTTTTCAAATTTAGTAAATTTTTTATTTGCTTATTTTGAGTCTATCTAATCAATCTAACAGTAAATATATTTATATTCGATTGGACGCTTCAGCTGGATATCTGTCTGGATTGCTTTTAAAGCAGCAGCAAGAAGTAAAATTGCTAAAACACTGTATTAATCAACATCTGAAGCAGACAAATCACCCTTAAAAAATATCAATGTCCCTTCCTTGCTAGAGTCCATATAATAATTTAATACTCACAAAGTCCCTGCAAAATACTGGTCGCCTCAACGCGAACTTCTTCGCAGTAGTTCCTGCCGCTTTCAACATGCTCCCAATCAATTCCTTAATGATCCTTATTTTGAGGCGATTTTTTTCTTTATACCGTTAAACTGTGGCAGTTGGACGATGGTTTTTTTAGAGGACTCGGAGCGCATTTTAACCCCAACCATCCGAACTATGGCACAATAATGATAATTATCTCATTTTTTCACTATGGGAACTTATCAAATCCAATACGGTCAAGACTTATAAACAATGTTGCTTAACTATATCGACATCATATGCCCGTACTTATCTTCGTATGTTGTTTTGAAATGCTACATTTGATTAGCTGCTGCCAACAAGAGTGGAATATCACCAAGATTTTTCCAAAAAAGTCGATTTGATTTACGCCTTCATACGAACAAATATACGTCTTTAATTTAATCAATTTTTGTTCTGGGCTTCTCCAAAAACATGAGTTTATTGTGGTTAAAGGACTGCAATAACACAGAAATTTTTGAGTTGCCTCAATAGATTACAAGTGAGTTTGTAAAATAAGGAGAAAATGGTTTCCACTAAACTTCGATCTTTTTAAGCTGGAAATTTAGCACCACTTAAATCCTGATAATTGGCGTTGTCAAAAATCGATTTGCTGTTGATTTTTTTAATGGGTAAAAGTTCAACAATAAATTTTCCAAATCCGCCAAATGCATAATTTCGTTCTTCTTAAGGAGCTTCGACGTACTTTAAAAAATATTGCCACCTTTTAACTAATTTACGCGCAACTGTTTGGTAAGTTGTCCCACATTATCCACCGAAATGCAGCATATTTAAGTCTTAAGATATTCAAAGAAGGGAAAAATCCATAGGGTTCAAATCGGGTTACCGAGGAGCCCGCGCTATAAACCATAGGTTAAGGCTGCGAAAACCAACTCATTCCAGCCACATTTACAGAAACGCTTCCCTAAAATATTGTCGAACCTCAAAACCATAATATTTAAGCTCATTTTTAAACTGGCGACAAAGTCCTAACAAGAAAATGGAAATCTTCCAAACAAACAGGCCACTGATTTCTTTTAAAAAAATTCAGCTTTATAGGTGAAAAGCAAATTTTTCAGAAAATGTTTTGCACTTCACGATTGCATCGCACTTATTGGGTTGAGCTACAGGATCTTCATCGCGTAAAGAATGGACCTTTTGAAAATTACATATATGACTGAAGGAGTTATTCCGACGAAGAATAAAATCTGAACGATTTTTTTCTTCAAAATCTTGTATACTCTGAGCAATTTGAAGCATTTGCTTGAGCACCAATTATTCGCACATTAAGGATTATTTTCAATACATTCTTCAAGTTTTTCTGTTCAGTGCCTACTCCAACCGACGTCAACGACTTTTGTCTTGAAAAAATTGAATTTAAATTGAAAATCTTTTTCGTCGGAAATGCTTCACCAAATAAACGCGTTCTTGCAGATTTCATAAGCCACAGCATATGATGATAGAATGATAAAAAAATTAAGATTTCAATAATATTTTTCGAATTAGTCTTATTCGATTTGAAACTTTGTAACTTGGAAAAATGTAGCACTTTCGTGGAAATGAGCTGCAATATATTCTTGAAAAGTTGAGGGTTCTGCAAAGAGAAAATTTCGGAAGAGTCATTGACTATTGACTGCATACCAATGATGAATTCGACCCTTGGAAATTAAGGGCTTATTTCCAATTTTGACTATTCATACTGGGCAACATTTTTTATATATTTCGGAAAACTGCTGTGTGAGCTTGAAACAATTATTTCACATAATACAAAAAATGCGTATATTAAAAAGAATCTAAATAGGTCTTCAAAAAATAAGCCTGGTGAATTTTCCCCGGCACTTCCCAGATCAAGTCGAGCCCGATGTGAAAGATTTTTTTCAGTATTTGATACGCATACGATGCCGGAATAAAATAAACACAATTCCATTAGGGATCCAAATGTTCTCGATGGCTACATATGGCTTATTTGTATATTAAATTGGGCCACCCAACGATTGTAAATTGCCCCGTATGGTCAACTTTACAGTTCAAAACTGACAGTATAATAATAAATCGGCTAAGTAAAATATTCAGGATAAAAAAAACACTTAAGGCTTGCGAAAGATGTTTTTATTTTTCATACTTCAATACAGTTATGAAGAAAATGCAACTAAATCCTGGACAACTCGATGAAACAATGAAAACTTCTTTTATTTAAATGAAGTTCAAAGCGAAAAACGCAGTCAAAAACTTCACTTTACTAATAAAATAATCTGTTGCTCTGGTACTATAAACTGAAACATCCTGTACATGTGCTTTCCCACACTTACGTAAATGTTTATTCCTCAGTCGGCTGGGACAAACTGTTCAATGAGTCCAGAGTAGCATACGATGGCAGTTCTCCTTTCGTAAAAATCCCTTTGCGCTGACCCTGCAAAGAAAAAAAGTTATATGTGCGACATTGCAAAAAATGTGTAAGATTCGTGTTCTTACCCCAAGATTTTCAAGCTCTAATAGTAGAGGGCAAAACAGCAAATTGGCAAAACCCACCAGCCGCATCAGCCAAGGGAAACCTACAACTTCGACTGCTTGGCCTCCTAGCAAAGGCCCGAAAGAATAAGCCACAGCTACAGCAGCTTGCTGGAAAGCATAGACAGGGCCGTATTGGCTAGAGCCCTTGTTATCGACAAAGTTAGCCAGCAGTGGCACTAGAGATGCATCAACTGCGCCTAAAATTAACCAAGTTTATTTATCATAATTTGAAGTTAAACTCTTCCCCTTGGAGTTACAAACCTACTCCCAATCCCAAGCCGAAATGGGGAATTGCCAATTGAGTCATAGTATTCGCCATTGGTATGTAGCAACTGCTGAGCCCAGCTAAAACCATAGCGCTGATGGAAATTCGCCATGGCTGAACTGGAAGAAGACCTGGAAGTACAAATGCATGCGAAATGGAAGATGATGTTGATCATCCAAATATTTTCCACATTTTTAAAGATGGATATAAATTATGTGTTGAAGAACTAAGATTTTAATGCAAACTGTGAAAGCACATAGTCTGAGCTAAACTGTTGCAGATACTAAAAATGTGCAGATACTGTTTCTTTCTGACTAAAGAAGAGAGATGAACATTCAAAGAAAACACTAAGTATAATTTGTCTCAGCTTCTTCATAGAATATGTGGAAGAGTCTGTTCTCCATTCAGGATCGATCCTTCACATAGACAAAGAAGCCAAAGGGATTCTCTTTTCTATAGTTACACAAGATAAAAACTCTGCAAGATGACGAGTTAAGCAAAAATTACCAATGAATGTTTAATCCGAAAGTAATGAGGAAGTGAAGTTTGCAAGAAGTAAAGTTGAATAGTAGAGCAATGAAGGAAATGGTCGAGAACGAAAATATGAAGACAGTGAACAGGATACTAAGTCTGGTTCAACGATAATAACAGCAAAAAGTACAGTCAATGTACAGTACAATAAGAGTTTTCAAAGTCAGTAAAATCAAACTGGAAGGCAGTAGAAGTATATCAATATACATCATTAGAAGAATTCGATCGTATACAAATTTCCCTAATCTGCACGGTATTCCTATATGTTAATGTGTTTTGGTACCGTTGCAGATACGGAAAAAAAATTATCAAACAAATATTTGCCCCTCTTGGGAACTGAAAATATCAGCTACAAATGACCAGAAATGTACGGCGAGTCCGTTCTTAAGAACAGAAGTGTTCATATTAAAGAAGATCAACCGTTAAACCGATTTGGTTGTGCAGCTTAGCAAGAATAAAAAAGTTTGGAACTGATGCTTATTACAAGAAGGCCTTATATAATATAGAATAGCTGGTCAGTGGATCCTTTATTTGAAAATACATTAAAAATGGTGTTTGCGAGAAGAATATGTAAACATCTATAGCAAATGCACCAAAAAGATATGTACCGACTTAATAAAGAGCCATCAGTATTTGGTATCTAAGTGGATAACAGAAATCGAATTGAATAAGGAAAAGAAGCGATTGGCAAAACAGAAAGCAGAAGACAGACGGAGGAAACTGTTTGAAAGTCTACTGAGCGAATTGAAATTACAAAAGTTACTATCGCAGAATTGAAAGTAGAATGAAAACTTATACATACAAGTTTTACAAAACTCATTCAAGAAGAAACGCAAGACGAATTCGAGATATTTTTTAAATTAATTCAATCGACCAGATATTAACCCCAGAACTAAAAAAGGGAACCTTCCCCTAATCTAACACAAAAGAACGTGTTCCCTAATCTAACACGTTGTTTTGTGTTAGATTAGGGGAAGAATGCTACGAATGAAGATGGAGTGTTGTAAAAAATATGTGACCACCGCATAAGAGCGATCAGTTCATTGCCAGTAAAATGAATCAGAAGGCTTATCTTCAGTTAAATTCCCTACACTTGATAAAGCGTTTTAAGCAAATGTTTTCTGGATCTAAACATTTGCCTTGAGCTGATATTGGCAAATGTTTGGAGCCCAAGAGGAGCAGCACCTTCAAAATTACTTCTAATAATTGATGCTTCATCTGCAGCCATAAACATTTGCCTAAACCCGCACCAACTTCACCAAACAAATCCGGCCAACCGATTTTTAACAAACCCATTGCGGCTCAAAGTGAAATAACTAAACTTGGACCGTAAAATTACTTGAGTTTTTACCGGCAAAATGTGATCCAATAAAATAGCCCATGCTATCGGGAATAAAAACAGCGCCCAGTTGCCACTTGGAAGGTCTCGGCTTCATATGCACCAGCAGCCACATGGGAACGCAAGGCTCCAAAATCGCCATCGTGGATGTGCAAATGCAAATGGCCAAACCTGATATAACAGTCACTTTGTCCTTAAGAAGAGCCGCCCATTGATCGTAAGTCGACTCCAGATGACTCCCATTGGGCTTTTGACTGCTGGTTTCCAGGATGTAAACCTGGAGACCTAGAAAGAATGACTTGTAAAAGTTGGGCGGATGTGATAAGGACTCGTACCAATGCTGATCAGGATGAAGAAAGCGATGAGCATGAATGGAGCGCTTTTTCCTAGCAGCTGATAGGCAGCCCCTCCTAGTGGATATCCTATAAGCACCCCAAGGGCTATCCCGCCAAATGCCAGAGGCATCAAGCGATTTCTGGACTCCTTCGGCAAATTTTTCGCCAAAATGCACATTCCGCTCACGGCAACTGCAGCCGAAGAGCTTCCATGTAGCGCTCTAGCTAACACTAGAATTCCATAGGAGTTTCCAAATGCAAAAACTGAAAATATTTTTCAAACCTAAAGAACAACAAGAAATGTTGATTCTTACGTAAAGCTGCTATAAGCATATTGCAGGATCCAATCAAAAGGGGTACGCTGCAGTCAAGGATCTGAGTCAAATAACCAACCACCGGAGTAAAGGCCAACTGAACAAAAGCTTTGGAAGCAAGCAGGGCTCCTAAGGGCCCATTATCTTCTTCAAGCGTTTCAAACTTTCTCTGTAAAGGGCTTAGCGAAGCAGGTGCATAGTTGGCGGGACTTTCCAAAGGAGCCGAATAATTGAGAATATGGGCGAATAAATAGTCGGGAATTATTGGCACTAAAAATTGCAAAATCCCAAAGATTCTGAATCAATTAATCAATATGAAGCCACTTACCAACGACAGTCAGTAAAATATTATCAAGTAGAAACATCATGTAAACAATAACGAAAACCGCCGAGTGACTTTTTCGGATATCCATGTTCTCCATGGTCCAGTAACTGGCTGCTGAAGAGGCGGCTCTGCAACTGTCAACTCAAGAAGCTGGAAAAGGTGTAGCATGTGGTCCTTGTAAAAGCCATTTGCGATGCGGCAGGGTTTTAATAAGGGCTTAATGGAACGTTTGCAGCTTCAGTGGAGATTCCATTACCGGCTCGTTATCTCGTGCCAACACACTTGTATTGTAATCAATTTAAGGAGATACATGGGTTGTTGCCACGGATCTAACCGGCGGAATTTGGGGAATTTTTTTTTCTGTGGTAAATTTCAATTAAACCACCGAGTCGATTAGTAAGTCGATAAGTCGAGTAATTCACCGAGTCTATTTTTTTTAGTTAACATTAACGTTCAGCTAATTTAAAACTTTCAAAAAAACGTTCTGCGATTACCGACAATAAAAATAAATGCATAGCAATAAAAGATCAACTTTAGTACCCTGTGCCTCAAAAGCAAAAAAGGTTCGTAAATATATATTATATTGTAGATTGCAAATGAAGGTTTCCGTCAATTGCATAAGTTCTTCTGCCCTTAGCTCCTATATTTATGCAATTCGGATGCATTCAATCTTTTTCACCTTCGTGTTTTCGTTTTCCATTCTATGATTTTTCATTATTTCTACAATTTTTAGATTCCAAGTTGACAATTTGTTTTTTTTTCGGAATTTTATTCGGAAAATTCTTTCAGTTTGTTGCTGGAATGTACATTTTTTCTAGTATGCCTTTAAATGTGAATTGCATCACTTGTTCATTGATGTGTCTATTATACGGGTGAATAACTCTGAATTCAGATTGAAAACTTGATGCAAAATTGTATGTAAGTAAGTTATAGAAAAACCTGCCCCAAATTAACCCTTCCAATATCAACAGTATGGAAACTACCCCTCTTTCCATAGCTAAAATGCAAGTAGCTGAGACATTTTTCCAATTTAATGCATATATGTACACATTTTTTTATTGTTTTCCGCAATCTGCTGATTGACTGACTACAAGCACAGCTTTCATTTCAAGCAATTCCTAACGAAAATTTTTAGTCAAATCTGATGTTTTTTGTTCCGAAACAGTGGTGTATACGAAGAGTTTGCTCCAAATTCGATTTTACCTAATACTAATAAAGCACGTGAACAGAATGAATCTTACATCTGACCTTTTCTCAAAATATTATAAAAAACTTCGTAAACTCGAAAAACTTTACTGCACAAGGCAAGGAAGACGAATAATCTCAATATTAATGAAAAATATTAAAAAACTGAGTAATATAATATAAATTACCTACTAACTTAAAATTACCCCGGATTTTTTTAAAATACTAGAAATTCATGACTCTTTGAGAATCTAAAGTTTTTGTGCGCACGTATTAACCGGTTATGTATTATTTTTCTCCATCAAAATTATTTTTCTTAATCCAGCTGTTGTTAAGAACAAAAAAAATATGTTTGAAAGAACTCATATATTAAATATTTGATTATTGTGCCATATCATCAGACAAATTACAAATCAACTGGAGAACGCAGTAATAAGAGCCCTTGCGTTAAATACTCTGAAGAAATAAAACCCATTTTGCACACAAGTAAAATGTATTTGTTGTATAAACAACCAGCATAATTTCAGTTTCCTAAATCCTCTAATAATGCTTTATTCACACTACAAATCAGAAACTTACTTAAAACAACCAGTTCAAATCAGTGACTTCAAATCCCAAGTCTTTAGAACCGCTTGCTTCACAATTAAGTACGCATGTGGTTTAGGATATTTTTTAAATTTGATCTTGAAATCTAAAACCGTGTAACTTTGTCAGTATTAGCTGGAGATTCACAGCACATATCAAAGTCAATGTCTTCGGGTAATGCTGGGCAGGAGTACAGGTCGGGCTGTTGCAAAGTTCCAGCAGGAGCAGTTGGTGTGATTCCTGCCCTGGCCACAGCAGCCGCATTAATCGCCGCTATATTAATACAGTCGTAGATCGGCTGTAGGTATAGAGAAAAAAATAATATGAACACAAATATGTAAAATCTAAACATTTTATGAAGACAAATAAATAAATAAACGTTATTAACGTGCAATTTGTTCCTACACTTGTGCAAGAACGCGTCCAACACGAACGGTAATTCGGACGCGTGATTATGAAGCTGCGGTAATTTTGCAGATAGCTAAAATTGACTCCTCAAACTCGATTTAATTCCGCAATTGCAAAATATATTGGTTGCCGCTGTTTCTAAGCAAACAATTTACTGTACTGCTAACTAGTTACTTTATTTAACTTCAAGCAAAAACTGGATTTTTTACGACTTCAATCCACTCATATAATGAATTGGATAATCTCCTTAATGCTAAATTAAGTGATATGATTATGCCATTTTCGCAGTAAAAACTGGTGTTTTTGGGCTTTTGGAAAACGCTTTAGAATGTTTGGACGAATTATCAAATGAGTTTCTCTTTTACTTTAGTGAATCGTTTCGGTTTTATCTTTGCGTGTTGTCTAAATGATTTTCCTCTTTTTAATTCTAATTTCATGCAGTTTTTCGCCTCGCTTTCAGTTGGAAATTCTTAAAATTTGAACAAATGAGAAATATTTTTGGCTGTTTGAGATACTTTAACAGTTTCCATATTATCTTTGAGAGACTAAAGGTTGTTTATCACATTCTGAAATTTTTCTTGTTTCCATCGATTCGCCTTTCTTATAATCGCTAAGGTGAATGTTTCTTCAGTTGCACATTCACACACACGCAATCAAGAATTCTTCTTTTAACTTTTATTTAACTTTATTTCAGTTTTATTAGTATATAGTCCTCAAAGACTCGTTTATTAAAATCAGTTTACAGATATTTACTTTCAAACACTACTGATTAATTTTATACCAAAAAAATGTCCTTTGAAATTAATCTACTAAGATATTTTTTTTAAATCTACTGCAAACACAGATAAAAGATCAGATGAAACTGGAGCACTATAGATATTAGAAATATCGAGAATTATTGCGGAAATGTATAGCAAAAGATCCTCTCTACCTCTCTGTATATCAAGGTTTTATAATTTATTCTTTCCGTATTTCTTTGCAGTAAAATTAATGCGGGTTTCAGTTGCGTGAGTAAATAGTTTAAAACCAGAACATAAAATACTTTCTCAAGATTTCATTAAAATGAGCCTTTGCAACACATACTTTGTCGAGTTTATATAAGAAACTGCATAATTTGGCATATTCTGAAACCAAAAAAAATCAATCATTTACAAACAAATATCAGCGCACGTTTTTTCCTAGTTTAAATTGAACATAAATTATCTTCCAGCTAAATGTGGAGCATGTATGAGTTTTGCTTACATCTGGATTCTAAAACGCTCGAATATTTTGTGGCACTCATGTAGGTACTCCAAATATCCTCATTTTGCATTTAAAAATTCTGGAACGACGCCACTTCGATAGAGAAATTTTGTAAACCGCCACTTTAGATCTACTGCTAAAATCTTAAAATTCAACTGTAATATTTATGGATTGCTTGTTCTGTTCTGGAACAATTTTGATAAAATTTATATTTTTTTATGCGATTATACACACGTTGGTGCGGGGACATAGAAAAGGTGGCAGAACTTCCATGGATGAGAATTGTCCAGAATAGAACAAAATGGAAAGAACTAAGGGAGGCCTATGTCCAATTCTGGACGAAGAACGGCTAGAAGAAGAAGAAGATAGAAAAGAAATAGAAAAAATAAAAAAGTAGATAGAAAAGTGCAAAAAATCCATGGCATGATAAAGTAAAGACCGCAAAATAAGTACTTCTATGAACAAAATTTAGTCTAAAAAATTGATAGTATAAAACTAATAGAATCGTTTATTTGAGAAATAAGTCACTCAACTAGAGGTAGAACCCTAATACACTCTTTTACTTAGAAAAACTAGAAGAACTCCAAAAAATATACACGGCGCTGTAAATTTATCCCACAGCTTAAATACTCACTAACTTCTAACTATGAATATTGTCTCAATAGGAGATCCGTTTTGAATAAATTTTTCATTGAATCATAGCTCTATTTTTGGATAAAATTTAAGTTACAAGATATGAGAAAAAAATTATTTTAAATAAACATATTGTACAGCGTGTTTAAATACTGTCATGTTTTTAATCAAAGTTTAAATGTTTCTAATATTGCTAAATATGGGGTAACCCAGAGGGCAAAAAATGTACTTAAACTTTTTGTATTTACGAAGAAAATTGCAGGCAAAAAGACTTTTGATTAACAACTTGATAGCTTTATTTATTTTGTCAGTTTCTGTACTCTGTAAATTAAGTTGTTAAAGTTTTTATTCTCCTAAGGATATTGTAATTTGTTTTGTTTCTTTATAGAGTTACATATGTAATAAAAAACAGAGGTTGGCAGCTTTAATATTGTAATTAACTACATGATGAATGGAAGTACTTAGGAATACAGCGTTATGGATGTAATCTGAAGAAAATATATAAAAAACTGACGGCAAAACTGGAAAAGGAGAAAAACCGAAAAAACTTCCTAACCAGATGAAAGGATCTTGCTCTTGTGCAAACACGTATACCGACTAACTGAGGGTGGGGGAAAAACACCGAAACATTTTTAAATACTGAATAATTTGTGATGTCGACATAAATGACTAAAACCCAGGAAAATAGTTTATATTAAAATTGGAAATCTTAGATGATTAAAAAAGAGGGTTAAAATAAATTTTGCGCGGAAAATGTGAACGGTCATATAAACATGAATGTTTCTCGAATGGCTCGAAGTAAAAAAACGACGAAAAATCCATACTACTCAGAAGACAACAGGCAATAACAACATGTACTGTTTCCGTGTCTGAGCTACCCGATACCAAGAAAACACGTCAAAATTTAAACACACTGTATATTTTAACATATGTTTTTATCATCTTATAGCTCAAATTTTATCTAAAAATAAAGCGATGTTTCGATAAAGAAATGGTTCAAGTGGTATTATAGATTGAGAAAGTATGCACAGTCCAAAGTTGTTAAATTTTCTCTTGCCATTTATGGATACTGCCATTGATTTTCGCTCAAAATCCGGATTCTATTGGCTTACCAAGCCCGTTATCGGAATTAAAAAAAGGAATTTCTTATTGTTAAGAATAGATAAATTTGCGGACCAGGGGTTTATTTAGGTAGTTCCCTTAATTTTTTGAAATTTACACTGCACGCACCACAAGCTATACTTTTCATCCAGGCGCAACAGTTGCACCGTTGGCTTCCTGAAAATGTAATAGTTTGCAAATATCCCACCTTAGACAAGGCATTTTTAATTACGCCCATTAATCCCTACAACAGAACCTTACCTGAGCATGAGTTCTATAAATATCCATAGAACTATTAGCGGTAGCAAGAGAAGGTAAAGCGCTGGTGATTTTGTCCCTTTCAGCTGCAATCGTCATGAGGTAAGTGCGAGGAATAAAGATAGCACCCAAACAAATGCTTCCAGTGGCCACAAGTCCCAAGCACACCATCATCTCCTTCCACTCGTTGCACAGCATCATAAAACCCGGAAGCCAGACGCTCCAAACTAGAGCAATCATAACTGCAGTTACTGTGAAATATTTCCCTTCCCTGTAGTTTCGCTGGCTTTTGTACATTAGCGGACTAAGGCATATTAGTAGTATCAGCAGCACTGTATTATAGGACATTAAATACACCAATTCGTAGCCCTGAGTGAAGATATCGTGGCATCTTCCAAAGACATGCAAGCTCAATGCTGCTTGAACTCCGAAGATAAATAAGCAGAGAAATGACTGGACAGGGCCAGCAATGTGGGACATAAACCCAACTTCTCTGGCTGCAGAGCTGAGAACAATGCTGCGTGAGAGTAAGAGGGAAAAAACTGCAGCATAACTCATGGTAATGGCCAGGGCTTTGATGATGCATAAGGATTTCCTGATGTTCTGGGTATTTTCGATGGTAAACGGAAGCACCGAACAGAATACCATCATAACGGCTAAAAGCAGCAATAAGGTGAGCACCGGGTTGCCTTCAAGGATGCGCTTTTGAAAAATCGCCACCAGCAAAAACGCCAAAATAGCCGAGCAGAACAAAACACCTAGAAGCGCTAAGGACAGAATGGCATAAATCCAAGCGTCGCTCCGAAAGGATATTTCGGGCCAGCGATAGAATATTCTGTTTCGTCCTCTAATGACAAACTCACGCGGGCAGCTTTCCAGCTCTGATGTATCATTCACATCAACTGTTTCACCGACTAGAGTTAAGTTATCGAAAAACACGTGATAGGAATACGCCATCCTCAAAGGCTTACGAAAGAAATAAAGAGAGTGATTTGTGTCAGCGCCCAAAGCCTCCACTTGGAAAATATCATAGACGAAATGCTCCTGAAGCTCATCAATTTGCAGGAACTTCAACAAGTCCAGAGGAGCTTCAATTGAATGCAAATGCCCGAAGAAGAAGGGTTTGGACCTGAGGCAGTTCACTTTGTAAATCGTGTCATTGCAATTGGCTGCAATAAATCTGCGGGCTTCCAGGACAAAATTGGCCAAAGGAGTGCCCACTTCAAACATCAAGGGGGTCGGAAATATGCCAGCACCACTTTGGAAGTTCGCAGCAGCTGAATGTGGAGGCAGGATGATGAAGCTTCCTTCGGGCATACCTGAAATGCAAACTGGTTTTTAAATTTGTTAAATTGGGAGATTTAGAAAAGAGAAGAGGAAATGGAAAATAGTTCAAGAGTAACGCTTAATAATAATCTCAACTCCAAGAAATTATCCAGGGTTTCATCTAACTATAGAACAAGTATTGAAGAAACTGCTCAAAAATGGGATGCTAAAGTTAACATCTCTATTTAACGGCTCAATCAGGCTCCAACACGTTCCGGCAATGGAAAAAAAGTTGAAGTCATCATGATCCACGTTAATTCAAACTTTAACGCGATGTTAAGTCGTACAGACCAATTTTTTTTTCGCCAATAATTTGGAAGCTTTTTGAAAAACTGATGCTAGAAAGACTTAAACTTAAACCAATTTTACAGATACAAAGTTAATCCCCGATTATTAATTGAGATTCCGATCAAATCACTCTAGGATCGATTGTGGATCAGAAAAATATCATCAAATTACTAGAGGAAAGATTAGTATGTTTAGTCGGTTTTTCATGTCATGAAGGCGTAGTCTATAAAATCGGTAAAATGCTGTCTCAAGCGCAACATTCTATATACCCATTAGCTATTCAGAATCAAGCAAGAAACGCTTACTCGGAGTTGAAAGAAAGGTTTCAACTGTACTTTCAAGGGAGCGTGCTAGGGCCTGTTCTATATTTACTCTATATATTTGCGGATGACACAGTATTAATGTCAGCTGATGAGTATGACTGATGTCATAAATGAACCTCCAAGTGGATATTTAAACTAAACGAAACTACTTCGACTTATATTAACTTTACCAACAAAAAATGGACATATTTTCCAATAATTATTATTAATGAATCGGCGTCCCATAGGCAAATACTAATGAAATACTTTGGACACTAAATTAAGATGGAAGTAAGATGTCAGAAAGAATGTAAAAAAGTTAAAATTGAAAACGTTTCACGGCCAAATTTACCATAACTTTGAACCTGGATAAATTCTAGTTCCTTAAAGCGATTTGATTTATTTTTGAAGCTTTATGTAGCACCATTTAATTTTTGTTAGTCAGTTTTTATAACAAAAATTAAATGTCTCGGATACATTTTCTACAGAGCGGCAATGAAACATGTTGCAACGTTCGACATACTCCTGAATAAACAAAAATTTTGCACCTCAGCCACAGTGCACAGGTCAACCAAATAGCTCAGAACGGTTTTTAAATTTTTCGGCCATCTCTTATATTTATAGGGTAAACTCAAAAAAAATCATCTTCGAGCTAAAACTTCGTGGAGAATTTTAGACGAAAATTCGATATGCAACGATGCATGAGAAATGATGATTGAGAAAGTTTTAGCGTCATCATAAGCAGTATATTATGAAAATCTGACTTTTTTAGACCGCCCTGTAAATAAACGAAATGAGCGAAAAATTCATTAACATTTTTTGAGTCATCTTATCGTCTGTTATGATAGAATAAAAAAGAACATTTTTTGTCCAGCTGAAGGCATGCAAATTATTAAACCTTATTGGCTTTATGCAATTTAGATCTGGGGATGCACAAAAAGCACAAAGGTCCGAAATATAAAGTTTTACGGGAAAAAGCAGATGCACTATGGTTTGTAAGAAAAATTAATCTTCAAAGAATGGATAAAAGAAGAAGAAAGAAACTCTTCAAAGAAAGAACCTGGGAATCTTGACTGTTAAACAGGAAAACACACGTGATGTAGAGAAATCAAATATAATAATAAGGAGAAAATAATCAGAATTGGTACCTCAGATTGAAGAGAACCCTTTTGAAGCTATATAGTGGTTTATTAAGGCCAGTGCGCAGAGAGCGCTTAAATATTCTGTGTCTCATGCAAGGTCTACAAAAAGCTATAGAACCTCATTGAACTCACTTAGCTTAGTCAGTAAGCGACATTCGATGTTGGTGCCTGTTTGGCTAGTTTTAAAAATTAAAAATTGAATATTAGTATTAGTAATTCTTGGTAATGAATCTCGAGAGAAACAACAATTATTTAACCCAACTAATTTTAAGCTTAAAAAAATGTGCACCAAATTATCGCCAATTTGCGTAATTATTACCTGTTGAAACCTCTCCATCCAACGGTACCAGGACGAGTCGACTGTTGGAGGTTCGGGTTTCAAAATGTGTGCCATTCGCAATGAATCCATCGATGTCGGATGCGGTACCAAAAAGTACCAGCGGATCTTCACCGGATGCATTCAAGGCTATTGACCGGCTATCTCTGTAAATGGTACCTTTGAAAAATTCATCTAATTATCATGGAACATGCAATGAACTGATGTGCCATTGAATGTATTTGATTCACTTCCAAGTGTTAAAACAATCTTAATGCAGAAAGCTTAGCGTTATTTGGAAATATGTTAGGAAAGATTGCGTTTTAAGTCACTGAAGTGCTTAGTTTAATTGCATGTACATTTTAATTTCTTGAGCCCATGGGCAAGCTGCATCAATATTCCAATCTAAATGCAAAATACATATAAAAACTGGATGGGGAATTTTACACGATTTGTTTGAAATGTTCTTCATCTGGTTGAGAACAGGGCAAAACCGGGTCCGTTTTTCTTTTTATTTAATCAAGAAAAAAAGTAAATTGATACTTTTTATCAACAAAATACAAATTCCAATTATTAAATATTGCATTTTATTTTTGGATGGAAATTAGATTTAAAAAACCTTATTTACTCTGCAAGTTCATCTCACTCTGGTGCTATCTTGAACACCATTTCCTGATGCATTATTAATAAGTTTTAAGTTTAGTGCGAACTAATCTTAACGGTAAAAATTGCGGTTTTTTTGTTTTTTTATTTTATTTTATTGCTTTCTCGAAAATTATTCTTCTAATAGTAGGTACTACTTAACTAGTACTCTAACTTTCATAGAATCCTGTGAAAATTATACAACAAATTTAACAAATATTTTCAGTATTTCTATTCAAGAATATTACTCTCATTCAAATTGATATTTTCTGAACCAAATTATTTCCACTCTGTCCAAAACGACTAAAATTCTAATTTAGTTCTAAATACTGAGTTTTCCCAAAAATACATGTAGAATCTCCTGAAATAACCTTAATAATTGTTTCCTAGCTTGTGACATTTTTTTACTGTCTATTGCTTTTGTTCCATTGTCCAATGTTTTTACTGTCCATTGAGTTTTGGCAAACTTATTTATTTTGCGAGAAATTAGCGGGTTTAAAATAAAATATAATCTAAAATATATATAAGACAACTCACTGATCTTATAAACCTAAATTTTTCATCATGCCATTTACTAAATGCATTTATTTCAACGTTTATTTAAAGCGCATTTCATTAATCATTACCAAATATTTTACATTAACCTTGACTTTTTCCTTTATTTTATTGCATGACCTTTAAATCTTTGTATTAATTTTTATTGATCAATCCTTAGAAAAGAACCACTTTTAAGGTTTCTTCTTTTTCTTTCTGTTTAGAAGCTATTTTCAGTTAAATAAAAAACATGGCGAAAAAATTAGAGAATCAGAAAGCTTCTAATGCCAAATTGGGCTTAAAAATCATAACTGGTCAGTAAATATTAAATTTTTCTTTGAGTAATTTTCGTTTTAAGATATATATAATAACTTCAACAATTATTTTCTAAGTACAGAAAGTAAGTTTTTGAAAATATGCTCTTTTGAAAACCATTAATAACTAAACAAAAGCAGTTAACAAATTTTTATCAGTATTTTTTGAACTGAAAAAAATATTAGACACCATCTAAAATCAGAGATTTTCTAACGCACTTTGCTTTTGAATTTACTCAAGTGAAAAATAAAATTAATTTGAGTACATAAATAATATTAGTTTATTATTATGAGTACATAATAAATAAATGAATAAAACAGAAAATATTTTAAAAGTCTGACTTTTGTGGGCAAAAATTTAAATTTTTAAATTGTATATACCTTTTTATATTTTTATTTCTTGCGTATAAATATTTCTTTAATTGCCGTGTGGAAAAGAATCGTTTTCGGACGTTGAGATATTCTTTTTTCGGCGCGTCGAACCAAGGAAAGTTTCCTGTATTTTTTAACTACTCCGTATATTCGTTCAACTGTCTAGAAATATCAATAAGTTTCTCATTTGCAGTTGGAAGGCAATAAGATGAGGAATTTATGAATTTATATAAAATAAAAAGAAGTATGTAAAAAAATGCAAAGATACGTGTAAATCACCAACACCCTCGAATGGTCAGCGTAACAAAATACGCAATATTCCAGTTATAATTGGTATAACGATCAAGTAACGTGGTGTAATTTTAGGGATTGTGATTCCATGATTATGTAATACTGTTCACTCTCCTGTCGATTAATTTTAGATTATTATTATTGCTGTTAAATTGAGAAAAGCATACTTTTGAGTTGTTCCCATGAAATAGAACTCGGTTGTTTAGCTAACTATAACTGAATATGTGAACGAATAATAAAGAAATATTTTTTATTTACGTTGAGAATAAAGCAAGCAAAGAAGTGGCTCAGTTTACTTACTCATAAACGAAACACTTTTTTACACAGACTCGCGATGCTTTGGCATGGTGGTAGAAAAAATCAACAGTTTGATCGTCTTTTGCTAGTAGAACGACGTTTCTTTTCCAGCCTGCCGACGCCAACAATTTAACGGCTGCTTTAACCAACTGCCCGGGGAAAGTCTTGATATTCTTGCTCCTCAAGTGCAAAATTTCACTAAACTTCCTCACTTTTTCACTCGGCTGCTGTGAGGTGACCACTCCCAGCACATACGTAGCATCATTTTCGTAAATCTCCAAAAGAGTCTTTAAGTAGTCCACTTCTGAGCACGCCTGATACACTGAAACACCCAGTTTAAGAGGATGTAAAATTTCCAAAAAACTAATTCGCTCTGTGAGCCAAATGGCCGAGTTCACGACCGTTTTTCTACTAGCACTCAACTCGAGTAAATCACAGTCGTGGATGATCACAACCACACTCACATCACCAGAGGATCCGAAGAGCTTTGTGATATTTTGAGCTTTCACACCACAACCGACACTGAGCAAACCTATGAGAATTTTGATAAAAAACATTTTTTTCTATTTTGGTACCAATATCGTGTTAATTTCAGAACATTCGGGTGGCATGTGCGGTACTTTTTGTTTCCGTTTCAGGCATCGCTGAGCAATAATATTCAAACATCGCACTTTTTGAAGGACTGTTTGTATTTATAGACTTATGGAGACTATTAAGCTGATGGGCTTCCCTTAGGCCACGTCCAAACAACCCCTAGATCGTATAAGTTACCTAATACACGTTCCTAAGGGTGTGGGGAATTAGAGCTAAATTTTCCGAAAGAAATGCACGACTATTATATTCGTCATTAAGTGTTAAGGTGAATGGAAAATTTACATGCGATTTATATGTTTTTTTATACATTTTTTAACCACGCCTTGGTGAACAATTTCCTGAAAAATTAGTCTTATTTAAGTTTTTTTCCTTCCCAACTTGATCAAATTAAAATGTAAGTTGCGAAAGTTCGGATGTGGCCCCGGAAAGTTTGCTTTATGACTCAGAAATTGCCAGGGAACAATCGATACAAACTTTTTAGCATGTGTTGGTCGATCCTGGGTTTAATCGATCATAATGCGGGGGCTTACCATACTTCTATGCCTGCTTACTTTATTGCTTTCTTATCTAGATCAGGCCGAGAAATTAAATACGTTGGGAGAGTTGCCCCAATTTTATAAAACATGCAAAGTTTGGCTCGTTTCGTTCAAAACTTCAAGGCGAGTCAAAGCTGAACTTTGACTCCTTTTATGGTGATTTGCTGTTTTGTTTTTCGTTTGATTAAATCTGATAATGGTAATGCAATTAGTAAGCAATGTCCGAGTGACTTCGCATAAGGGAAGCGTTACTAACATTGTATTTCAAAAAATGCAAGTAACACCGCGTAATTAAAAAAGTGTAGAGCCAAAAAACTTGAATGAAATTGAATAAATGGAAAATACGAGAGCACACAAAAATTAATGAAAACTGGACAACAAATATAGTTCATAAACTCTTCTCAAACTGTTAATAAAATCAATCAGATTAAATAAATGCTTGAAGACCTATTTCAAGTCAAGTTGAAAATTAAGCATTTTGTCGAGGTTGAAATATTCTATTTAAATCGTTAAATCTTTTTGTGTTTAACTGTTTTTTTGTGTTTTTTATTACTAGTCTGATAACATTGGAAAATGATAAATTATTCAATGGTTTTTCTTAGCCATTAGTTGCGAAAATAGGTCGCACAAGGAAGAAACTGCTGATTCTTAAAAAACCAAAACTAAAATAGTAAATACGGAAAATGAGCTGGAAGACAACAAGCAGAAGGGAAAATTCAAATCGATTACAACTGCATAAACTGAGTTAAATTAATTGCAAAGCAGGAAAATTATATGGTGACTACATAAAAGTAAATTCCCAGTGAAAATCGAAAACCAGGTAAAAAAGAAGACAAAAAATATTTAAATAAAAACAGATGGAGCAAGTCACGAATAACTGATATGAAATACAGATTAAGAGCTTTTAACATGAGATCAAACAGTTACAGACATGAAGAACAAATATAAGCTTTGTAGTTAACAGGAAAATATGTGTTTTATTATAACATTTTAACGAATTTTCGCAACTTTTGCAGCATTTTAACTGCTTGGCACCTCAACAGCGTCAAAAGAGTCAAAGGTGTTTTTAAAAATTGTGAATTTTACTCATTTGATCAATCAATTTAATTCAGTTTTCTTTACCGTAGAAACAGTCAGACAAAGAAATGAAATTTTAAAGGAAAATAATAAAACCATGTACGTTTAACTAATTCGTTTAAATAAGTGTTTGTTAAGAAAACCCTTCATCCCGTTGAAAGTTCAAGGTTTCTTTCTAAGATTTCAGCAAATTCAAGTTATTTTATTTTTTATTAAGCAAACAAAATCTCCATTAGTATAGCACTATGCAATATAAATTAAACTTTCAACTGTAGGGGGGGAGCAGAAGAATTTGGAGTGAAATCCTTATAAAACATGGCAAATAATTTTAATTTAAAAAAGGAGAAATCACCTATAAATATAACTGGGAAAAAGCCTTTCAAAACAGAAATGACAGAAAATAAAAACGTGTCTTTCTACTTAATAGAAAGAGAAACAAAAGTAACAGTAGATGTTGTAAACATATGCAGGCTGTAAAAAGCAAGACCACTAAGAGGCAAGAAATTCTCCAACTAGAGAAATATTAAAGGGAAAATGTGTACAGAACAGCACAGCAGGAGCTGAATGCATCCTAAATGTAAGAGTCGACTAAATTAAACAAACAATTAAACGACAGTTATATGACACGAAAACATGCATGCATAGTGAAGAAGAGCAGCAAAAAACAAAAAAATAGGATTAACAAAAGAGTAAAATAAATAACGCGGTCCCAATATGAAGAATCAGTGAATAAAATAATCAGAAAAACTATAAATTTGTGAAAAAACTTCACTTTTTCCATGTGCTTAATATAAAAAACTTTGTAACGTTCGAGACACTCTTTGGTTTTTCCGTCAACAACTTTAAGGAAAGGTAAGTTTTGTATTTAAATTTTTGCGAGGAAACTAGGAAAAAAGTTAATTTTCAAACGACGTACGGGTAATTGAATAACCGAAAAGAATAGCTAATTTGCCAAGTTTACAGTAAAATTTGATATTGATTCGTTTCTGCACATTAAAAGTTATACTAACTTATCAACGATCAGCCAACATTAACTTTTTCGTTTAAATTATATTTCCTACCATATTTTGGTAAAGGGGTTTCTATAGCTGATGGAAGTGGATGAATAACATTTAACTTAGTAAAGATCATAATTTTGAAAAGAAGATGAAAAAGTATAATACACTGCTGAAAAGATAAATACGTATCTCCAGGAAAAAAATATTGCAACTCAAGAAACTAAATATCATGTTATACAAATAATAAACCATTCAGGGAATCAAACGAACACTAAGAATGAACCAATTACTTCCGAAGGAAATACAAAAATTGAGCATAGATAGGTACTTATAAAAATGGCCTAATAAAGAAATTGCATCATAAAAACGAAGCAAATATTCGTCATAAATTGCTAGTTTTGAAGCTTCAGATTAACAAAAGCTACTTTTCTCTTAATTAATAATTTAATTAATTAACCGAAACTGCTGAGGTAAGTGGCGCTTGCCTACTTACCAAGCACTTGATGGCCTAGTGAACTAACGTCATTAAAGTGCGACCAAATTTAATGATGTATTCGTTATGATGAATAGAAAGTAGACCGTTATGGGACATAACAATTAATTTTTTTAGATATTAAATTATTTTTATTTAAAGTTAGATTTTCGGTTTATAATTAGAAATTAGATCTTAAAAAGTGAATGCAAGTTAATGTTTCCATATAAATCCCAAATTCCAGTTCCTTTATCAAAAAAGTTTTATTTGAAAGTGGGTTGTTTCAGTTAACTGTGTGCGTTTCGTCTAGCAATTTGCTAAAGAAGTCTTTACAAAGTGCAGGATTAATTTTGAGTTCTTGCAGCCAATGCTCCAAATGTTGAGAACTAGCATATTTCCTAAACGACAGGAGATGGAAGTCTGCTAACCGTTTTAAACATTTTAAGGCCGATAAGAAGCGTTAGAGGCCTAAAAGTCACCTTGTTTTTGTTCATTCATAGTTACATATATTTTCGTTTATTAGTAAATTGCTGCCACAGTTGAATAGAACTAAGTTAATTGGTCAATCAATTTTATTCGAAATTTTTTTCATAAAAATTATGAAATTAAAAAATTTGCATCTAAACATTAATGCCTAACAATGCTAATAATGAAAAACATAATTATTTATGCAAACATTTAACATCCAAACCTTTTTTACCTAGTCAACGACATGTGGTTGCCACCAAAGTGAAAGTTCCATTTCGGTTCATTCACATCTAAAATTATACACAAAAGCGATTATTTTTACACACTTCAAACATCAACACCCAAGGCACCATTTCCCGTAGAACAAGTACCATTTCTCCAATTCCGCGCTTTCTTTCGCATTGAAAGCTTTCTCTATGGGCCGGATGTACCAGCGTCTTCAGAACGAAGAGTTTATTCGAAAAGTTCAGTTCTGGTCCTCTAACTGAATCCGAAAAAGTTTGCAATGGCTTACGGACACTCGTTTTACTATGTCTATTTGAAATATGCCATTCTGGCTATTATAGTCGCTTCACTACCAATCATAGCGCTGATTGTGTTGAAATTGTTTCAAAAATTCAGTGTGGGGAAATGTAGGAGCATGGTGTGCTTAATTGGTAAGACTGTGCTGGTCACCGGAGCTTGCAGTGGTAAGTAATTTACTATTAGTTTTTGCTGTTGAGGACTATGGATTTTTTGCTAGGCTTAGGTCTTCAAACCGCATTAGTATTGGCCTCTAGAGGCGCAAGAGTGATCTTAGCAGACAAAGTTGACTGCGCTAAGGCAAAGAAGAAGATAATAGACAAGACACACAACACGAATATTGTTACAAAGTATCTCGATTTGGCTTCATTATCTTCTGTCAGGCGATTTGCCAAAGACATCAACACCACTGAGGAGCGATTGGACATCCTCATTAATAATGCGGGTGTGGGAACTGTGGGGAATAAATACACTGACGATGGACTGCATCCGACCATGCAGATTAATCATTTGGGACCCTTTTTGTTAACACACTTGCTTACAGGTAAGCTTTATTCAAGTAAAACATTTTAATTTAGTTTTGATAAAACAATGGAAAAGTCGTCAGGCGAACTATTACTTGCTGCGGAGGTTTTTCCAAGCAAGGATGCGCTTAGATGGATTTCGATGCTTGGTGTTGGTGTTTGTTTCAGTTGAACTCGACACGGTCTTAGTTGTGCCTTATTGCTGCCACTTTCGCTTTCTTCAACAACTTCACTTCTACTTTCTCTGAAGAATTAATTTGCCGATAATAAGCAAAATGCCCTGAATTCCGCGCGTCTCTTCCGTAGAAGGTTTGGTCTATTTAGTCTCCCCGACAAAGATAAACTTTGTGCATGTGTGACATTGTTATCCACTTTATTTTAACTTGTGCAAGTAGGATGAAGCCAATTCAGAAAATCCACTACCAGAGTTTAACCAGTGCCTTGGATATTGCCAATCCGTAAATGTATCCTTATGTATACCGTAAATCGATCCTTTTCAGCGCTACAGACATTTTAAAGAAATTTTCTCCATTAATTATTGAATCATACTTAGAATTCAATAGAGAATTCGAATGGAGATAAAAAGCAAATGCTTCCATTTAAAAAAATAAGTTGATGGTCGTAACCTTATTATTGATCCACCCTGTGTAAATTAATTTAGTATAAAAAAATATATTTACAAGTTAAAATCGAGGTGCCGAGCTTTTTTCCAAGAAACAGTCCGCTGAAATATAAATGAAGTTTCCATTTCTACAAGACATTTCTTCTTGCACTCTCTGTATATTTTCGTTAATTATACAGAGCGAACAAATGCAAATTGTGAAATAGACAGAAACTGGTACAAAAATGTGAGGGTTTAGAGTAAAAAAACTTGATTTTTTTACAGATTAAAATAAAATTACAAAGCCTATAAAGGTAATAGACTGTTAACTGTTATTCCATGTAAAACAGTTAATTAAAATGTGCAAATAATTATACGCAAATTCTATAACATGAATATATGAATTCCTAGTGGCGAAATATAAACCAAAAGCGAAAGGAAAATAACTTCTTCCAAAAAAGATTCTAATGCATTAGACGGAAATGTTTTAAAGTGTTTTAAGAATACGATATAAAACAGAAATCATGAACGACAATCAAGGACAGGAATTAACAAACAAAACAACCAAAAACAAAATCTAACAAATACCTTTATAGTTACATAAAAACAGCATAAAAACCTATTTGTATTTTGCGTAAGAACAAAGCGACTTAACAGAAATCTAAATGTAGTGTAAGTGTGTTGAAGTGTGGCAAGAAAGCCGTCATTATAAAAATGTTGAGATCAAGCTTCGCTTAACATTTCATATAGACAAAGAACAATTCAGGAAATTAATCTTAGCAAAAAATGTGTTTTATGTTCATTTAATGATATTGGTTAATAGCACCAAATATTTTTTCTTCTAGATAAAACAGATGAAATACAAATCAGTTAGTTTTTTTCAAATGTAAATTTAAATTCAGGATAATAAATTTGAGCCAAGAGACAATGTGGTCAAGTTAATTGGTTCGGCAAACACTTGAAATTTTTGGAAATGCAGCCAACTTAGAGTTTAGTTGCAGCTTTTATTTTTTGCTCAATTTAAAAATTCTTAAGACAAACTTAAGGCCGCAGTAATTCGCAATTCGCAGTAAGAACTTCTAGTGACTGAATCCTTGGAGCAAATTGGTCTGTATAGTGACAATTTGAAATAACTCGCGTCCTTTGAAATGGATGCAATTTTGTTCTAGCCAAACTTGTGCGCTTCCAGTCGCTGCTTCATTCTCCTTAAATAAATTCCTCTGCATTTGCAGGTCTTTTGAAGAAATCGGCACCCAGCCGAATAATTTTCGTCAGTTCTGCTTCCGCTTTTATTACCAATTTGACGGCAGACAATGTAAACTACCCGAATGGACACCCGATGTCCCTTTATCGCACTACTTTGATTTATGGCAACTCCAAATTATGCAACGTGATTGCCGCCAATGGATTTGCAGACCGACTGAAAAACAGTGGCGTCACCTCCAACTCCCTCCATCCAGGTCTGGTTAACACCGACATTTACATGAACTCCGGCAACTTCTTGCAACTGAAATCTTTAGTTCAGCTGTTCAAAAACACCGTGCTATTTGCTTATGGAAAGGTGCGAGTAAATATACAGGATGGTCATTGGTTAGCCCGACAATATCTTCCGAATGTTTCAGACTGTTGATGAAGGCGCACAAACGATCATTCATCTGGCTTTGTGCAACAAGCTGAAGGACATAACAGGAAAACATTTCTGGGACTGTCGACTGTTTCCTTCTCCTCCTGGAACCTGGAACAAGAAGTTTGCTGAATCGGTTTGGGAGAAAAGCGAAGAACTAGTGGGCCTGAAGGCTGACGAAAAGCTGAAACTCGAATGAGAATAATTGTTTAAAGTCACGTTGTTTTCCTAGGCGGCAAAAATTGAACAAGAAAAACGGGCTTTGCCCGTTTTCCCATTAGTTATACCTTGACTGACGACTACTCACCAATTCGGCTGATTGGTTCCTCGTTAAAATTCACGGCCTTCTTCGCGACCTAGACATCAACCAGCCGTCGTTCTTCAGTTACTATCAGACACTTTTGCTGATCGTATAGCACTTGCTTTGCGGTGGTAGCTAAATTTCGAAATCGCGCATTGTTATCATCGTACTCTGTATAAGGACGTAAGTGAAAAAAATTTCTATTGCTTAGATTCTGCCCAGCAGATGCTGTAGTTTTTATCTAAATAATGTACTGCAGTTCCATAACCCATTAATATTTGTTGAATTATTAGTTTATTTTTAGTTCATGCTTTATAGGTATTATGCTAACGTTATAGAACAAGATGTATTGTAGTTAGTAAATAAAGTAACAACCAGTATACACGGTGAAGCATTTACATTCTGTTTGCGACTGCAGTTTTTACAGTAAATGAAGATTTTTATACCGAGCAGCATAGGAAAGGGATATTGCTATAATTTCCATATTTTGTGGCCGATTTCAAAGTTGAAAGCGTTCTGATTATGCAGTAAACAATTTATCGAGATCAGTTTTTATAACAGGTTTTGTCTTTTCTATGTTCTGTAATAATTTCCCATATTTTTCTCAAAACATTGGTAGAAGCGGTTGTAACACGTTTTTTAATGAAGTTCGTCGGCATTGACCGGCAGATTTATATGTTTTTTTTTATCAAAATAAACTTGCAATATCGTTTAACCGTTTGATAATTAAGTGGCTTGAGTTGTAAATTTAAGACTCAGTTTACTATTTTTGAAATGTTAATTGACTTTCTCTATTAAACCAGGCTTAGTCGATAATTTGGGGCCATTCTATGAAAACTTTAATTTAATTTTCGTTGCTTTTCATTACATTCTCTATAAATACATCACAAGATTTTCCCTAAAAAACAGCAACTGTAGGGTTAGTTGAACGATATAGTTTTATTTTTCAAGCTTTGTATTCTGGTTGCAATAAAAGTTTAAAATTGTGTTTAAACAGATGGCTGGATGGTTTTGAACAAAAGAATATTTCCGAAAAACACATACACTTATTTCAAAATCGCTGTTTTCTTAAGTTTAATTTGTCTTCCTTCTCACGCTAAACATTACAAGTTATAGAATCGATTCTCCTTTGCTTGGCCGGCGATGAGTATTAATTTTACAAGGTGTTTTCCTAATAAATTCGAAAATTGCAACAACGCGTTGCAGAAAATAACAATACTTAGTTTAATAATCGCTCTCACATTGACAAAACTCATGTACAGAACAGGAGATAATTAGAAACAACTTGAACTCGCGCTTGATCGATCTACCTGCATGCTTTATTTTGGTTCGTAGATTAGTAATGTTCCAATACCTATGTGTTTCATATAAATGAAAAAAATATAAACGCAATGAAATCATCTGAACTGTAAAATTAATTTCAATTTGGAAAAAAATAATGAACATAATTTAAGAGGACTTTTGCATATGGTTGATATATTTTTTAAAGTTGGATATTTTTTTCTATAATAAAAACTTCCTTAGATTATCTTCATAGAAGCACGTTCTATCTTTTATTCGATGTTGCACAATTTAGATCGTAGTTGGGAAATTTAGCACAATATATTTTGCTTAAGCCTCATATCCATTACTTATATATAAAAGAGTTTTGTGGGAAAAACTTACACAATTTCAATAATAGTGCAACATCAGGTCGAAAGATGGAAATGGCTCAAACTCTATTTGCCTTATTATATTATTATATATCAATGTCTTTAAATTAGTCAAATTATTTCGTAAGTCGTGGAGATTTGAAAAATTGATTTTCCTACTTTATATGGTATCCAATACACGTGCGGATCGGTACGAATTTACAATTGAACACATCCTGGAGTTTTAGAAACTCGACATTTACTATACAAAAAACTATGGTATGCAAATGTTATTTTAGCCTCTGAATGTATTCAATTTTGTATTGTTTTGCTTGCAATATCACTTGATTATTCTTTCAATAATTTGAAAAGTACACAATAAATGAGGTAAAAGTGAAAATCTGCCTGCTAATGAGGTTTGGTCCCGTGCTTTGACCTCTATTTCGAGTCAAAGTAGTCGATGTCTTTGGTCTCTCAACTATTAATCGATTATTGATTTTTTCTTTCATAAATGATGTTCGGACGGTTTTTTCTTTTGATTGTCTGCAATGGTTTGCAGTCAGTAAATTAATATTTTGTATTCTGCTTTCGTGTGTTTTCTTCATAACTTTTCACTGCCTCTTTGCTATCGTTTGCACTCACCTTGTGTCCTTACATTCTTGCCAGAAATCCGGGCATACAAATTACATAAATATATTTCCACATTTTAGACTGTAAAAAATATATTGCAATGTTTACAGGGTGGCACAACTTGACCTAAGGTTCTCTGACAGTACCAGCAGATTATCCTGGCAGATATAATATAAATGTTCAAAGAAAATAAATGTAAAAGTTTTGGATTAACCTGGTGTAACCTTTGGTCTTACCACAAAGCAGATTTCCGCATTGTTATTTAAAGCGCTCAAATTTCTGGCAATGACAATAATGAAATTATTCAATGCAAAAATTTACATACAATTTATCATGCGAAATAGTCACCTACGCTTCGAGATTCCTTGAAATGTGGCGGCCATTGCTCCAGTCCATCTTTCATATCATTGTCCAAACAGAAGAGGTCGATAAACCAACAGTGGTTTTGGTTGATGTTTTCGGGTTAATTACTCATTTGCTTAATGAATTCTTCCGTAAAGTAACGTGCATTTGGTGGTCACTGGGTGGCACGAATATACCTGAATTGATTTTGAGTTATCGTCAACTATGCCAGAACTTTTAATTTGTTCCCATTTTTTCAACAGGCTATGAAAATAATTGCGCAGTTTCCAAAATCCGAGCCTGGTGCATAGGTGTGTCCAGCCAGCGGATTAAAATCAAAAATATATGCATAATTATTATTACACATAACAGCAAATGTCGCCAAATCAACAGCTTTTTGTGTTCGGGCGGAAAAGTTACCGACCTTAAGAGGAGGCAAAAGATCAAAATATTTCAAGCCAGCTGATCCATCAAATTCGGATACCGGATCGTAAGATCCCTGAACTTCACTTTGGAAACAATGCAAAATATGATATAGTTTTTTTTTTCATTTGTAAGTAGGAACAACCGGCTTATCATAGAACACTAAATGCCATTGGATGAATTAATGAAAAGGTCAATTAATTTAGATTGAAATCCACAATTGAGGTCGGAGATTTGAAGCCACAAGGTTGGATGGTTTAAGGAAAAGTTGCCTCAAGTTTCTCAGGTCCGATTGAAGCAAAAATGGAGTTACGCTGAATCAGGCAAAAAATTTGTTCACAAATAACACCGAAAAGACTTAGAAACAACTGAAAAAAATTGATAAAAATTCGTCAAAATGCAATTAATATGTTGAGAAAGAAAAATACATTTTGATTACAACTAAACTTATATTAAAAAATGAGGTAGAAAAAAATATTTAGAAAAATGATCAAAACCTGCAATGTGGTCAACATGGTAACAAAATGTTTCATCATATAGGAAGAAACTGAAATAATTGATGCCTAGTCCTACAGTCAGAAGCCTTGATACCTCAGGAGTACTTCAGGGCTCTAAAAAACTAGCAGCAAGATTCAGCATTGATCCCAGAAATCTGAATTTATTTTTAAACAAAGTGTTGACTGTGTAGTAAACTTTTAAATAAATATTTTCATCTTAGAACGGTTTACTTAGTTCGATAAAGACAATTGCAAGTTTAAAATTCAATTCGTGCGTTTGACCCAATTATATCGTATCGTCATTACGAAATACGTGCTTTTCATTTACTATCATGGCTGTAAGGATACAAATTACTTATTTTAAATATCAATGAGTATATTTCACCAAATTTATAGTCGATATAATTAAAGTACTTCTTGGACAAAACTATGTAACATTCCTATCCATCCACCAATTTTTATTTCGGATTTTTATAGCCGTGGAAAAGGTAGCACAGCTTTATGGTAGGTATATGAAATATGGTCAATTCTTAAAAATGTTTTTTTCTGGACAAAAATTGGGAAAACTTTGTAACGAAATGGGCACTGGATGCTTTTTCTACAGATTTGAATTCACTTCAGACATAGTGGCATCTCCGATTGATCCTGAAGTGGTTCATAAAAGTAAATTTTATTGCTCTATTATTCTCCTATTTGGGGCTAAAATATGGATTTTGTTGCCAAATTATCGCTAGTGTTTGGGTCTAGATCAGATTCATTACTTACATTTTTATTAACAGCTCTGTTATTGTCTAGGACTTCTAGGTCTGCTGGCTAATTTTCTCCCTAAAACGCCCTCTGTAATCATTCAAAGTTGATTTATTAAAGACGTTTTGATCTGCGATATTCATTTTAGAAACAGCTTAACCAGCTTGCCAGTAAAGGCAAAGATTTAAGCTTTTCACAGTTCGATCGCCCTCAAAACTTAGAATTTTTTTTTCGCTTTTTCAGCTTTTGTTACAATAAATCCAGTTGACGATTGGACCTGATTGAAAGAAGAGCCAGCGCATTGTTCAGGCAACAAATTTGAAAGTTTCAGTTATTTTTATGTTAAATTTTTCGAGTCTGTGTGACTTTGGATAGTTTATCAAACAAATGTTGTCTTGGTTGAACATTTTCGAAAAAACACCTCGCTTTTCATTTCCTTTAAATAAATAGTTGAAGATTTTAATAAGAACTTGTCTCTTCTCTCCGTCTTTACTTCTGCAGTTGTGTGTGAGTGATTTTCTTCACTTGTTCAACAACTAATAGTGTAATCAATTTGTTTTACTGAAACATGCAACAATTGCTGGGCTGTTTACATCTTCACACGTCTTCAACAATTCTTCATTTAGTAGGTCTGTTTTTTGGAAATTGCATCAAACAGTCAGATTTACTGGCTATAAAATTATCTTTGCTTTGTGTTTCAGACGATTTACTGTATTTTATTAATTAATTTTCCTCAAGTGCGTTTCTTCCAGTTGCTCCAACCATCCAACCTCCCATTTTTCGATAGTCACCGTCAATGTGTTCAATTAAATCCTTTCATCCTTACACACGCATTTCGTTGAGTTTGATTTTTTTCCCTGTTTTTCTAATAGTTTGTTGTTCTTTTGCTTTGTTCTTATTTTTCTTCTAAGCACGTTTTTTTTCTGTATCGTGCTTCACTTCAATTCTTCCAATTTTCTGAACGCTTCAGCTTCGGTCTTCAAGCCTTGCAAAATTTGTTCCAACATGTTTTACTTTTGCTTCTTCCTTTAGTTACATTGCAAATATCGTTCAAACGACAACAAATAAATGCAAAATAATAGACAGAATATATTGCGTGTAAATGCGATTTTTCAATATTCAGTTGATGTAGCAAAAAACGCCGCAAATCTGACCCTAAATGGTTTTTAGCAGTATTTTAGAAAACTTAAGTTTAAAGCTCGAGAAAAGTAAACAGTCAGAAACGTAATGTGTGTAACGCAAATGGGTAAAAAACTGTATTGTGAAATAAAAGCACTTTTTATCAATCTGTATTAAAAAAACTTGTGGAAATTATGTTTTTAAGACAAAAATGTTGGCAAATTTCCAAACCGAAAGTTTTTGAAAATAAAGCAAGTGTGCAGGAACATACTGAAAGTTCGGTGCATACAGACGTAATAAAAAGAAAATGCAAACCTGTTTGCTGTTTGAACCTCAAGACAAATCATCCCGACCTTTTAAACCAGGACGCTTGTTAGAACTATGTATAGGAAGCACCTTTTTTATTGGAAAGTTTTAAACAACAATATTCTGGATATTCCAAAGCAATTATAAGCTTTTCGGCGCTTTTAAATGCGTATCAAATCGATTATAAAAATCCAGAGTTTCTCACTCTCCATTCACTAGAAAGACTCTTCATGTTCCAGATGCAGTAGCCCCAATCTGAAATGCTTTGGACTGTTCTTTTACCATTTTTCCTCGGGTATGTCACTAGAACTACTCTTGTGGAGGCACATGGACGCCTCATGGACCCTCCAGCGAGAAACTCGATGTGGCGATTCGGATTTCCGAACCCAGTAAATTACAATGACAACGAATTGTATTGCGGTGGATACACAGGTTGGTTGAATGAAGGGTCAAATCCATTGAAGCAATTGAAGCAAGAAGGTTTTTTTCAGTACAGTGGGAGCAAAACGAAGGCAAATGTGGCCTATGTGGAGATGCCTTCCATGTTCAAGAACCGCGACCTCATGAAGCTGGCGGCATGTTCGCTAAAGGAATAATTACTCGCCATTACAGGTAATGGAAGATACTGAAAGGGGCCTTTTTCAAAGATTACTTCCAGTGTTGGGCAGAAAATCGACATAGAGGTGGAACTGACTGCGAACCATTATGGGAGATTTGAGGTCTTTATTTGCCCGAATAACAACTACAAGCAGGAGGCCAGTCGGGAGTGTTTTGAGCGATTTCCTCTATACCTAACTGAGACGAAAGATGTGGCCTTTGTTATCCCGGAGGATGGAGTAAAAAAAGCGGTGTTTCGGTAGGCAACTCGCCATTGACAAAGAGAAAATTGGAGCTACACATTTTTTCCAACGTCTGCTTCCAGATATCAAGTGCAGCTGCCACCATACGTAACATGCACCCAATGCGTTTTACGATGGATTTACTATACTGGTAACCAATGGGGCGTTTGCGATAACGGCACCCATGCAGTCGGATGTGGAAAGTCCGAAACGTTCATCAACTGTGCTGATATTGCCATTACCAGTAACGCAGCAGGTCAGAATTAGCCACCAACAAAATATCAAGAAAATTCTGGAAATATTCCTTGCAGGCGCAATTCCTCCGCTGTTTGTTGGCCAAGACAATCCCTACCAGTTGTACTACCAAGACTACAGGCTGAGCGCTCCATATAACGTGTTACCATTGGTGGTAAGAGATCAAGTTTGTGTTGCCAATAGTCTCTACAGGCTGATACCGGGAATAGACGATTGGTGTATGACGAATTGTTTGAGGTATCCTCCCAATTGTCCATCGGAAGTCTGCGAATGTCCGTAAGTCTATGAATTTATTTCAAATATTTATAGGGTTTCTGGCGGAAGTTTGCAAACTGGTCGAAAACGAGGATCTAGAATAGAATTAAATGAAAATTGACTCACATGACTTTCGATCTTCAGATGAACCCTTAACGATAGTGAATGAATTTAATAGTAACTCTTTGATGTTCCATATATGCAAAGTTGAATTTTTTGGGTTCCAATATCTCTACAGTGTTACGCCAAAATAGCTTTTTTTTTAAGGGGATTACAATGGTTTACTTGAAGACTACTGTGAAGATATTAGGCCTGGGAAACACTGTGTTGAGTTGCGCTTTTGAGTTGTTGCCGCTCTCTGAGTTAATGAGTTTTAACTCATTGGTTAATGAGTTATAACTCATGGCCGAGGTCGGAATTTTAACATCTAACAAGAAAAGCCGTCAACATATGGCTTTCGCTCATACGATTGCTTGAAACTATTTGGTCTAAAACCGGGGATAATCAGAATATTTTGAAGAAACTTCTTGAACTTGAAAAATTTTCACAGCGATGAGGGTGTCTAGTTTTCCAAATATTGATTATATGCTTTTGCTTCCTCTGGTCGTTTTTTAAGGAAACCTAAATTTTGTCGAAAAAAAACAAGATAACTCTGTTTCGATTTTGTCCGAAATTCAAAGATAAAACGGGTATTCGAAAAAGACGATAAAGAAGACCAAACTGTAAAGACGACGACTTTTCTTGTAAAATCCTTTTTGCATGAAAGACTCTCAGTTTACCAGTATTTTACAATAAGACGTTAGGAAAAACACGTTGTTCTGTTTAGAGAGAGTTTTACTTAGAAATATTGACCAAAAAGTGAAGAAACCGGAATTTAAATAAACCAAGTTATTCACAGCGACAAAAGTGACCAGTTTTCCGAATAATTGGTTATAAACTTTCACTTGTTCTGTTCGGGGAAATGTTTTTAAGAAAAAAATCTAGAAAAAATTATTAGGGTTTTGTCCAAAATTCGAAGCTGCAAAAGATTCCAGAAAAAAAATTAGAAAGCTGTTCAGGAGGCGAGTGTTCCAATAAAACCTATTTTATAATTTTCACAGAAAATACCTGAAGATTGTAAGTATTTTAAGTAAAACTGAAAATAATACGTTTTTTGTGTAGCAAGAATTGCTTAATAGAAAAATCTTGAGAGCGATGAGGGTCGAGACTTTTCTAAATAATTTTTTGGAAACTTTTGCTCTTCGGTAAAAAATCTGAATACAATTATTTGGTTTTTGTGCCAAATTCGAAGCTGAAAAGGGTTTTCTAAAGTTCTCTGCAAATCGATGAACCCCATTGTCAGAAAAGAAGGAAATCATCAGAAAAGTATAAATTTTTGCGTTTTTGGTTAAAAAGTTTTAGTTTTGTGTTCGGTTTTGCGAAAACCTTAATAGTTTTTGGGAAAAAAAATTTTTGGATAAATTTATTTTCGTTTTTGTCCCGAATTCGACTCGAAGGAAAGTAAAAAAAATTAATTAAAAACTAAAATACCACATTTTTTTAACAAACTTTACAGCCGTCAGAGGAATGGAAGTGACGAGTTTTCCAAATAATTTATTATAAACTTTCGCAAAATTATTTGACTTTTGTCCCAAATTCGCAGCTGGAAAACGATTTCAAAACTTTTTACAAAGTGACAAAGGAGCCAAGTGTTCTAATAAAATTTATTTCATATCTTTTGGCGAAAAATACCTTAAGATTTTCAGTATTTTTAAGTGATTTTTTTTGGAAATTGAGCATATAGAAAAATGAGTAAATTTGCTAAAACTGAAAAATTCTCAAATTTTGAAGAACTGTTAAAAATATTATTGTTAAATGGCCCTTAAAATAAATCAAAAGCAAGGAAAAAAAGTCATCAACATTTTCCCAGCAACGGAACTGAGTTACTGCGCCGGTGCGTTGGGTTAGCGCACCAAGCCATTTACGTAGCACTGCGTCAGGTCCTTAAAATTCATTGAGTTCCCCAGAGATTGAGTCACAGATTTTCTTTGATCGCGGGCTTTAAAAGATACTGCGTATCAAAATAGTTTGAAGAAAAGCTTCTGCTCTACCGCTTTGACAAATTTTTCGCCGAGACCTCAAGCTATGATTTATGATCCAAACATATTTATAGGCAATGAAAACTGATGTGAAATTGAGTTGAGCAAATGAGAATTTTTCTGATGTAATTTTCTGCAAATGTACCAGTTTTTGCAGTTATTTTTTTGTAATTTTCTATGTACTCCCTTTAAACCCTCCAGTAAACCTCAGGTGCAATTGCTCCGGACTTGAGTCTCTCTGTGTATCCCAATTTTACACAAAAAAACCTCTAACACTTAAGCTCCTTGTATATCAAAACAAACTAAGCAAATGTGGCTTCTTTAAATCTACTGTACCCTGTTTTCCTACACTATTTGTTTTGCAGATCAACATGTGAAGCTGTAGGTGAATTCAGCGGAATTAGTGGCGCCGATATACAGTGTATGGATCAGTGTTTGGTCTACCCGTCCAAGAACTGTTCCAGGACTCAATGTGCTTGTTACGAAGAAAACAACGGTTTGGAAACATTCGATCTCAAAGCCACCAATAGTCCGGACAACACGATTTAGCTGCAGAATTGTAGCGGAAAAACCTGCAAGAAGAAAAATTTTGGGCAACCACATATAAATATTTATAATTAGCTTTATTGGTTTCATATCGGAGAGTTTGCGTTTTAGTAGCTGGTTAAACCAGTTGAGGCAGGGTCGATGATATTTGCCCACATTTTTCTTTCCAATAAAACCCACAATTAACTAAAAGCTTTTTAAATTGGCATCATAAAATATTTGAAATATATGCGGGTTTTATTGAGTGTTTGTTTTTTTTTTCGCTCATGTATTTGATTTTATAGAAGACCTAGAAGTCAATCTGACTTCTTAGAATCAGAGCAAGAGATAGTGAAATTGACAAAGGTTTTGCAATTTCATCCAACTGGAAGAAATCACACGAATTCAAATGCAATTAAGTGATGATGAATAAAAAGACTTATGTTAAATATAGGCTTAAAAAACGAAAAAAAGGAACGAAACTAGAAAAAGCCACCAACTTTTGATAGAAGGGAGGAAATCTAGAGAAGATTCAGTTTTCAGAAGGAAATCAACATATGGTGATATATATCTACAACTACATGAAGAAGCAACTAAACTGCATAAGCGCAGGAAGAATCAACTTTCAATAACAGAAATTACAAATCACACGGAAAAGATAATCAAGACCCAAAACGAAACTAGTTGATTAAACAGCAAAGAAAATTTAAAGGAAAACTAACAATATGAATCAGAGCTACAAACTGTAACGCACAACAAAACATGAACAGGATTTGTTGAAAAAATATACTGCAATGTTCTATGAAAACACAGATCAGTTGATAAACACTGAGGAGTGTAGGAAAGTAGGAAAACAATTAAAGCAGCAATAGCAATTTAAATCAAAGGAAAGTAAAGCTGGAACTGCAAATCGCAAAATAGTAAAGCAAACAATAACAGGCGTATCTGGAACAAAATGCTTCTTTTTTCGAAGTTTTTCAAGCCCCATTTGAGGCACAAAATTTGTTGAATAAAGACTTTTGCTGACGATTCCGTCATAACAACATGAGTGAGGAAATTCGAGCAGTTTTGACCCAGTAAGCGAAATTTAAATATCAGACACTGAGGAGCAAGATTATGCCAAAAATTCATGTTTTCCGTCCCGTTTCTGCTCATTTCTCGGAAGCGAAATAAGCAAGAACGCTCATTTTTAGATCATTCGAGAAAGAACTAAATGGCCTTTTTAGAAAGTGATCCATCGATAAGTAAATGTTGGCAGTTTTCTCAAAAACGTCTTGACTTCCAAGAAGTTTGAGTTTTGCGTAATTTTTTTTCGAGTCTCTTTTTCGAAGTTTCTCAAGACTCATTTGAGCCAGAGAATTACTTTTGGCATCGTTGGTTAGAATATTGAAAATTCGATTCAGTCAACAATATAAGTGAGGACATTCGAGTAGTTTTGACCCAGAAAGCGAAATTTTAATATCAGACACTTAGGTGCAAGATTCTGTTAAAATTTCATGTTTTTCGTCCCTTTCTGCTCATTTCTCGGAAGAAAACTGAGCAAGAACGTTTATTTTTAGATAATTCCAGAGAGAACTAAATAGCCTCCTTTTTTCGAAGTTTCTCAAGCCCCATTTAAGCAACATAATTCGTTTTGGCATCGTTGAATAAAGAAAATTCGATTCAGTCATAACATCATGAGTGAGGAGATTCGAGTAGTTTTGAGTAACCTTGAAAGATACAAACGATAGAATTTAAGAGGTAAAAAAAGCAAGCCATATAGAAAAGGTTACGAAAGCGAACATATAAAAGCAAATATTATAGACAAATCAATAATGATAATTAAATGATAGACACAAAAAATTGACAACAAAAAATTGGGAGATACAAGAAAAATTCATACGATTAGTATTCCTTGAATCTATGTCTCAAAGTAACAGACTTATTTTAATTATTTAATATATTGTGTGCTCACAACTACTATAATAGCAAACGTATTAAAACAAGAAGCAATTAAGCTAATACGCCTAATGCACAAGAACCAGATTGAAAGACTTTATAATCAGAAGTTTTAAAAAGAACAAATAAATAAAGTTAAAGTAAAATTAACTAACGAGATACTAAAAAGAACTTATTGCTTCAATGCATGTGAAACAGGAAAAGGTATAGAAATGCAGTAAATACAGAAGCCAAATATAAAAATGAAGCGAAAAGCGGAAGCAGCCAAAAGAAACAGTATACTATTTTCTTTAATATTAAAAGTTTCATACGAAATTTCATGGATTTCCCATGAGCAAATAACAAAGTATTCTTCAAAATCACTGTAACAGCAACTGTGAGAACAAAAATATTTTGGAAATATACGATGAATTGCTTCAAATGTTACTACTCTTATATACTAGATAAATACGTATGGTGATAAATAGCAAATCGACCAGAAATGTTGTTGAAATCAACGGAATGTTCCTTGAGTTAATTAGGATGAACAAAGAAGCAGCTATTAAACGGCTGCTAGAATAATTAAAAATCCTTTTAGAGCCTATAGTACCAAATAAGCGATTTACTATTCATCAACATAGGCATCACTTCAGAAACTCTAAAGAGAAAACAATCCACGTTTCCTCCCACTTGATTGGTTATATTGTGCTTGAAATGCCTTCAGTTACTAAAGCAATCATCAAAGGCTCCGAACTAAACGATTTTTAAGGAGAAAATTGTACTTAAAACACAAAAATGTCTAGTTTCTTGACTGCATATTTTAATTTCTATTAGCGCGCCCATGTTTCCTGTTGGTACATTATCAGAACAATTAATGGGATGAAAATAATATAAGAAGTAAGGTCATAACCTGATGCGATTAAAATCCCCCTCAATCATTTATTCGACCTTTGGTTGCTTGAACCAAACAAAGCCAGTTAAGCTGGGAAAAGTGGCCGACACTAATCATATTTGAAATGAAGTCGTGCACTTTGCTGTTTGTCTTCTTTTTAGGTAAGAAAATTGTTTTCAGAAAATATTGAAGTACCTACTCGCAAAAAAGCCAGCAAGGAAACTAACTGCCCTAAAATGTTTTAGGAGTTTGTTGGGCGGAAATTGAGATTCCGAACATTCCCATGAGCTTAGATGATATACCAGAAATTAAGAGAAGATGCGAGGAAAAAGGCAAAAGTGATACCTACGAACGTGTAAAGGTAGGATTTAAATTTCATATTTATATAACTGAGTCACATTAAATTTTTTTTGTTACCTTTATTTACTGTATTTTAATTTAAAAGAAAATTGTTTTGATAGATTAATCTCATTACAATTACAAATTTCCCATCGCGTACAGTTTTGTGCATATGCTCCTATCAAAAACCACTGATAAAACTATAGACATTGATAACCTTAGGAGTAAACAAAAGACCAGAAACAACAAACTAATAAATACGTTAAAACTGTAGATAGCCATCAATGAAACACGTACATGTCTTGAGGGGCAAATCAGCCCGAGTAAAATCAAGGAAGAACTGGAAGAGGCGAAAAAAACCGGCTCTATGGACGAGGTCTTTGGAAAATACTGCAACAAGCGCCAAGACTACAAAAACTGCATCTTCAAGACTGTCAATGTTACCAAAGAATGTCTGGAGGAAGTTGAAATCAACCATATTAACTCCGCTGTAAAGGTCATCGAAGAAATTGCAGATTTCGCCTGTTATAGAGACGGAGATCGGCTTGCAAGTAAATTATTTTATGGGACCGAAGTCTTCAATTCCTACAAATCAATGTTTTCTAGTGTTTGTGGCTGAAGGAGGAGTGGAATGTGTGTCATCCCGTACCGAGCAAATCAAAGACTGTGTCAATGGCACTTTTAAAATTGATACCAGCAATCTTAGTCTCACTTCCTTGCCCACTCTTCCATTTTCATTGAAAATTGATAAGGATAAATGCGAGTAAGTAAATTCTTCCTGTTATGCATCGAACCGACCGGTTTCTTCAAGCTCTTTGAATGATTTAACTCTCTTAATAATTGTTTAAACTACCGATAAAAATCCGATTATTTTTAATTATTTTAATGTATATTACCACCATTAAATGCACTTTTTAGCAAATAAACATAATCTAAGAAAAAGATGCTGATATTTCTTCCGAATTTTGAAAAAATCAGACTCAACAATACGATTTGCCGCAAATTATACAAATGGCTAAATTCCAGGGAAAATCGGTAAAATGCCGCAACAAGATTTATCGCAAGTTTACTCCTTGAACAAATAATTGAGAGCTACAAAAATAGGAAAAAAATACAAAATATGCAGTTTTTCAATTGTTGATTACTGTAATGTCTAGGTGCCGTAAAGTGCCGTCTTTACTCTCAAGAAGGCAAAGACCTAAAAGAACGTTGATTTTACCAATCATGAATTTGTGTAAATTTTAAATCTGATGATGGCGCTGTGGTCTCGTCGAAACGTAATGAAATAAACGATGTTCAAAAATTTTTACTTCACACATTGTCTGAGACCAAGGAAAGATAAGAGTATCATAACTAATAAGGAAAATAAATCAGATCTAAATATTATATGATAACTCCATTAAAACCCAACTTGCTGCTTCAAAAAGTGTGCTAACTTGTTTATTAACTAACTTATTTGTGCATCTTTATCGGGGGCAATTTTCAGGAGGGTCAACTCTGAATCCTCAAAATGCGTATGCCTGCAACTGAATCAGAAATAAAAAAATATATTTTGTCTTTGAATACTTTCCGGTTAAAGTCGAATGCAGATCTTAAACTTGAAATGTTTGTTAAAAATCCAGCTCGTTGGCGGCTTTTAAAGGCTCATTTAAATACATAATAAATGCACTCAATTGCATATTAGACGACCTACAAAAATCGTTAGAAAACAATTTTTTTTTTACAGTTTCAAACAGTAAATTTACTCTGACATTATCCAAATGCCTGATAAGCTGCTCAGAAGTTTTTTCCTGAAAACCACAACAGACCGATCCCATTATCATCCACGTTTCAAAGATTATAGTAAAAAGACTTTCAACTAGATATTTATTGAAATTTTCACCTCAAAATCATTCGGATGATTCGTCTAAATATCCAAATTGGACTTAAAACCGATGGTACTTCGATACCAATAAATTCAAACTTCGCAGTTAATTTCGTTGGAAATACTTCTTTGAGGAGTGATGTTTGCTTAATGAGGTTGCAAAAATATCAAAAAAATCTAAACTTGAGTAATGGCTGCAAACAAATTTCAAATATAACCGATAAAAATCGAATCTTTCTTTCTCGTGCAGTTGTAACTTAAATTATTCAAAAGTTGAGTGAAAAACTATGAAATTAAGTCAGCCCGAAAGTTTTAGCTCACATCCAGATTTACCCTTTTAGAAAGAAATCTGAGCCTATGTGAAGCATGCAAATTACAATTTGTGCCAAATATACAACCATCCAAATCCTGAATTTAGTCACTGAATGAATGATTTGCTCTACGTTTAAACGAATGCTTTAAGCAACTTTGTCTTGCATTTTTTAGCAAACTATCAGATATTCAACAATGTGTAGTAAACGACTTGGAATCCAACTGCAAAGACACCACACCAGCCAATATAGTAGATGCTCTGTTCAAATACGTGAAGAAACTGACTTGTAAGAACATCAAGAAAAGAAGTATGTTAGAAATATTACTCTGAACTACCCACAGTCTTTCTGTCTCAGAATTATTATAAAACATCTCTTTTTTAATACACAATTTCCCTAAATTTGAGTTTTACTTATTACTGCTATCATTCGAACTCTCCTCCTCACGTGCACTTAGAAACTCAATTCAGTTCTTCTTGCAAGCACTCCAACGTTCATCAATTGAGAAGGTAAGTAACTGATATTGAGTATTGATTGATCCATATGTTCCCGTTCTAGATGTAAATTTTGGACGAATCAAGCGTGATATGGATTTACTCTTAAACACCATCAATGTAACACAATTTGATCGTACAATTAAGGATTTATGCTTGGACAAAGGAGGAAAAAACGTCACGGTCAACCTGTCGGTAAGCGGATTTATCCATAATTGGCCAACAATAGTTATATAATTAAAGTTAGATAATTTTAGAACATTGTAAACTCGGTAAAGTCCTGCTTAATAGCACGAAGTAATCAGTTGTTCGTTACCCCTAAAGATGAATATATCGAATCGCTTAAAAACTGCACACAAATCTACCAAGAAGAAATAGAAAAATGTTCACTCAGAGATGATATCAAGTTCCTTCCAAAGTTTATCTTTTCTTTGGCAGAATCCTTAGCGGAATTTGCCTATAATCACCTGAATTTGCGTAAAAGTACGTGCGAAAGAATCAAGGAAAATTGGACAAGACTTTCCTTCACTTACTGTTGTAGTTAAGCCGGACAGTGAAATCATTAATTGCCTGCAAAGACTAAAATCAACCAGAGGAATCAAGAAGTTTGTTACCGAATGTGGGCCTAAAACTGAGTTAATTCAATTTAGCGGTTCAGAGTACAGATTCCCAAATAAAACGCTAATTTGCACGTAAGTATCAAGTCCAAATCGCATTACCTAGTTTCATTGGCTATGCGAAAACGTTTTTTAGACAATTGACTGATACAAGTGCTTGCATAAGTAACTTTATAAGGACAACGTGTGCTCGCGATATTTCCACGGACTCAATATTGCAAAACTTAAATACCGCTATTCAAAAACCCTGTTCATAGTATAATGATTGATTGACAAACCATTGAGTCTCTACTTAAGTTAAAGGAAATGCGAATGAGATCGGAAAACATCTGTAAGTGGACATATGAGTTAATAATAAGCAATTGATAAAACTTTTTAATACATATTAAAACAATTTAATAAACATCGTTATTCACTAAAAAAAATGCAAATTATTTGAGCCTCCACGTTCACCAGATTTATCACTATTGAAATTGTCTATTTGGGAATACGTCGTGCAACAGTTGCACTGGATGGGATAAATTAAACTCAATGAAAAGTGTTATATCAGATATATTATCAAAATCAAAGTATTAATTACGATTTTCACTTATATATATATATTATAAAGCATTCTAAATATAAAATTGGACATCATCAAAACAGACATTAAAAATATAAAATGTGCAAAACAATTATTTTAAATCAATTTTAGCATTATCCGTCTTTTCCTGACTGATTGAACTGGGGCTCTGCTTAATAAAGATTTCCAAGACCTTTCACAATCCTAGAATTTTTTAACTTCACTTTCAAATTGGGAATATAACATGTATTGCTGCCTTCAGGAAATATAACTTTTCCCCTTTGTCCATCATCATCGTCATATTTTAAATGGGTACCCATATTTTCAAATAAGCTTTGTGCTGTGGGGGAATTTAAGATCACCTTATCGAATGTATCAATTGTTTCAACAGTTTTAGTCTCGTTTTCTGCTTTTGGTCGATCTACATCAGTTGCAGCAGAACAAGTTTTTTTCTGTGAGCTGTTCTTAGCAAGTTTATTACATAATGCAGAAGCTAGAGCCAAAATTTTCGTTATTGGTGGATCAGCAACAATTTTATTAATTTTTTGTCCCTTTGGGGAATGTACATAAGACTCAAGATAGCAAATTTTTTCATGTAAACTTCCTTCAGCAGGTTGGTAACATGGTAGATCAGCCTCTGTAGCTAAAGATTGTTTTATTAGTGACTCTGTGAGAGTTTTAGACAAATTCACTGGCGTTGGGAAATCTACATCAGCCTCAGAAGAGCAAGCTTTTTCATATGGGCTGTCTTCACCAGGTTGGTTACATGCTAGATCAGCCTCTGGAGCTAAAATTTGTTTTATTATTGACTCTTCGAAAGTTTTATTCAATTTTATATACTCTAATACTGAGGCACCTACATGAGCTAAAGGAGAGCCAGTTTTTTCCAGTGCGCTGTCTTCAGCAGGTTGATTACATGATGGATCAGCCTTTGTGGCTAAAATTTCTTCTATTCGTGACTCTGCGAGAGTTTTAAACAAGTTCTCTGGTGCTGGGAAATCTTCATCAGCCTCAGAAGACCAAGCTTTTTCATGTGCGCTGTCTTCACCAGGTTGGTTACATGATAAATCAGCCTCTGTAACAAACATTTCTTTTATTAGTGACTCTGCGCGAGTTTTAGACAAGTTGTCTGGTGTTTGGGCATCTTCATCAGCTCCAGGAGAGCCAGGTTTTTCCTGTGCGCTGTCTTCAGCAGGTTGATTACATGAACAATCATCCTTTGCAGCCAAAATTTGTTTTATTGGTGACTCTGCCAGAGTTTTAGACAAGTTCTCTGGTGTTGAGGGATCTACATCAGCCTCATGAGAGCCAGTTTCTTCCTGTACGCTGTATTCAGCAAGTTGATTACATGATAGACCAGCGTCCGTAACCAAAATGTATTTTATTGGTGACTCTGCGACAGTTTTAGACAAGTTCTTTGGTGTTGGGGTATCTACATCAGCCTCAGGAGAGCAAGTTTTCTCATGTGCGCTGTCTTCAGCAGGTTTATTACATGATAGATCATCGTCCCCAGCCAAAATGTGCTCTAATGGTGAATCCGAGACATCCTCGATACGCATTACTCCTTTAAATTCAGTATGAGCAAGTTCAGCAGGTGGTTGGGAAACGTCGACATTATGGACTATGGTTCTATGCACCATTTCATCCACACAAATTTTGCTGTTTGAGTTACTTAAGTTGTTATCACTTTCTTCGGCATCGCTAAGCTTCGGTTTAATTGAATGGAAGATGTTGAAATCGATTCCAGCAGGTTGTTTAGATGATAGGTCTTTGTCTGCAGCCAAAATTTGTTTTGCGACAGTTTTGATCAAGTTTTGTCGTTTTGGGGTTTTTTCCAGTGCGCTGTCTTCAGCATGTGGATTACATAATCGATCAGCGTGCTCAGCCAAAGTGTGTTCTAATGGTGGATCTGAGACATCGTCTATTCGCATTTTCTCTTGTTTCAATTCATTATTAGCAGGTGCGGCAGGTGTTAGAGAAATGTTGACATTATGGACTATAGGTCTTTGCTCAACTTTATCCATAAACATTTTTGAATTAGTTAAGCTGTTGTAATTTTTCCCGGTATCGCCAAACTTCATTTTAATTAAATGGAAGATGTTGAATTCGATTGGGTGACCACTCAACACTGTCAGCGTGATCAAGGCCAAGAGTAGAGTGAATATCAACATCATTGGCCACATTATAAAATTTATGGGAAATGGCAAATTTGCTAAAACCATCAATAATAAAATGTAGTACTTTGTTCGGCAACATATCATTGGGATATACTTACAAAACATGTTACTTCCAAATCCACCCATTCCTGTTCCCACCGCATGCATTGGAATAATAATAAGATGCTTAACTTGATGCAGCAAAGTATCCAAAGGTGTTACAGACCGCTTCTCACACTCTTCAGAACCTTAAAGTGCATTAGTGGATCAGCACAGAACCGAATTTTATACACAACGCAATTACCAAAAAGAAATTTAGTCCATTCAGTCCATGACATTTTTGTGGTGTCGCACTTACTCGAGTAGACCACTTTGAAATTATGCTCTTCGGTCTCCTGAAAAAATTGGCTTGTTAATACGCATCTAACAGGAATTTACATGCATAAAAAGTACGCCAACCATTTAGTACCTAACAAATCTGACTGAATAAATAGCACTACCTTGCAATTTAAGAAATGAGTGCTAGTAGTATAAGTAAACCCGCCACTCAATTTGATGTAGTTTCGCTAAATATATTGTAATAAGAAAAAGTAAGTGAAATCGCCTTGATGCTTACCTGAACTAGATGGTAATGTCTAAATCCAAAATCAGTTATTAGAACTAAGAGGATGATAAATTTCGACATATATGCTAAGGAGAAACCATTCTTCATCAACTGATGTACAAAATACACCATATAAGCTGTTCCGAAAATCCAAAGAGTTTCAATATTTACAACAGCAGAGTAGAGTTGTGACTGGAAGGACTTTACGTTGTCCAAATACCCATCGATGTAACTTTTCTGGAAGCCTTCACTAAAAATGGCGTTGAGGTCCCTCAATGTGTCTAAAGTTATATCTTCCTTTCCAAAGTTGAGTAGGAACTGATGATCTTCGGGTTTAATGGCAAATCTAATATGTCCCTGATACAAGTCCGGGTTTTCTTTGTCGATATGTGCCGCCTTCATCAGAACAGACACAATCCTCTTCAGGTTGAAGAGATAGGTGTTAAGTGAGTCAGTTGCTTGAGATTTTTCTGCACCATTTCCAAATGAAGAATCCAAAGAGGACGAACGCAGATATTTTTGTTTAGCATTTGTATTCATATCATGGGGGTCTTTCCAATCTTGGGATGCAACCGAAGAAGTCACAGTCTTTATTACACATACTGTGACAATTATCAGTAGTGTCTTCATTTTGAGCTGTCCAAGTGTAAAAAATTAACATAAATACTTGAAAACGGACAGATTCAGTGCAGATACAACACACAACAAAAACAGGAAATTAACAACGTATGCTTAAAGTTATGGCAGCTTCAATCAAATCATGCGCGACTGGAAGCAATGTTCGAAAGTTCAGGAATATTCACTAAACGTATCAAATTATAAAATGACTATAAAAACCATAAAAACTGCTACAATAAAACTGTGAATAAAACATAAACACGATTCTCCCACTTGACTTTCAAACTTCAAACTCGACACTGCGCAACATAACCTTTTAAGGAATAATCAGACTACAAACTGACTTCTTCACGTTGCCAATTGTTGGCCCCTAAAATAATAAATATTTTTTCAAGTTTCTTATCTAAAATTTTTATTATACAGTTTATTTCACATTTTATTCCTCAACATTTTCGTATACTTTGCTTAATTTTAAAAATTAAATTAATGCTTTAAGATCCATATTTAGCTGACGATTTGTCATCGTTATTAGAGAAGAACTATTAGAGAGGGAGGCAGAATCAGTCAAAAGTTCATCCTGAATTGAGGTTATTGTTTATGTGTAAGTTTGTGCTTTTGTACAACTTTATTGGGTTTATTGTGTTGTTTATGGCAGCCTGAGGACGCTTAGTTCGGTTTTGGCTACTCTTGGGATGTTTGCGTGTTGACCTGAGGGTAAGTTTGACCTGTTTTCCATAGAAATTGCTCAACTGGCCTTTGAATGTATGCAGAACTGCCAAGTTGGGTACCTATTTGAAAAGAGAAAGTCGAAAAGCTGCTTAGCAGGAACCAGGACGATTGTTTTAAGAACCACCAGTTGTATTTAATTTATTCAATAAAACTGCTTAATTGGTTGAATGTTGGTGTTTGAACCTCATGTCCTTCAGAAAGGGGGTACTCGAAGGGGAATAACCACCCTCTCCTAATTCCTTTATAATTTTCATTATATTTCCTTCTTAATAATGCCTTGGGAATTCTTAGAGAACGAATGCTAATCACTCATTGTCTATGATTATTCATCGAGCTTTCCCGCGATTTATTCGTCTTGTACTTAAGTAATCTTAATTCGAAACTTCTTCTCAATCTCAATTCTTGTACATATATTTAGGGCCATTTAATTCGCCAGTTTAGGCGATCGAAAAACATAAAGAAGTAGAAGCTTGGAACACCGTTGTCAGCTGCGAAATTTGCAACTTTCGAAGCCTAACAATATTGCTCGAAGTTAATAATTTAATTTGCAACTTAAACCTTAGGACTAACTGAAAGAATGCTGTTTCGATTATTTTATTCCCAAAACCTCGCTCTATTGGCTCTATTGGATGTATGATTTAATACGTTTTCTATGGCTTTCATATTTAATACTACAACATGTAGTTTATCCTTTATGTTATTACCAAAACGACATTCAGGTTTTTTATTATGTACTTGATTATAAAGCGTTATTTCACGGAAATTATCGTTGAATTATTATAACGAAGTAACTTGAAAGTTAACAAAAAATTGGCAAAAATGAGACAATAGGCAATAAAAATAGACAAAATAAAACTGCCAACAGAAACAAATATTGTCGGTAAGAAAGTTACATTACGAATATTAATATTAAGCTCAGAATTTGATGTCCATAAAATTGAAACATAAAAAAAAAGTTTTAACAACTATACAATTTTTAATAGTGAAGCTCTAAGTTCTATACTGGCTTAATTATTTTTGTGTTGCTATTCACAAAGAGATGAATGAAATATATATATGTATGATAAGACATGTTTGAAATTTTGTAATTGTTAATTTGCTTTACTGCAAATTTCTTTCTTTCTACATTCATTAAAAAAAATATATTGATATACATATACAGATTTTCTCATTGACACTTTTTCTCGCAAGTTTTCCTAGGTGAAGATAAAGCCGATTTTAAAAGTAAAATGTCACGTTTCTGTATCCAGCAAAGGTTAAATAAGAATGATACAGGTCGTGGTATCATTGAGAAAGTAAAAACAAGACATTTTTTTGAAAATTTACTGAACTTGAAAATCTAACAACATATTTTTACAACATAAAGTTAACTTTTAGGTTTGAATTGCCTAATATCCTGCTTTATTTAGTTACTTTGAAAACTTGAAGAAGAAAAATGTGTTTCCTAGTTTTTATTCAGCTTTTGAGGATCCATTTTAATATACCTAACATTTCTTTTCAAAATTTAAACTGCTTTCAGATGTTTCAGTTCATAGAATGGATATATTTTTGAACTTCAGACAAATAAAGAAACATACGACCGACTAAGTAAAAATGTTTAATCAAATTTAAATATTTTCACAGGACTGGACTTGCTGAAAATTTTGATTAGACATTTTTTCCTATTTTTGAAAATGGTTAAGTTGATTAGCTTAATTATCGTAAACACCGAAACACAGCCCATATTGAATTTATGAATTTATTATTTACTTGCTTATATTAGAAGAACGGCGGCATTTTATTTACAGTCATTTTCCAAATACACGAATGAATTTATGTCGATTATCAGTATTTGCGTGGCAATATGGTATATTTAAAGCGAAAAATAAATTTTAATGCCGACCCTTTTTATAAATTATGTAACAGTTTAGTAAAAGTAGCGATTGGTTGGCAAATTAATGAGCGATAAACCGGGGCATTCTGATGGCCAATGGGAGATAATAAGTTTGCGTTTTGCATTCCTAAGGTGTTGCTCTTTTCCAAACGCGTTTCCAAAGGGCAATGCAAAGATTCTACATGGGGGAAAGCAAAGAGACATTTTGCAAACAGAATTTATTTGTGGGCCCATATTCAAAACAAAAAAGATTTCTATGTAGACCCTTTTCGTCGTTATTTAACAGTGTAGTAGGAGTTTGAAAGCGATTGCTTCAATCGAGTACCAACGACAATCAATGGGTGATAAATCGGGGCATACTGTTGGCCAATAGAAGGCATTAGTTCTAAGTTTTGGTTTTTATAGTATTTGCTACGGAGTATGGAAAGGTCTAAAATGGAGGAAAGCGAAAGGGCTTGTAAAGAAAGTTTGTCTGTGGTATAATTCAAGCCAAATAATACATTTTATCATTTACACGCACTGCCCCAAGAAGAAATTTTATTTCTTCAGCATTACGACACTATTTAAACAGCTATAGACGAAAGTGTACATTCTAGAGAAACAGAATAAATTCGTTTACTGTCTGAACCAATGGGGGTTAAATTATTATAATTTCATACCTCCTTCGGATGATTTAAGTTGTGTAATTTTAATTAAGTATTGTAAACACTCATTTATTAAAGAAGTATCCCCTTAATTAAAAATTTCACTCATAATCTTCATCCTCATCATCATCTTGCTCATAAATTCGTTGTCGAATTTTTTCATCGACTATGTCAATTTGCTCATCAATCATCTGTGAATCTCTCGACTGATCGGTTTCTTCATTGTGTTCACTGGCTTCATTGCTGGGGATTTCTATATCACATTCATGCTTGTTGGGCTTGTTGTAATAGTCCGAATTCTCATCCAGCTTCGGATCGCCTTTGGCAAATTCGGTAAAATGCCGGTCGTAACTTGCCAAGTGTTTAAACTGCTTCTTGGCCAGAGCGTGTTTGTTGAAAATGTGATCAAGGAATTCCTTTTCGTACACGTCTTCTAGGCTTTGCACCCTCAGATGCTCTTTGGCTTCTTCCACCGTTAGTAGAATACAATTCCATGGAGCCCATTCAGCGCTCTGCTGCCACCTGAACCACTTCAATTAGTAGCTGGATTTAAGTGAAGTTACTGAGCTACCTGACAAGGCGAAGTTGGTACACGTCGTTGCACTCCGACAACGCTGAATGCCCATGCCATATGTAGGTGACCAGAAAATGCACATCTCTATCCTGCATAATAAAAGCAATAGACGATTTCCCTTGATGTAGCCTTTCGTAGTTTCTGATCTGCCTCAAAGTGAACTTATAAGGCGCCAGATCGACCCATGGTTCATCGGCCTTGTCCAGCCACTTGCAAGTAGTGCAAGTCTTCAGTTTGTCCAATCTGAAAAGCACTGCTTACCCTCCTGACTTGGTACCAACAAGGCAGCATTACCTAGCATGAATGGTGAACGCTTCTATGGGCTTCAGCTTCTGGCAGCTGGGGCAATAAATCAAGTTCTTTGTCATGTGCTCCTTTCTCATCTTCATCGCATGGTTAGTTACTCCCTCGTTGCAATCTTGCAACTTGAAATGGTGCAGCACTAGGGCTTCAATGCGTTTTTGTAACCCTGGAAAAATATTGTAGGACTTTAATATACTTAATTAAAAAACATTGAAAGCTTCTAAATGCGACGGCTCTGGCATGATCAGTGTGATGTTCCGTGTCCTCAGAGTGTTTCTTTGCGTATATACTCCAGGTGTGTGAGGCAAACTGAGGACACTTTTGCGTTCCTGATTTAATTTAAAAAACCCATTATTCTATACCAAAGCAGTAACAATATCGACTACACTTTATAAAGCAACTTTAAGTCAGCATGAAAAACACGTGATCAGCTGTATGCTTCTACGTTTCCTTTTGGAGAAACCATCATCAACGTCACATCACAACCAAAAATCAAGTGGTCAGATCAGGTGATAGTGCCGGCCAAATCGTTTTAGAGGAAGTGCTGAGAAATCTGTGTTTGAATATGTCCTGAGGATATCTTATAAATATCCCACTGAAAAAGCCTGGTTATCGACGGCTTCAGCCAACAGACATTTAAGTAGATTGTCCAGTTTCCAGATGGAAAACTTCTGGGGACGATAGAGTATCGAAAAACAATATGAGTTTACATTGTAAACTGCATTTGAGGAAAACTTCGTTAACAAAATATAGGGTCTTTAAGTTTGACTGAAAAAAAAACTTAATAAATTGTTGCCACACTGCCAACGAAGGAGCACAATTGAGTGGCGTCCGAACTCTCACGTTAATGGATGTTTTTCATTCAGTTTTTGAAAAATTTTCGCTTTAAGAATTGATAATTTTTTAATAAATCCATCTATTAATATTTTTGGGCCTAAACCAAAATGCTGCGTCACTGATTTTTCATCAAATAAATATCGCATTTGGCTTCTTGATTCAATTTCAAAAGAAACAATTTTGTTTCAAATTTTCTCTACAACCTTGCCTTTTCAAGTAAAACTTAGAAATTAGCCAGCATTTTTGAGCAAAAAATAATTGATAGTTATAATAGGAATTGGTGTGTGTTTTTTTATTGAAGTGTGTAATTAATACAATACACACTTCAATGCAAAAAAACCGATTCTTTAATTGCTAGTTACTTAATAAATCCGTCTGATAATAACTAAAATAAAAATTAACGGATAATCATGAAATTTAAACAAACTAAAATCACAAATTCAATCGGTGTTGTGTCACAAGAGCAAAATTAAACAAATTGATCGCAATGTAGTTCACTCACTTCAATACATTTTCGACATCGTCTAACTACTGAATTTATTGCAGCTGATATTTGCTGTATTCGTAAAACTAAATCATCTCTGTTTAAAAGTGGAGTAGATCTTGACCTTTTGCATGTCCTCAAGCGAATAAGTTCAGCGGATTAAGGTAGGGTGATCTACACTTACCTGTTAAGTAATTACTGGACATTCCCCTGGCAATCAATTCGCAAACTCTGTCTATTAAAGCCACAATTTCTTGGCTTTCTGAACAATTGTGCGTATTCAGGTACTGTTTGATGTTCGCATAAATCTCCAGCCTCTCGTCCTTTTTAAGGTATTTGTTGCATAGTCGTTGATACAGATCGAAGTATTCCCGTCCTTTTTGCGTCTCCAAAGTGTCCATGCTGATGTGGATGTGCTTGTAGTCGCTGTCCCATTCAATCGGGTTACCGATCGCCTGGAAGAAGTCGATAACTTTCTTGACTTCCAGATCTTTTTTCACTTTGCTGCGAAGTCGATCGATGGATTGAAGAATCTCGATTTCCTTTTCCAGCAGCAGGTAAAACTCGGCGATTTTGGCTGCTCCGCATGACATGGATACGATGCGATCGATCTCGGACTTTTTCCATCTATCCACCTACAAAAACCGCCTAGTAAATGGTTGAGAATGGTTGTTTTGCTTTAGCAAGCACACCATGTTGTAGAGCATGGCAAAGTCCTCGGATCGCATGGGAAACACTTTGCGGACCAGGTCGTGTTTCTTTCTTTCCTCGTCGTCTTTGCGCTCCTGCTCGTCGCGTTCCTGTTCCAGACGCATTCGTTTGTGGAATTCAGCGCTCAGCTCTTTGAGGCGCTTTTTTATCTTCCAGGCCCTAGGAAAGTTTTTTCTGGCTTCTCTGATTTATCACATCCTGAAGTGTTACCTGAAGTATCTCTGGATGGTGCGGACTTTGCCCTCTACATCCAGGCGCTTCTCGCGCTCTTCTGCAGTTTCATACGGTCCAGCTGTAAGGATTTTGTCACACACGCTGGGCAAATAGATGCCTTTGGTTGAAACCTGGAAAATGAATGGAGTTTTTTCAATTTTTCAGCAACATTTTGCACTTGCCTGAGTGGCTGTGGCATACTCTCTTTCAGTTCTCCTGTTCCGGGTGTAGTAAGTTTGAGTGTCGCGGTGGTTTTTCATTTCTGGGGGCACTTTTGGCTTGGGGGGACCAGTTTGGGTGTATCCATGATGGTACTGGATGCCCGTTTCGGCATCCCGGTACCCACCTGCAGGAGGTTTTCTATCATTTGCCTACTGTTGGATGCAGTTGCTCACCTAGGAAAGGCTTCTCGATTGCTTTGTTATCAATTTCCACCACAATTTCACTGACGACGTTGTCTTTTTCAACTTGCACTGTAATTATATCCGGTACTGTTAGGTTCTTGTAGGCGTTCTCAATGGGAATTTTGAAGTCGCGATCAGTGCTGATTAGCTTGAACTCCAGGATACCAAACTTGTCTGGCTCGAACTGATCCAGCCTGGTCTGAAAAGCGTCCTTAAATCCAGGAAGTTTTTTGATCGACGCCTAGTTTACCTCTGTAGGTATGTGCTCTTCCCGATAGAGCAGCCCGATTACATCCGGAGGACAATTGAAGAGCTTGGCCAGGTTTCTGCAAATGAACTCCATATTGTAGAAGGACGGGAACGATTGCGTGAAGACTTTGGCATCCGTTGTGTAGAATTTCACTGTGATCTTATCCAGGACATTTTCAGCTGAAGCTTTTTGAACAAAATCGAAATTGAAGTCGCATCCGAGCGAAAGCTCGGAATCCATTTTCCGCGGTAATTGACTCGACAATGTCACTCGAACATCTGCACCTTTGAAGAAGGTGCAGGCTAATGTTAAATGAACAATCAGGGCCTGTTTATGGGTATCCAAGTAACTGAAACGTTCGTATTGATTTATTTTTCTACGTCCTTAGTTCTTCTTGGTACAAAGTTGTACAACATACAGGGTGAGAAGTTGCAACTTAGAAATGAGCATTAAGTCCTAAAACTTTTTAAAAGTGAATAGTTTCTATTGAATTAATATGTATTGATCTATAGGTGGCGAAGAAATATAAAATTCCAACCATAATTTAATAATGAAATGATACATCGATTTTTTGTTGCTTTTTGCTACTTAAATGATAATCTTCTCTTTTTTACTTTTTATATTACTAATATTTGCTGATTTGGTTTAGGTACTAACGACTATTATTTGTGTAAGTATTTGATGATCTCATTTTGCCTTGGTCTTAAATAAAACAATAACGCAAAGCTGTTGAAAACCAATAGTTTTTTGTAAAGAGAGTGAGAAAGGCTCCATCCTCGAGTCCTCAGGTTACCAGAACTGTTAGAATTCACACTACCAATATTCAGCGGACTTTTTCAATTGTAACAGAAACTAACAATTATGTTCATTTTAATCATCAAGTGAACAATCAAGATCCAATTGCCTACATATTAACTGGTCTATGTCCTGTTATGTTTGCACAAATAGCAATTATTATATGGATTAATAACTTTGCGCTAGTGCCGCTAATTTAACCTGTTTCACTTCATTGCTTTAGAAAATGCTCATTAGCTTAAGGCAGGCAGTCATTGTTTAACAATCACGAAAAATATCAGAATGTGCCTGAAAGACTTTAGAGCCTCAAATATTTTTCGTTGTATTTTGGAGGGTTGAAACACTTAAAACGCTAAAGAGAATTTGGTTTGAAGAACTGTGTACGGTCACACGCACAATGTCTTCAGCTGGTTCTTCGATCATGGAAAGTGTTAGATGGATGAAATCAAACCAGCCTGTGAACACAAAGCAGGTGAAGACTTGCTTGTGGAACTTAGTTGTGAATTGGCAAGAACCTGAGGTGGTTTAGCAGTCCAACATTTACTCCTTGCATACTTTCACTATGATTTAATAAATAATAAAATGTCCAATGTGTGCCAATTAAATAACTGGGAGTGCAGTGATTTTTCCGACCTTGCTTGTTTCAGTCGGTTCGGTTCTTTTCGAAAGGCGATCATGATTCCAAGTATTTCTTCTTGAAGGTAGGAGCTTTTAGCCATTAATTAGTCATTCAGAATGATGCAATGAATCATTGATAAACACGAGAGGATTTGTCAAGTCCAAATAAAGCATAAATTGGTTCCTAAATATCTGGTTTATTTTTGAATTGGTTGTTTTTTATTCTCAAAATTCATTTTCGGGATACTGAAGCATGGAAATGCCCAAAATTCAGACATCGATTATTTCAAATCCAAAAATTTCGGTCACGGTAGCGAGTAACGCTAGAATGCTTTTTTCGGGTAAAAATGAGTTTTAACTCATTGGTTAATGAGTTATAACTCATGGCCAAAAAAATCCACATATTGCTTGAAACTATTTGGTCTAAAACGGGGGAAAATCCGGAAATTTTGAAGAAACTAAAAACCTTCAGAGGATGAGGGTGACGAGTTTTCCAAATATTGATTATATGCATTTGCTTTCTCTGGTAGGTTTTTGAGAAAACCTAAATTTTGTTGAAAAAAAACAAAATAACTTTGTATCGATTTTGTCCCAAATTCAAAGGTGAAACGGGTATTCGAAAAAGACGATAAAGAAGACCAAACTGTAAAAACGATGACTTCTTGTCAAATCCATCTTTTAACTTTTTTGCATAAAAGACTCTCAGTTTGCCAGTATTTTACAGTAAAACGTTAGGAAAAAGGCGTTGTTCTATTTAGAGATAGGTTTGTTTAGAAATATTGACCTAAAAGTGAAGAAGCCGCAATTTAAATAAACCAAATTATTCACAGCGACAAAAGTGGCGAGTTTTCCGAATAATTCATTATAACTTTCACTTGTTCTGTTCGGGGAAATATTTTTGGAAAAAAATCTAGGAAAAAATATTAGAGTTTTGTCCAAAACTAGAAGCTGCAAATTGTTCCAGAAAAAAATTAACGAAGCTGTTCAGGAGCCGAGTGTTTCAATAAAATTTATTTTATAATTTTCACAGGAATTACCTGAAGATTGTCAGATTTTAAGTAAAACCAAAAATAATACGTTTTTTGCGTAGCAAGAATTGCTTAATAGAAACTTTGCTCAAACTGGATTGAGCTGGAATTTTAAAGAAACTTGAAAATTTTTTTTTTTTCAAATTATCATTATCATCAATTATCAGAATTTTCCAAATTATTTTTTGGAAACTTTGCTCTCTTGCCGTTTTCTCAAGATAATCTTAATTGCTTTCGGTAAAAAAACTGAATAAAATTATTTGGTTTTTGTGCCAAATTCGAAGCTGAAAAGGGTTTCCTAAAGTTCTCTGCAAATCAATGAATGAGGCGAATTTTCAAAAAAATCAAGTTTGTTATTTTTTGCTTCAAAGATCTTATTATTGTCAGAAAAAAAGGAAATCATCAGAATTAAGGCGAATAAGTCTCATGTGGTAGCAAAACGTCAGCATCCAACATTGTCTTACGCATTTATCCATCCGACCTCACTTTTACTAATTTCTACTTTTGCCTATCAAGAAAATAACCGATTTCTCTTCTCATTGCATACATTTGAAATTCTTTCAGAGCATCTGCGTACTCTCAATGGTAGAGCCGTGATCAGTAGGGACATTGTTGCGATCCTCAAAAATTGCTTATCTTATTGGAGCCTTCCGCTTTTAAGATGAGCATCGATGTTCGAAGAATGGCCCGCTCCATGGAAACATTCCTACACGACAAACCCCTCAACACGATTTTCTACGAGCACTCGTCCCATCAGGGCATCCTTTTAGATGGTCTGAACTCGCTATGGCAGAAAGGGGAGCTTCTGGATATCTCCCTCATTGTAGAAGGGAGAGTATTCCGAGCGCATAGAGCGGTACTGGCTGCTTGCAGCGACTACTTTAGAGCCATGTTCACCGATAATATGTTGGAAGCCCGGCAAACTGAGATCTGCTTAAATGGAATCAGTGCTCGAGGCAAGTTTCACTAGACTAACTCGCTATTGATGTAATAATTTAAAGGAATTGGCTAGGTTTTCGTCAACTATTGGAATACGCCTACACTGCCCGCTTAGCCCTTAACTTAGCCAACGTCCAGGACGTCTTGGCAGCTGCTTCCCATGTCCAGATGGTCAACTGTATCATCGCCTGCTCAAATTACTTGCAATCCCAGATTGATATAGATAACTGCGTCGATATTGCAACCATTGCAGAGACATACTCGCTAAAATCGCTCAAACTCAAGGTAACTGATCAACTTTGCACGTTTGTGCCCGTCTTAAACGTGTTTTGAAGGTGTACAGGTTCATGAGTGGCCACTTGCTCGAATTCTCCAACAGTGCCGAATTTTATAGATTATCCTCAGTGCAGTTGGAGAATCTTCTCTCCTATGATTTTCCAGTAGATTGTTCGGAGGCAGATGTCCTCAAGATCGTTGTTGATTGGTTTTTCCATATAGATAGTAAGGAGTAAGTTCGAGAATCTTCTCCGTTTTTTCAGCAATCAGACTGATGTTAACAATTGTAATTGATTTATTTATAGTTTGGATGTCTGCATAGGAGACGCGGGACGCATGATGAAGTTCATCCATTTCAAGGAAATTTCCAGCAAGAAGCTGGAAAACATCCTGCATGTGTGCCTGCAGGACCGAAGGCTGCAAAGCCCGGTCTGGCCGAAAATAATCTTGCACGAAGCCTTTGCCCAAACCAACGGCCACTCAGTGTCGCTAACTAGGTCCTATGGAGTGTTGCTTAATTCAAGGTAAGCTAGCACATGTTTGTCCCGCAGGGGAATGAATCTAATTACCCCGCAGGGGAATGGAACAAGCAATCCTTAAAATCGGCGGTTTTGGTATGAGCGGAGTTACCAACGAAATCACTTACTGCTTTTCCTGGCAAAGGAAATGGATGCATTTGACCTCAATTCCCCATGTAGAGCAGTGCAACTATGGCACCGCCGTGTTTAACAATGAGCTGTATATAGTTGGGGGATGTTTCAACCAATCGCTGCAGGAAAACATACATCCGTTCGGCTTCAAGTACAACCCCCGGTAATGCCAGCTAATAATGAGTTGTGCATGAAAAGCTAAAATTTAAGCGAATTTTCAGGTCAAACAAGTGGACGACAATGTCGCCGATGAAGATTGAACGATGCAGGTTCAGTTTAAATGTGATCGGGGGATTGTTGTATGCAGTTGGGGGCATCAGTGAAGAAGAACACTATGAAACCAGCACCTGTGAATGCTACAATCCCAGGTACGTTTCCATAGTAGTCATTGCGAAGATGGTAATTTGCTCTGGGAGTTAAAGTTTAGCACGAACGGAAGCGAAGCCCGTCTGAGAAAAGTCATCGGATGAACGGTTTTTTTTTAAAGAGAGTAAATTGGACTTTGCGCAGCAAAGTTTATTAAATGAATCAAAAGTATTTTTATGGCTTGCTCTAGCTGAACGAATTGAAACTCGAGCGCCAAATAAAAGTACCACTTTTCTCCCGGCTAAAAGGAGATACCATAATATTGATTATACAGGAGCGTCAACATTGCTGGTGAGCAGAGCGAACAAGCGCAAGAATGAAATCGAACAACCCGAAAAGAAGTGATCCGCGCTCTTCCATCCACCTTATCCTTTTTAGCGTAATTGAGGGCGGTTTTGTACTATTTGGAATAGTTAACACACGGGCAGCCGCTGTCATTGGGAACTTGCACAAAAATTAAATTTGAAAAATATTACTCCCAATCGTAACTTAATACTATTAAAAACACCACAGTTGACCACAAAACATTTTTTTTATTTCTCTGTAATTAATATAATCAATTAAAAACTGTAGAGGTAAAATCATTCTTGTAACGCGTCGTCATTAGCTCGGACCAGTTGTGACATCAAGCGGCGGTTGCAATGCGGAGCATCCAAATATGCAACCTCAGTCTTGATATTATCGTTAGAACGTTTATATAGTGTATTAAGAGAAAGAAAAAATTCAAAATGACGACAATCCTGGGTCCTTGTGAGCTCTTCTGCGTGCCTTTGTACACGAATAAATAGCCTATCTGGCGTTTTAAAGGTTGCACTAGAACACAGTGGCACCATACAGCATTTGTAATATTGTTTTTGTGTTGCTTGCATTATTAATAAAGCACAGAACGAATTCTGAACAGTCAAACACCCAGATAATTCAACGACAAGCCGTATTCCCGCATTGCGCAGTCCGATCGAACTAGCGCTATGACGTCACGACCATTCCCGCGCGTTTATTGTCGTTTCAAATTAATAGCCTGCCATCACAACTTTAAATGTTTATTGCAAAATAAATATTGCGATTTGAGGGCTGATATTTGGTATGCGCGATTTCTATAGATAGGCAAATATATTGAAGAAATAAAAAAAAATTCAAGTTCTCAATTCTCCATCCATGTTTAAACCACAAGAATGTAAAGGCAAAACTAGAAGGTGAATGCTTGTGCTTGTGAACAACGATCTTAACAAATGCTACAAACGCAATCAAGCAACTCCCGAAACCAGCAGAGGCGCGAGCAGAAGCAGCAGCAACAACGTGAGCCATTTCAACGACCACTGAAGCGAACCAAAAGGAAGACCAGTTTGAGAGAACTCTTCAGAAGAGCAGTTTTTGCATTGATTCGTCAGAGTTTTCTATTACTGCTGAACAGGAAGCACCAACTTGCGAATCAGCATCGGCATGGGCGGTATAAATTCTCCTAATTGGAGCTGCGCTCTTAGCAGAAACCCACCGAAAACAAGCGAAGGAATTTGAGTTCATCACGGAAGATGAAGCACACAGCAAGCATCACATCCTCAGCACCTCACCGCGCTTTGCCTGCTGCGTTCTAGTTTTAAGCAAAAGATGAGGAGAAGAACTAACTGTTTCTGTTTCTGTTGAACTAACTGGAAGCGAACCTTGAAACGTTTCTTCGGCACTTCGCTTCGGTTATCCACAAGTGCTAATGTCTGAGTGATTAGAGGACGATGAGCGAATGTGTGTTGCTTGCATTATGTAACTGTTACCTGTTGAAAGATTGGTTATTTAGGCCTAAAAATTGCTTCTTCTATTTGAATAATCTAGCCGAGATACGTGGCATATGATGCCAGATCTTCCCGCCCATATAAGCCAGCATGCTGGCGCAGGAATCAGTGACTTGATGGAAAGTCGACTCTATATCAGCGGGGGAATAGATCGGGACAATGTATGTGTGTCTAGCGTCTACTGTTTCGACGTAAAATCGGAACGCTGGACACAGTGCGCTCCTTTGCTCAATCCGAGAGCTGATCACGTCATGTTGGCCATAGGTAAGTTCTGCTGGTTCGGCCTGAACGTAAATCATTGAGACTGTTGCAGGAAAGTGTTTGTACGTATGCGGAGGGTGGACCTCGGATGAGAACAACAGAGTTTTGGTGAACACGATTGAATTTTACTGCCCTGAAAAAGACGTGTGGGAGGTAAAGATCGTTTTCCTTTCCATTCGAAGAAGCGTATTGGACCATTTTCTCTGTTCTGCAGGTTGTGACCAAGATTCCCACTCCTCGTTACCATGCCGGAATAGTACTGGTAGATACCAAGATATACTTCATCGGCGGCTTCCAGAGTGATACAATGATCGATAAATATACTGCTAATATCGAGTACTACGACATCGAGAAGCGAACGTGGACAGTGGAGAGCAAATATCCTCAAGATGTTTGGGAGCATACATGCGTCACGTTGTGCATACCCAAGTATCGAGACGATATGGAAGTGATTCCCACTGCAGAGAGCTTCGTTTAGCGACCGCTGTTAATTATGGTTGGCTTCAAGGTATAACCGTTTAATTGTTCTTGTTCCAGGCGTTGAAAAGTGGTTCCTCTTTCGTTTGGTTGTGTAAATGGCTTCTAAGGATCAACGCGCATTGCAACGACGCGAACTGACGCGGCGTGAAGAGAACATTTTCCATTGATTTTCATAGAAAACTGTGCTGTGTGTCCATTTCGTTTTGAAAATTTGCTAATTTTGACCACTAGTTTCAAGAAATTTCCACAGATTAGATAAATTATCCGAGCTTTCTTTGCCTTTTCCATATCAGAAGCATCCACTTTTTGACTATGAGCTGCTAATAACTGTCCATTATGCGGACATTTTTCCACCTTGCTTTGCTTCGCTTCGAGTCGTTGCAATGTGTGCTGGTTTAAACTCTTCCCAATAGTCTTGCCCTTGATATGCTAGTTTAACGATATTCGGCACTCTGTGATGCGGTTATTAGATTTTTTACCTTTAAGGAGGCGGCTGTTTGTTGTCTTGGGACGTTATGTATAATACACTTTAACTTATTTGTGTTGGTGTCTGCTTCTTCCGTTCTATAGTCTTCCACATCCCATCCTGCTTCTTCGATGTCTATCTTGTTTTTTCATCAGAGAGAAATAATCAATTTTTAAGGTGTCTTGTGTTTAAATTTGTTAAGAAGACCAAACTGTAACAGAACACTTGTTCGAGGAAATATTCTTGGGAAAAATTCTAGAAAAAAATATTAGGGTTTTATCCAAAATTCGAAGCTGCAAAAGGTTCCAGAAAAAAATTAGAAAGCTGTTTAGGAACCAATAAAATTTATTTTATATTTAAGGAAAATACCTGAGAAGAGTCTTTTAAGTAAAACTAAAAATAATACGTTTTTTGCGTAGCCTGAAATTTTAATTTTATTTTATTAATTTAAATGACCTGAAATTTTAAAGAAACTTGAAAGATCTCTAGAGCGGTGAAAGTGGCGAATTTTTCAAAACATTTTTTTTTAAACTTGCCCGCTGACGGTTTTTTCAAGATAATCTTAATTGTTTTCGGTAAAAAATTGAATAAAATTATTTGGTTTTTGTGTCGAATTCGAGGCTGAAAACGGTTTTCTAAAGTTCTCTGCAAATCGATGAATGTGGCGAATTTTCTAGCAAAATCAGTTTTGTCATTTTTGGCTTCAAAGTCCCCATTTTTGTCAGAAAAGTATATTTTTTGCGTTTTTGATTAAAAACTTTTAGTTTTTGCGGAAACCTTAATAGTTTTCGGGAACACATAAAATGTTAAATCTCAATGGATAATGGAGCCCGATAGATGAGAAGTTTAGATGATTCAGTGGCTCTACGTTGACTATAGGGAATTGGCTTGATATTTTTTCAATAATAAAAATGATCTATAAATAGCGAAGCAAACATATCTCATCTGAGAAGAGTTTAAAAACAGCACAAAATCTAGGAAAAAAATATCCCTATCTATAAACTAAATAAAGAGGTTCTATAGTTTCTGTGTCTAGCCAGTGAAGGAAAAACATTTTAAATCCATATTGCAACAAAATCGCGATATTAAAAAATTAAAAAAAAAACAGGATTTTTTGCCTTGAATACCATCATTTTCAAGCAGTGGAAACTTGAATTTTGCTGCCATTAAAAATTGAGTTAGATCGTTTTCTTCAGTCAAATATTGTCGCGGGACCTTTCGGGCAGGTTTTCCCGGAACACTCTGTATAATCGTCAAAATGCAGAAAAGTCGTTAAGAATGGCAACATTGGAGAATGGAAAGTATTGAATTGTAGCCAGAGTTGCGGAGTAGTGGTGGAGATGGCGCTAGACGCGACTTTATCTGAGTGACATTTGGCCTGCGCTTTTCGTTGACAGTAGGTAAAGTTCGCAGCCTGAGGAAATTACGTTGATCAGTTCGTTACTTCGTTTGGTTCTACGGGTTTAGAAGCCGTTCTAGGAATATTATTGAATGTTTAAGTGGTTCGTCCCGCTCATACCTAGATAAAGTGCGTTTAGGTTAGTCGGACAACAACAGAAATCACGACAAACTATCGTCGTACGGTGTGTACAGCCGATCTGTTTGATTTGTTGGATAATTTTCCATTCCAGTGCTGTTACCGTTGCTGCATCCTTTTATTTTCTTGGCGAAAATGCGGAACTGTTGACGCGACCAAGTACCACACCAGAAATAGTTTGGATGTTGAAATCGAATTTGTAATATCGGTTTGCAAATTGTGTGTTCAGCGAAGATAATGCTTAATGGAATACCATTGTTTTTGGATAACCACTTCCTATATTTCGACAATATTAGTGCTCGTTCGGGATAGGATCAGTTTGATTTCGTTGAAATAATGTCGGGAACGCATATGAATAACGAACAGGAACACAGATCGCCCAGGGAAAGCGGCGAAGACTCCGAAGATGAAAGCGAAATTCTGGAGGAAAGTCCGTGCGGCCGATGGCTTAAGCGGCGTGAAGAGGTAAGTACCAGCTTCACGCACCCTTAAATGCATTTCGCAGGGTTCTCGGCAACAACATATTCCAATCTAACCTAACACCGGGTTCGGTCCACCATTTTGCGAAAGGGCATCTTATGTGCGCCTGCCTCAGTCACCCTATCTCTGTCCTTTTCGCGAACGCATAACTTTGCGCCTCTAAACCGGGCTTTTACACCAAATTTTCATAAGAACCCTTTGCTACGTTCTCCGCTCTCCGCATGTCCTGCCTGACGTCACATTATCGATTGTGTATTGTTGCCTGGCGCCTACATGATAATTTCGTCAGAAGATTAAAAAAATTGCCATGACGAAAAACTCTCAGAATGCCACAATAAATCCCAAATCATTGGTTAATTCCTGGAACATCTATTTCTATTATCAAAAACCGGTTCTATGTACCTAATTACATTTTAATTGATCACCGACTATGGAAAAAATCGCAAAGTACGCATTCGGCCGTTAGTAGATTGATACAAATAAATGTTTCATTCGCATAGTCACAGTGTAGTATCAGAATTATACAGGCAGACTCAGATCTGCCATTATACAGGGTGACTCTTAAAGTGACAGACCAGTGATTCTCTACGCACTGTTGCGCGATTTATTGGCCAGTTATTGAAGGTCATCTTCGCCGTGCTTGTTCTCACGATAAATTGGTGCAATTTAACTGAAACCATCATTAATTTTGCGGAAAACATACCCCATACTATACCCATAATCCGCAATAATTTCCAACATGCTCTAGTCCGCAATAGATCGTACGATTTATTGTGACCTTAACTACAAATTATTTTTAACAGAAATCAGTATTTAAATACATTTAAAAAAATAATTAAGTAGGTACTTGTGTCATCAAGAATATCAAGCTCGAATCACTTTTTCAAACTATTCTTATTATTGAGTTGTAATTAATCCTTTAATATACCTACTACTCTATTTTAGATTCAAAATTATTATCACAAACTCTTTTGTACAGTGTATTTAAGTATAGATAAGTAAACGACTTTAAAACTTATCTTTTTCTTTGTGTAACGTCAAATTCTCAACATTGTTAAAAATGCGCCCCAACAGTAAAGGTGGTGAGTCACTGGTGAAGATACTCGAATGAAAATATGGACGAAAAACTTACAACATAAAGAAATTCAAAAAAATGAGCAATTGCTAAAAAACAGTGGGCATTTTTTATGTCTAGTATTGAGCAATTTATTGGTGCTTATCAGCCCAGTGAAATGATGTAAAGGGTGTTACAGTCAGTGTAAAATATTTAAAAGGATTATAATACTAAGGATGTATTACTTAATTCTGATTTCTAGTAGTTGTGTTGATGCTGTTTTCGAATTGAAAGTGATTTGTATGTTTTTTTTATCTATTGTTATTTAAAGGAGTTATCCTTATATCACCTTCTGTGAATAAGATAATATGGTTGGAAATTTAAAGTTTTATCGATGTCAGACGAAATTATTAAATAGTATTTCAGAAAATAATATCAAGAGAAACACGCAATATTGGTATACTGCTATTGGAAGTAAGTACAGGTTTTTCTATTTATCATGGTCTTATCTATATTATCATGGTCCCTTAAACGCAGCGTTCTTTATATCGATCTGTTTCTTTTATTTCAAAAATTTTGGGGGTTTTTCTTCAAGTACATTGCTTTCACTTTTATTCTAGTGTTATGTGGTCATTAGCATGAATGTCTTGATTTTGACCAAGTTAATTACCTACATTTTTACATTGTATTTGTACATATTATTACTTATAATGAACAAAAACAAGAAATAAATACAGTGTTTAATAAAAGTTTCAAATTGCTGCTTGTGATTTGTGTACGTAATTTATCTTATCCCATCATGTCTTCTCGATTAAGTTCGTATGGACCAAGTTCGGAAACTACCCAAATTACAAAACTATCTCTATATGTGTGGTCTAAACAAACAGGAAGTTAGACTGTATATGGAATATACAAAGCGAAAGGCAGGAATATCGCAGATGCTCATCCGCTAATCCCACAATAAAATGAATGGTGGAGAATAAGCTCAAGAAAATAAAATGAAATCAGCATGGAGTTCTTCAGTTTGCTCTTCCCCATCAAATGTCTCAATTGTGCAAAGTTAACAAATGTTTTTTGTAATGATAAATCCTGGAAAACTGGTTTTAAGTAGGTACTCGCTGAAGAGCATTACATTAACGTTTCTGTATTCAAAAAACATTCTTGTTTCTACGGAATTCGAAATTTCTGGGAAAATCCGTCCGCAAAACAAAATCGTTTTGTGAACTTCTGGATTTTCAAAAATACAGTTTTTTAGTTACGTTCTAAGTTTTTGAATTAATTTTAGCTACTGACCTCCATAGCCAATTGATTTGGGAATATGCACATTTTCCTTTGTTTAAAACCATATTTGCCACATTTTTCAGCAGCAGCTCGTGGTGGAACACTACTTTAGACTACAGGCATTTTTTCGAAAAACAGCACTATATCAAGAAGATTTTTTTTTAAAGAAAATCCTTAAATTTAAAACACAATGTATCCTTTCGCTACTTCAACGAACTTTTGTAGCTGCATTTCCGCTTGAAGGAAACTTATTTTTAAATGTTCTTTTTTTATTTTGAAAAGTCTGTCCAAATTGATCATCTCTGGTATCCAAATTTTCAAAAATCCATTCAGTCATGTTTCTAATGGAAGTGTTGGAATTTGAAATTTTACTGTGCCCCAAAACTCATAAGTTTTCTGTCTTCAATCGCCTTTTCTAGCATCCAATTAATTGAAAGCAAATTGCCAGTTTGGAAAAACCCCTCGTTACTACAGTATGGGTCCCAGCTGTGAGGCGCTAAATTTCCATTAAAAACCGCTGTAAATTAATTCCTCAGCCAGGTTTGCTAAACAAATAAATTCAGGATTACCTGTAGACTGTTTAGATAATACCGTAGGTACGTCAGCAGCGTGCCAAGCGCATTTTATTTTTTTTTGTTTTCAATTTCACATAGTAAAGGCTCGGTTATTTTCGGAGATTAGACGGCGCCTCCAGGCTTTGAAAACTACGGTTTTTTTCTAATGAATTTTTGAGTAAATAATATTCGGGCACTGGGCCAACTCGAGTAAATCAGCGGGAACATTATCAGACTTTTTGTATTTACAAGTTGGAATCAGTGCTGGGTCTGTCACTGTTTTTGCTCGATTTGATTGGGTCTTCGTATGCGTCTAAGCACAATCCGAGAAAATGGAAATCGACTTTTCTTGAACCGGTATTCTCGCAAGGTCGTGGTTCTTGCGGAATCTAAAAATAGCTCTGGTAACCAGCAGTGGCGACTTGCAGGAATGTTGTAGTGGATGCTGTGGTGTCAATATTCTTATAGAAAAACATTTCCTTTCAAGTTTGCTCTCTGAGTGGGTTAAGTTGAGGGTTAATTTCCCCACAAACCGTTGAAATCAAAACCACTTGGTCTTACACGAAAAAAATTCCGTTTTACTTGGCTGATAGTGCTTATGACCTCGTGCACATTAGTGAGGATAAGGAAATCGTCCTTATCTCGGTTTTTAATGGCAAAGATCAAACCGTGAAAAATTACATGGCTGAGTAGAGTGGGGGCATTTGTAGATATTAATAAAACTTTTTATCAGGAACTTCTCGGCGGAAAAGCAAACTTATTCTGATGCAGAAGATTGAAAGTGAATTGAAAATACCAATCACGATGTTCCCATTTGGAATGCATTTAATGGACTGTATTCTAAGTGCCATTTCTTATGGTAAATTGTTCGCTTAATTGGGCCATCGAGAAGATTTATTGTCAATAATAGTTTATGAAGCCATTAGCTTGAAACATCCTTGTATCGGGGGTTATTGAGCCGCACAAATAGTTATTTAATACATCTGATTTGGCAGGAAGTCAGTCACCTGATGTCTATTCACTTTTACATCGCTCTTTTCAGAGTATATTCAAAAAACAGCTGCTCGTTCAACCGGAAGGAAATTAAGCGACAAATTTAATAGATAGAATGGAATAGAAATTTTCTTTTGGTCATTTTTTGCCACAAAATTTCATCTGAGCTCATGATTTTCTCGTTTTATTCAAGCGATAATTTAATTAAGTAAATACGTGACGAGTTCCGTTCAAAATGCGCTTTGTAGATGGGGCAGGGGAATTAAAACCGGGAAAAGTCATCATTAGAAACTTTCCTAACATCTCGAGTAATTAGTGTATTGAATGCCTTAAGTGAAAGCGCAATTTCTTTAAATAATTGATAATCTTGATGAGCAACCGTAAGGATTCCTTGATGGTTTTACTGCTTTAGAAAGGATGAAAGAAATAATGGATCTTTGGCAATTAAGGAAACAGACCCTTATTGTTGCTGAATAACCGTTTCTTCTGCCAGGTTTCTACGAATGAACGTCATACAGTGTGATTCAACATTATCGTCGTTCAATTTAATGGCTAATAAGAGCTTACTGGGAGAGTATAAATTTTCATTTACTTCCCTTACAAATTTGCTGTTAAGCAATATTTTAAAGTAGATCAAGGGCCAATTTTGCAGATCATTACCCCAATGGCTCAATTACAATCAACGAAAATTTGTCACCATTTGCTCAAAATTGCTATCGATGTAAAACTTTCGGAAAATATGAATTTAGCTGTTCAAAAGTCAGTGGTTTTTGAAGAGTGAATTTTTCAAAATAGTCTTGCAGTTAATGGCTCAATTTACACGCAGTCGTTTCGAAAAAAATTGCAAAAATTATCCAAAACGTGCAGGCATATTGAAACTCTTGTAGCACATGAACCAAAGTTTGCTTCTTAAAGTGGCTTTAAAAGAAATCCGGCATTTTCAGCGGTTTTCAATATGAACCAGAGGGCTCAATTACAATTGTCAATATGTAGTCAAATTTGTTATGGAAGTGGAACTTTTAAAATGTAAATCGAAATGTTCTTTGTCACGCGGCATCAAAAGAAACTTTCAAGCGTCAGTGGTTTTTTCAGAATGAAGTTTT